GAGGATTCACCCATCAAACAATAGCCTACATGTATGATGTCTCAGTGTCTTTGATTAGTAGTATCTTCATTACATGGATACAATTTATTTATTTACATTTCAAAGAAATTAAGTACCCAATGTTTCCCAGTAAAGAAGATCTGAAGCCATTTTTGCCAAAGGTTTTCAAGCCTTTTAGAAATGTGAGGTGTTCTATTGACTGCACAGAGTTTTTTTGTCAGACTCCAAGGGACTATGCACATCAAGGCAATGTTTATTCTTCATATAAACACCATGCTACATTTAAGGCTTTAATAGCAGTGACACCAAATGGGTCTGCATGCTTTATTTCTGACCTTTATGAGGGCAGTATTGATGATGTCTCAATAACAAGCCAGTGTGGCATCCTAGACCACATAGAACCTGGAGATGTGCTGTTAGTTGACAAAGGTTTCACCATCCAGGAGTTTCTTTATGCAAAACAAGCAACGATAAAGATACCAGCATTTTTAGGCAAAAGGGACAAGCTGACAAAGGAGGAAGAGATGGCCACAAGAAGGATAGCCAAGGCACGAATTCACGTTGAACGATTTAATGAACGTTTAAAGAAATTTTTACTTGTTGGAAGGACAATTCCTCTGTCATTAATCCCTATAGCTTCACAATTAGTTTACGTAGCAAGCTGTCTTGTCAACTTTCAAGCACCCTTATGTAAATAAGTCTTTCCTTAGGATAGCTTTGCACACATTGAAATATTGATGTCTTCCTGTTTTTAAATGTGTACTAGGCATCCCCAATAATGTATATATTCACTTGGGGCATACTGAAAATGAAGGATCCATAATACCTCTTGTTAAAAATCCCTCAAGAGAAGAAGGGTCTAAATAGTCATTAAGTACTTAAAAAGTCATTAAGTACTGCTTTTGAAGCCATGGTTCAAACCCAAATTTTTCCATTTGAAATCCCTTATTCTCAGCTGAAAATAGGGTTAAAACTCTCCTGTTTTGGCTATGATAATTTTAAAGGTGAAAATTCTATGCCTCTAAAAATTTCTAATATTTATATTTATCAAAATGTGTGTATTTGAAATCTAAGCAGAAAGTTACAAGGTAGGGTAATTCAAAAGTACACATCAATGAGTTAGGGAATACAATACAGTTGTTCAATACAATGAACATAGCTTTAAAAATTTACAAGGCCATCCTTTAACAACAAAAAGCTAATTAATACTTAGTAATGAGTGGTGCAAGAGGGGGTTATGCAAACACATACAACAACTACGGTGTTGATGGAAAATTAACAAAAGCAAACAAGGAAGAGTAGGGTTCAAAAGATGAATTTGGAGGGTATTTACATTCTTGCTGACATGATATTAACATAATATTAATTAAAGCATTAGTTAAGAGTTTACACAATAAATGGTGGGAGTCCTCTGGGTACCCGCATTTCAAAGTACTCTGGTATGAATACTTTGTGCCAGAATGCAGAAATGTTTCTTTTCAAACTATCTTGGAAAGCATGGTTTGGTGTGATCCTTTGAATTGAAGGAGGACCATTTGGTGTATGCAGCACAAAGTCACAAAATGAAAGTCCTGTGGTTAGCAACTGCAACTGAATCTGATAATAGTACACATGGCCCTCTTTCAACATTAATTTATTTTCATGGACCCCAAAACACTGTCGACTTAAAACAGTACTTGAAACTTGTTTCTTCTCAATTTGTGTAAGAAGATCAGAAACAGAAATATTCTTCAAAATCTTCAAACATTTAATCTCAACAATTCCAATAGCACTACCAAAATTATTAAAGTGCCTATCTAACCAAATTTTCAATATCGGTGTTAAAACTTTTTTTAAATCCGATGACTATACTTGTGACGAATAACCTTTTGTTTAAATTTTTACGACTTTTTATCTCTTAAAATAAGAGGTTCAAAGTGCTACTTTTTGGAAAAATCGCGCTTCTAAGGGTCTGAGTCGAGGGAGGCGCGTGACGTACATTCCGGGACACCGCTCCCTGGGCGAATAGGCAAAGATGTCTTCCGAATCGGAGTGTGACGACGCCACTTCAGTACAAAGCTCATCAAGCGATTTTCAACAAGAAGTTGAGGGTGCAACTGCAGCTACAGCCAACTTGAATTTAAACGGTAACGAAAGCTATGGGCCATATGCTGATGAACCTCGCGCGAATCAGGATTGGATCAGAAATTATCGTAGGAGAAGAAGGGAGGAAAGTGAGCGGACAGAAATGCTAGCTTTGCGACTAAATGGCACAACCCCAATAGAGCAATGGTAAGGATTTGTCTTTCAAAAATAATATGAATGTAGCTAGTTTCATTCATTCAATTTGTATGAGTGTTTTCATGACTAATAGCCCTTTGTTTGCAACGGATTATTGAAGAAACTTGATATGGGCCTAGAGGCTACGGGCTATCGTAAAGTTACGACACACTTGCAGCAGATCATGTTGTATAATAAATCAGACTGAGGTTAACTATACTGACTAAAAATTCATTAAGCGTGACTTAAAATTCATACAAACCATGGGAGGTACCTCGAATCATTGAATTAGGCCTATGAGGCTTATTAATTTGCAACGTTTTTTGGTGTGAGGATTTATTCTAGTACAAGGCTTTTTACAGGGGTGGCTTATAAAGTATATATTTATTTATATACATATATATATATAATATGAAAGTGGCCATAAAAATATTTTGCAGGAATTAAATTCTTGTAGATCATCATAAATGTTGTGTTGTCGTGAAAATGCTTCGTTTGTTTTTGTTTCTTGTTTATCTGTTTTCTTTATAATTGGCTAAATCATGCATTGCAAAAATAAGCATGTAGGGGTAGCGGTTTTTCACATCCACAGTAGGGGCTGATTGGATGGGGCTTATTTACAGGGGTGCATTTGAAAATATTATTATATGTTTCTGCCTTTTTGTTTGCACTTAAATTGGATACTTTTTGGTGACTGGCAAAGGAAATATCTAAGCTTTGTCATTTCAAGAGATCAATCTCCAGAAATTAAGCTTTGTCAATTTTTTGTTTCCACATCTCAATTGTAAAAAACAAACAAAAAGAAGCAAGGGTAGACACCATTAACACTTTTTCTGTCAGAACCATCATTTTTATAATACTTTATTCTTAACTTTTCACTTTTTCCTATATTTTCATTTTCTTCACTTTTTCCTATACCTTAGGTGCAAGTGTGGTAATTGCAATTTGACTAAACTTGCAAAACCAAAAGAGTGTTGCTGTTGCAGTGATCTTGAGGCTGTCAATGTTTGTCTTTCAGACAAAAGAATTCTGGCAGATCTCAATGATGTACCCAAATGTGTAACTGAGCACCCAGCATTTGAGCCAGTAATTCTTGGAAAATGGTCACTGAGGCAGGCAGCAGATCGATACAGGACAAGAGAAAAAAGCCATTATAAAAACACTGGTGATGAAAATAAGTATGTACAACATTTGTTGGATACTTATTATATTTGCATACTTGTGGACATCAGTTATTATATCACAAACTGAACAAAATTTAAATGTAAGGTTTATCTATTAAATCTATCTTGGCAATTTGTACAGAATTTAGCTTCACAAAGCTTTCTAAACGTTTTCCAATTCAGTACTTATTTATTGTGAATATGTGCATGTAAAGCACAAGAAATCAGTTTGTGTTCATGCAATATTTCTAAAATTGTTGATTTCTGGACATATACTCATAGTTTATTATTTTGAATCTTTTCTAGATTCCTTCGCGCTATCTCTTATAGAGAATTTACAAGGCTGGTGCATGGCAGAATAGGAAACAAAAGAATCCCTCTCCCAGCCTGTGCTTACAACAAAATCAGGCAGAAATTTCCTTCTGAAGAGATGACTGGCTATGAGTCCGATAGTGACTGAGTAGCTCACAATGTTATTTTACATTTTAATCAAAGTTTGTTTTATATGATAAAGGTCTGTAATATCATTCAGACAAAGTAAGCTGCTTCAACACTTTCCGATGATTTTGGGTCAATACAAAATGTAGAATTGAGTTCCTCATAGAGGCAAACTTGAAAGCAAAAAAGCAAACCACTTCTAAGATAGTTTTAGCAAAAAGAAGCTTTTTTGACTCAGCTAAGGGATTTATTTATTGGTTTTTCGGGCATGTCAAAATGTTTTTGTGACCTTTCATTGAGTTATGACAGATAGAACATTGAGGGGGTGCACGTCGATTTTGCTGTTGTTTCCTGCTCACTACTTCATCAACTGAAAAGATAGAAAAAGAACCATTCATATATTTAAAGCCTCCCTTGATTATCATGGTAAAATGGTAAAACTATGGTTCAAATAAAGAAAATTTGGTACCTGATGTTGATGGAGGAACTGGAACAGTAACTGCTGATTTACGGGCAAAATGCTTTTCAATGGCAGCAAACCTATCTTCCTTTTCTATTGCTGAAGACATTGGACAAGGAGCGAGTTTATTTAAATGTTCAACTGTAGCATTCAGGTTGTTAGCAGCTATGGCATCCACCAATGTCTCATAGATATCAGGAACGTAATCTATGTTTGGGAATACAATGTCAGTACTGCACTTATTGTGTTACATATTTTCAATGTTGATTCTTTCTATTGTTTGAGTTTATTCAATATCGCAGACAATTAAACAAATGAATATACTAAATTATATGCTAGTGATCTTCAAATGCCCATACCAAATCTCTGTTTTACTTTGACTTCCTTGACAGTTGCTTCTCCGTTCTTGAATTTTGGGTAGGTGACCTTAACTTGGGGTGTACCAGATCCATCCTGTGTTGTTTGTACATCACGGTGCAAGTTTAAATTGAAGTGAACAATTGCCAAAATATGTCTTAAAAAGAAAGGAATATTTATGCAACAACAATGATCATGCCACTTTTACAATCTTAACAAATTCTTGAAAAGTGATATATGACAAGGATAAAAATATGCTTAATACAACCTACCTAATCAACATTCCTGTATAACTGAAAGCAATCATTTTCGGAGCAAAATGGTTCAATACAGAGTGGAAACCTTCTAATGCACTGGTCTGGGAAAGTGGAGATGCCTGTTTGATCCCATTTTGAAGGCTCTTCTTGGTCAAGGCCTGCCTCAGCTTTTCGTATACAGTTGTATCTGTTCAGTAAAAAAGGTAGCGCATTAAAATAAAATATGTACAGATGTGTCCAATTTTTTTATAATCTAACAGAAAAACAATTTATCAATATAAGTATGCTATCTAAAATACTATAGGAAGATTTTCCAAACAGTCAAAGTATTTTTTTTAGTTTCTCATAGGGAAGAGCCTAGTGTCTGTATTATATTCCTCTAAGAGAAAAGAAGGAACACTAAACAGAAACCATTTTTGACAAGTTTCGGTATAATTTTTCTAGGGAGACCAAACAAGACCAAATCAAACATTTACCTTTTTCTAGCCATTTTCTTTCTTCAATGTCTTCTCCGTGTGCGCAGTGGTCAAAAAGTGGATCTTCAAAACCAGTATGCTCATCCAAAATGTGCCAAAGGAAGGAAACAAATTTTGCCCAGATAATATCTCCATTGCCATCAGGTGTTGATGTGGCACTCCAGTACAAATGCCTTTCACAAGCCTTGATCCATTCAGACAAGTCTCCACAATCTTTGGTATTTGAAATGCTCAGAAGAATCTTTCGAATTTCTGAAAATAAAACAAGAAGATTCCTTAAGTTAGGGTCGCTGAACTACAATTAATATTTTCTTTTGCATTAAGTGGACTAACTGAGGGTTAACTGGGGAGTGAGATTAGCTTTTTTGGCAATGGAATTAAGAATGATCATCAAGCAACTGGAGCTGGAAAAATAAATTCTAGTACTGGGACCATTATTTCAAGGAGTGTTGGACTTTAGTGACCAATCTGCAAATAAGGTAAACAACACCTACTTTTCTTCAAATGCCAAAGATCAAAATAGTGCAATACATCTTTTCGCTCCTCTCTGAAGTATTTAGCGATGGACAAGTGTCTGTCAGAGATGAATGTTGTCACATTAAGTCCATTGTTCTCCAGAAACTGTAAGCTGCGCTTGAAACCCTCAAACTCCATGGCAGTACTACTTCCAATCTCATTGCGCTTTCATTGAGTATAAAAGGTAATAACAATATTGTGAATACAAGAAAACACCAGAAACTAAAACTAGCTTTTAACCTTAAATGTTATTAGGATCTGTGATGTATTTTGTTGTTATCAAAGAGAAAACTGAATCAGTGAATGTATTAGTGATGAAATATAAAAATATACCACAAAATTTAAAATTTGAATTACCTTATACTCACAGAATAGTTTATAGTCATTAAACCATATAGTCAAAGTTTTCTGTGAACACCATTTGTTAGAGTCAAGGAAAAGAAAGATACCTGAACAAGAGAAAAGTGTATGATTTGTGATGTATTGCAGCAGAATAGGCTGTAAGCTCCAAACTTGGCACTATGGCCCATACTGTCATGCCTCCCATCCCCAGAAACCACCAGTTGTTCTCCAGATTCTGTTAATGATGAAATCATTCTATTTTGGGTATTTATCCAGTATTGGTAGACAGCTGGGAAAAGCTTTTCCTAAAAAGTGAAGGAGGGACATTGATTACATCTTGGACCACCTCACTCAAGCAAGTTATTGCATTTTGTTTCTACAGTGATGGTAAATATAAGCAGTGAGCATGTCAAAATGTAAATACTGTTCACCTTTTGATGTTTGAAAAATGTTGATAATGAGATGCAAGCAAGACCCATATGATTAAAGATGTGTGAAACCTTAGTAGCTGAACTACCACCAACAAGTATTGCAAAGGACAAAAGGAGGTTTGCAGCAGGAATCTTTGTGCCAGGAAAAAGGGGTTGACTTTGCCATTTGTTTTCATTTCTTATACAGTCTTCATTCTGACAAACAGTCTTGACCTCAATCATGGTTCCAACTCTCCGCATGGTAATTTTTGGGTCATCTGATTTGCACAGAGAGCAGAATCTGAACAGAAGAAGAAGCTGCGACAAGAAGACAATAAATTTGGGTTCTTTTTTATGATCAGATTTCTCCTCACTGAAAAATGAAACAAAATCAAGTTGAGCTGAAGAGTGGGAAATGGTTACATTGCAACATTGACTCTGATAATTTCAGAACAAAACTACCTTACCTATATAACACAATGTTTAGAGTAGAATTTAATAAATTCCCCCAGACTTTAAGATTTTGAATAATCTTGATGTTTTGCCTTTCAAACTCTTTAAAGGCCTGATTCAAATAAAATTCATATCATTTTATAACCTTATGTCATCATCACTTCCAACTGCTTGCAACTCTGTTTCTTCCTCAATGTCAAAATAGTCCTCTGATTCAGAGATATTGTCCATTGATTCAGCTTCATCTACTGGTGACTCTACATTGGCAAAAGACGCATTAAGATCTGCCTGCATTTCTGACCACTCCAACTTTGATAATATTTCTAAAAATGAAAAATTCCAGTCAATTGTTGAAACAAGGCAACAAAGATTTTCCTAATTTGTTAATGCAAAAAAGGTCTATAATTTTTGCGGATGTATAATATCTTTATCAGAGCGAGTAATTCTATTACTTTTTATCATGGCAGTAGCTTATCAATTATAGTATATCTCACTCAATTCAAATGTTACATTCTGGGGCATTTTGAATGTATTTATATTAGTTTGTCTTAACTTACCATTTTTAGCCTTAATTTCTTCCTTAAGTTTAAGAACTTCAGACTTCTTTGCTATCCACATGTTGCGTGTTCTACGGTGTCTGCTCAAAAGCCATTTACAATTTAGACAACCAGGTGTCTGACTTGCAAAATCCTCCATCTATAAAAATAGGAAAGCTTCATGTAAATACAATAATAATTGTGATTCGCATATATCGCCATTAGGGCTTCTGGTGAAAGCATTTCAGTCTAGAAAGTCACATAAAAAGCAAAGCAAGTCATAATATCATTACACATCAACTCTGGCAATTCATTCAAACATGCATGCATACACACATATATATTTATAGTTCTTTGTTTGCTAACTCAGGTCATGCTAAGGCAAATAAAGAGAGCTAACATGCTAATGCTAGTGCTCTGATGCTGGTAGGATAAATTCTCAACAATAAAATATCCACCTTGGTGCTATTTTCATCCTGTGCTAGATATATTTGACTATCATTTTCTATGTAGTCTTCATCTTGTGTATCATCGTCCTCGTCATCACCATCAAAGTCCTCTTCTTGTTCCTTGTGGGTTTCTTTCATTGCATTTCTAATGAACTGCAAGAGATTCAAATGAAGGATTACTTCAAAACTAGAAGTAATTCAGCAAGGGGGTCACACTAGGGTCTAGAAAGTAGCATGCTGACTTTGCTAATGTTAAGGATTTATTGAACCTTGCCAACGAAATAAATTTATACTCAAGCAGAACATGAATTTAGCAAAATTCTTTGAAGTTTCACAAAATTTGTAGCTGTATCTTTTGCAATACTATCAAAAATTAGGTTCACCCCCCTGGTGGGATGCCAATGGGGGAGGATCTGCCAGATCCTTTTCATATTCACAGATCTCAAAAAAACAATTTTGCAACTGAAACACACTAAGAATAGCTTCAGAGTACTTATGTTAACTTTAAATATTCAACGGACTTCAAATATTGGCATGAACCTAACCCCCACCCCTACCCATTTTGAAAGGTAGCGAGTATGAAATTAAATAAATGAAAAGAGAGAATCTGTCAAACAAACCATTCGATGCTGGCGTGAGGTCCTTGGCCTCTTGACTCCTTTATTTGCAGCACTCTTTCCTCCTTTGGCTGGTGCCGAAGTGCTAGGCCCATCCTGATCTCCGTCTGTTTCGCCCGTCTCCACTTCCATGCTTGTCGCGAATATCGAAGGAACCGCACTTACCCCTAAATCATCTCTAACAAGGCTCCTTTTTAAATTGCTAGTAAAACCTTGAATTGCAAAATTCTGCCTTTCAAAGTCTTCCGGCTTAAAGTGAACGGAGCATACGGAAGAATACTTTGATGGCTGAAAATTCGCTCTTTTGGTCCTAATAAAGTTGACCCACAGCTTTCTTCGGCGACAAGCTGCTGGATTTTCATCCTGCCAATATGGAATTCTATGTAATGAGATGCCCTTTACCTTAGAATTTTCATTGGAGCACCCATAAACGACACACCTGTCCGGCATTTTGCTAATTCGTGTATAGGATAGACCACACTACTGCAATTACCGGGAAGTGTTTACTTTGCGGCTTCCCGGAATGTACGTCACAAGAGCTCGCCCCATGCCTTTTAGCAAAAGCGCGAATTTTTGAAAATTTGGTCCAAAGCCGCGGTTAAAAGACTGCATTTCTCTTGAAGAGGAAAGGATTTTCGAAAAATTAAATCAAAATCATAATCAACTGAGCATTTTGCAACATTTATGATCATATTTAAATTGGGCTAGATAGGCACTTTAAAGCCCTGGCAAAACGACTAAATATTTCACTAAACATTTCACTCAACTTTTGTTTAGCCAAAAGTTTAGTGAAAAGTTTAGTCGCTTTGCCAGCCTGTTTAGTCGTGTTGAGTGTTGTTGAACAAAGTTTGATCCTGGTCAAAAATGTTTAGCGTTGTTTAGTGTTGTTTACCAACTGTTTAGTCGTTTTGCCACCAACTAAACATTTTTTGTGATCGCGCAGGCGCTCTAGCTGTGAAAATTCAAAGGTTTTCTTCTGTTTCGTTGGTTTTCCTGTCTCTACGTGACCCAAAAGCCTTTATGAGACATCTGCATATCTTGTTGTACGCTACTGTGTCTTCTTCAACAGTCAACTTTGTTGTCAATGTGCTAAAAAGTCTTTTCTTTCCTGTCGCTTCATCCAATTCTTATTTTTATTCACTGCTTGTGCATGCAACAAAATAATATGCTAAAAGCAAATTCCTATGCAAGATCCCCTACAACCCAACAGCGTCATAGACAGCTCGCAGTTCAAAAAAGTTGAGTGAAGTTTAGTGAGAAGTTTAGTCGCGTTTTGCCACTTTCGCTAAACTTCGTTCAACTTTACTAAACAAAATTGAGTGAAATGTTTAGTGAAACGTTTAGTCGTTTTGCCAGGGCTTAACACACCCCCGTCAATTATTGTAATATTGAATCGCAATCAACCTGCTGTGCTTCAAGGTTAAGAGATGCTTCAGTTTTACTTTCAAAATCCTACCGCATTTTACCGATCATAGATAGCTGAATGAAAGGAGGGCAAAACATTTCCGCGTTTGAATTCAAATGATAAGGTATCTGTTTGATTGCTCAAACGTTTGTGCGTCAGCAGCAGCAGGTTGCGTAGGAGACTTACCAAAAGATCACGAGACCTTCCTAGCATTATGTTTCACAGATCCGGGACTTTAAAAATATGGTAAAAAGTGGAATGAGTAACGCAGACTGAAGCACACGTAACCACCAGGAAGACTTTCTAGTTAACCTATTACTACTTTTGTTCTTTATCATATTTGTATGCACAAGTACTGCGGAGCATTTTACAGATTGAGGGAGCTAAAACGTTTTCTTTGGGGGGGGGGGGCTAAACATGCTAAAAGCCAAAAGCAGGGCGATTATTGGTATGATTTAAAGTACATTTTGCAAATTACTGCCCCCCCCCCCGCTTCCACGGTCCCTGGGTATGCATACCCTGTTGGGCAGCTAGATTTGCAGCGTCATAGTAAAATTGAATTGATTAAGTTTCACAGCTGTGAATCGGAAGAAGGTTATCCTACGATTCAGCAGTTTTGCTGAAGGCCAGTGCAAAACTCGATCAGAGTATATAAAGTGAGAAAAATCTACTGGCTTGAACGTTTTTCACTGACAAAGCGTATAGGCAAAATCATGGATAATTTTACTCAATTTGCATTGATAGCAACTTTCATTCAACATGGGCTCCGATATATTTTGGAAAGTGGAGGGGGACCAGGGAAAATTTAACACAATAGCAAAAGATTCTGTAAAGTGTTCTATTGTTTTGCAAAAAAAGTGGAGGCCAGTGGCGTGATGTCTTTTCTAGAAACACGTGCTTTTATATAGCCACGATATATAGATAGGACGCAAAAATCGTCTTGGCCACCCCAGGGAAAACATCGCCACCCTCTTTGTCGGAGGCCCTGTTCAATGGATGCATTTCAGAGCAAGGCAAATTGGGCAATAATTTATACGGAGGAAGGTTTAGGCGTTTTTTAAACTTTAAATAGTTAACCAAGCAAGTATCCTGGCTATTAGATTCCTGAAAGGCTACCTGATAGCAAAAGAAGCAGCCTTATGACTCAATATTCCCGAAGAAGTTTCCCCAGATCCCTTACTCGAAACTACCTTGAAATTTTTTATAATCTTAATGCGTGTCAAGTTTGCCGGAAATTGCATTCTTTTGGGCAAATAATAATGATAAAATTTTATTCTCAAAATTTAACATCACTGGCGGAAAGCAATGGTACTTCTTCCTTGCTTTACCTTATGCAACATAACTGCATAAATTTTCAAATCTGGGAAAAAATTTCAAATCTGGTGATAGGCACAAAAATTGGCACCGTCCCGGTCTTCAATATCCAAATAAAGATATAATTTATGACCAATACTGCATGTTTCCATAACCAAATTTGGCCCTTGAAGATTCAGGCTTTAATTGACGAAATCCGAGCAGCAAATCACTCTATGGTAGAGATTGGTAAATCCTGAGAAATTTATTTTGCTTTTTTAGAAATCTAGTATTTTCTTTACAAAAGTGAATTGCTTCTCGAAAATGCGATAAGTATTTTAGTCCAAGTTATTTATGTCGCTAAAAGGTTCGTTTTAGTACTCCCTTTCACCCACAGCTCAAATTTGAGAATTTTCCGACACAACAATAATTTTTCCGAAATTCTGTCAAATTTGGAAAGCAGAAGGGACCACGTCTCCTCTGCCCCCCTGCCCCCGGCCACAACGCCCCTGCCTTTTGGCAGTAGCAAGGGTGGGGCTAGTGCTGCAACACTTTTCTCTTTTCTTTCGCACCTCAGCTGTAATCGTAACAATTTGAATATTAAATATTTTGAACATTGACAATTTTTCAAGTAGTCTAGTGTATAGAGTTTCTTGCTTTTCCAAAGATGTAGGGTCTCTTTCAAACACAATTATCTTACAAAATTATAATTATGCCAAAAGATAATTTGGAGTAACTGCAGTCAGAGGGGCAAGTTGTGGTCAAAATTTTCAATTGGAGGGGCACAGCCTCCGGTTCCCCCTGCCGCTACGTGGGTTAGACGCCACTGTATGAAGTTTTGACTAAATTTTCACATCAAAGAAGTTTAGAATGTGCGCACAGACTGTTCTGGTGATCAGATATGAGTTTGTTAATTTTAAGGACTTTGTTGTTGATGATGGTTTCAACTGTTTTAGAGATAGGCGAGGTGGTTGCGAAAGGAATATGATTCGGGGGTCAAGCTTCTCCCCAAAATTTTTCTAGAATAATACAGAACAGGAGAGATAAGATCGTTTGGTAAGAGTAAAAGTATTAAGAGTGATTGCTGCTGAATTAATAATGCCTTTCGATTTAGAGATGTTTATAAGAACTTTTAGAAATTTTTGGATGTGTTATTTGATAACTGACATTGATGCATAAGATGGAGTAGTTTTTGCTTGAAGAAAGAAGGCAAAAGATCAGGCCCGTAGACAGATAAACTGGATTGGGGAGGAGAGGGGGTCATAGATAGAAATATAGCTTTTTCTATACCAACCTTATAAAAAACTGTCAGATCAAGCTGTGCTTATAAGATCTTCAAGCACAATTTTCACAAATTAATGGGGGGTGCATTGCCCCCTGCTCCCAGTGTCTACGGGCCTGCAAAAAATAGGACGAAAAGTTGACTCGCTATTGCTATTGCTATTGCTATTGCTATTGCCTTATTTCCCTGTAATTCGTCACATGGCCTTTTGTTTGATAGGAAGTTTTCGTTTTCCAGCCAAAATGCTTCCTTGTGGATCAGGGTAAGGAGTGGCGAATTTAGCAGAACATTTTACAGAATTACAGATATACTGAGATAAAACTTGAATTATTTCACAATTCGAGGAAAAACTGTCTCATTCTTTAACGTCCGTCATGAGCTGAGGAAGCTAACAATTATGCTGATAAAATATGTTCGGTTTTGGTTGATTATTTGTGAATAAGCTTTATTGAAGTACACTCTTTTTTTATAAGAACCAGTAAATTTAAATTCAGGCTGACTGTTCTTAATTTTTTCGAAAATCTGAGGCTATGTTCTTAATTTGTTCTTAAAGTAAGAGGGTGTAAGCAGTGCGAGTGTTAGCTTTTTCGCTCTAAGGAGGTGTTAAGGCCTCATTTGCCAACAATGTGAGTGAGACAACCTTCATTTGCCAAAAAGTTTGAATATTCGACGAAAAAGCACCCACACATCGCTAAAAATCCTCGATTTTCAGAAAAAACGTTGTTCAAAATTGCATTTTGCAGAAGCTCAGCCTCAGCTTGTTCTTAATTTGTTCTGAACTTTTGACCAATTTTGAGGCTTGCGTTCTTATAAAATTGTTCTTATAAAAAAAGAGTGTATCATTATCATCCGTCAAAAATATCATCATTATTATTATTAGATTTACTGCCAAAAGCAAATTTCAAAAATGTTATCGTTAGATTTACTGCCTCTCACATGAAAAATTCTGTTCAATGTCAAAATGTTTTTTTTCATGTCAGAATTTCCTTTTTAGGTAAAAAAATTGGTCATTGAAAATCGATCTATCTATATTAAATATGCTTCTATATTATGCTGAGATAGGCGAAACTTCAAATGGTCTACCTAAGCCAGATTTTATGTCGTGGGAGTTCCGGTTCTCTTGCACTTGATGCGTGCGCTACAGTTTCCAATCGCGTTCTGGCCAAATTTGATGCGAAAGGTGTTTGATTTTACAAACTTTTCATAACAATATTATTTACATTTAAATATTCCGGCTATCGTGTCATTAGACTTCTACCCAAACAGTTTTGCAAAAAAGAGAGAAATAATTTCAGAGTATTTCCAAAATGGAATCACAGCTGCCATCACAATAAAGGCTGCAAGAGGGCCAATTCAATTTTCCACATCGTGTTCTTTCGGACCCTTATTCTGGCATTTTATGCTTTGAGGAATGTCAGACGAAAAACCTTTTAGTATGTTGTAAAATTTTCAGCGAGAGATATTTTAGCGATAGATATCGAAACTCTTTTTAACTATAGCCATCTCATGTTTAAGGTCAAGGGAATACCCCTGACACATATTAATAAATATTAGACTGAAAAAATATGGACAACATGCAATAATATTATTGACAAATATTAGTTTGCTCCCGGACCATTTGGAAGGAGCTGTGATCACGTGATGGCTATATGAGGAAGTTACGTGCGAGTTGACTCATTTCGAACATAGTGTACTTCTGTTGTAAACGTTTTGGAAACTTCGACAGTCATCATTGTTTAGGTTACGAACAAAAGATGTGTATGGCTACGTAATATTTTTGAGAATATTTTCGTTATCAAAGACGTTTATGGTGCGAAGATGTTGGTTAAATGCGCTAAAGTTATATTCTGGTCAATTTTTATAGCCTCTTTGCTGTTTAGGCCTGATGGGTCGGCTATCAATAGATTGGAATTTGACTCCGGTTGGAGAGGCCTATCGAGATGTATGAAAAGATGTTGGAGGCTATTGCTTCTAGTTTCCTCAAACCAGGTAAATAATTTATCGATATTGTAAACTAGTATCCATAAATCCATTCAGGCGAATCTAAGCTGATATTGTGTATTTTCTAGTAAATGTTATTAGAACTATAGGTTGAGGTCTCTAACCGACGCAAACTGGCCTCTCGAAACTTAACTAGTTTTGCTTTCCAACTCACTAGGCGTAAATCGTCTTCACGAACAGAAAACTTCGCCATGTTTTACTGGAAGTTAGTTATGATTTCAGATTAATTAGCGACAGAACCTCGCACGATCTGCCTTATATATAAAGAGTAACATTTCTACGATTGTATTGTGACACGATGATTCCTCTAACGTACCTCAGAAAATAACAACAAACTACAAGCTATTTTTGTTATCACATCAGAAATTTGTTTATGGTTCAAATGACAAAATGCTGATTTCTAGTCAGTTTTTCTTGGTTGATAATAGGTTTTTTTACCCAGTTAAAAGCGAATTTCAGTGTTTGAACACCAAGAATTTGAAGTGTTTTCTAAGAATCGCGAAATCCGACTCTCCCCCACGCAGTTTTGCATTACATTTGCATCACATTACAGTGAACAAACGAATATTTTCCCCTTCCTGAAACTCTTAAAAGCCTCTTAAGTTTTTGTGCCAAAGATGTTTTTGTCTCAATTTTAATATCCGCCAGGTTGAACGTTAGAATATTCTAACGTACACAATCAGTTATGTTTTCTTCCGATATCCTGAAAAGCAGGTATCAAGGCTGTTAAAGTAAAACAATTGGGATCAACTAATTTATTTAAATCTTGTTTACAAGATTTGCTTTTTGTCGACAATTATTGGTGTTTTGAGTCACTTTCTTAGCTAATCTTTACAATTGCTTTCTTTAATCTGTATTGTCGATATGTCACTCCCTGTGATCCATCTTCTTAACTTTCATTATTTGAAATCTTTATGCTCCGGTTTCTTTATGTAAAAGATTTATGTATAAATATATAAGGGGTGTTGTCAAAGGGAGTACGGAGGTGGCGCTGTACCCCCCAACATTTTGTCCGCTGGCACATAAAATATTTTTGCCTTGTAAAAGAAGGATTTTTTTCTCACTTTGTAACCTACTTGCGATAATTGGGACATAATTAACATTTCTGTAGCAGTTGAACTTTTAAATAATGGCACTAATGTTAATGAATATTGAAATAGAAACGCATAAAAGCAGCATATAAGGTTACCCTTAAATAGTGAGACACGTCCTTTTTGTTGGCAAAATCATTTCTGTACCCCTCCAAAAGAATTGTTGGCTTCCCTCCTGAAGCTAATATTGTAAATGATCCTATAAATTAATATAGTAGCATTTTCACTTTTGAGTGGTATATGAATGATTTATTTTTTGATGACTTAAAATGATATGTCTAAGGAATAATCGATTGTTTTCTTTATTTGCAGCCTGGTGAGAATTCCTATTTGATCAAGGATTGCCTTGACAGCTGTTCTCGTAAGAGCTTGAGACAAGATAAGGGTATGTCCCAATGACGTTGTTATGAAGTTTATTTTATTGCTTCTAAATGCATGGGTTCTAGATTCATCATTAAATAAGCATAATCTCACAACACAAAAAGAATGTCTTGAAAAAATAAAGAATAATTAAGTTTCCAAAAGAGTGAGTGAAGTCAATATATATATATAGAAAACTGACATTTCGTAGGAATAGCTAAACCTTTGTGCTACATAGAAAGTGTTATTGACTACCAAGGGGTAGCTTGAAGTCAAAAACGAACAATGGTTTTAATTTAGGTATTTAGATAATTTTGGGTCACTGCAGTTTCGTTTACAATTTTGTTGTGTCACAGTTGAGCATATTTATTTTCTTTGTTTCAAGATCAAAGCCTGTTGTTCTTTTAAACTTTAGAAATAGCTGCAGTTGTCTGCCCTATTGGATCCATTTGAAATTCTAACCGTACAGCTCCCTCCCCACAAACCCATAGCACCAGGCTTATGGTTTGGTCATCACTAAGTATTTGTATTCTGAAGAGTGATGGATGTACATCGATTATCTGCACATGCTCATAAACAGGGGTGTCACCAAAGGGGAGGTTTGGAGGGGTGCAGTACCCCCCAACACTTTGTGTGTCGGCACATTAAGGATTTTTGCAGGGCAAAAGAAGCAATTTTTGTACTCTTCCTGTAACCTTTTTGCAACAATTGCAACATATAAACATTTCTGCAGTAGTTAAACTTTCAAAGTGTGGCACTAAAGTATGAGATCTGAAACAGAAACACATATTATATTTTGACCACACCCTCAAAGAGTGAGACGCTCCTTTTTGTAAGCATTAATTACTTCCTTACCCCTTCAAAAAATTTTTAGGTTCACCCCTGCTCATAAATAAATTTCACATTTAAGATGTTAAAGATTCTTTGTTATGCATGTCAAATTATTCAAACTCTTCACCAACTCAAAAAGACCGATAGGAAACTGCTCATTCATGGAAAATATGTAACACAATTCAGGGTTGTCCATCCACTCTTGTCCTTGCCTGCTGATGGGGAGCTCTGGTTGAAGTCTCTCTAAATTTTAAAAAGACCCCCCCCCCCCAGAAGTCATCTCTGCAGAAGGAATACCCCCTATAAAGTTGTTTTTTATCATTACCTAAACATTTCCTAGGCATGTCACCAAAGAGATGGAAATTTTCAACTTTCACTTTTAATAATGGGTTTCCAGCTGCTAGAGTTGAAAGATGCTTCACATTTTTTTCAGAGCAAAATCGGAAGGCTTCCAAAGTATACGATGACTACATTATCTTGGGGCCACAAAGTGAGTCATTATCTTGGGACCACTAAATATCGTTTTTATTGGCTTCGAAATTTTTATAAATTTCTATTCTTCTGCTTTGGCTTCTAATTCGGAAATCAGAAGAATATCCGAAAGATTTTCTTATATTTTGATAAATTCAGACTTAATTAAATGCTGATTGTAACAGCATCGAATGCTTCGTGTTGACTGTGGTATGTCATGTGGCCGTCCAGCGAAAATATGCATGCATTGTCGCAGCTCTTCCAGAGATCCTCGCAATCTTTCGGAATGTTTTGGCTCATTCGTAAGGTTTTCGGACCCTGTCGGCCAAATATCGTAACTTTACAGCTAGTTATGATATCAACACCCACCTTTTTTCTGCGTAAACATTGCGCTGGTAGTCTTATTAATAATTAAATACCAGTTCATACTTGGCGTCACTGGTATGTTCCTGGTCAATTATGATTTATTATTTACAAATTGGGGACGTCTCGTTGGAGCAAAATGGCGTACTCACCTGCAGGGTTGCTTAGCTACATGCAAAACTAGGAAATTAAATTGTGCTTAAATAATGTACGTTTATAGGTTGTTAATTTCGCTGTTTACTGAGTCTAATTTAATTTACCACGCATTGATTACATAAGAAGTCCTCAATTTTGATCAACACTGATGCGTATGGATAGAGGGCATCATGCTTCAGACAAACTTTATATTTCAGCAAAATTCAATTGAAGCTTCATAACTTCCTCTAAAAGCTAACAATTGAACCTTGCTTACATTTAATTGTCACTCGCTTCCTTCAATATAGATGTAAGCGTGACAGTCTCTTTTTTAATCGATTTTTTGGGCTAACCTAAGGTACCTAGCTTGAATTAAAGTTAAAATTAACAGACGAAAAGATTTCTGAAAAATAAGTATTTCTCTGTAATGATCGGAAGCTTATAGCGAAATCCACCTGAAGCGGTTCCTTCACCTTAGTGGAAATGTGAATGGGGCAAAGTGTAGAAAGATTTTGTTATAAATTGTAATCACTAAATGTTGCTAAAAGTTTGTAGCCATTGCCCCCTGCCCCTTTTGCGCTGACCCTGCAGTACCTCTTTTTTCTAAAAAAGCGTTCCTTTTTAATCTCTTTGTCCATCCACTCAGCTTTTGATTGGTTATTGTCCCCATGTGAATTGCAAGAGAAACCAATTTCATGCGGACGTAACAAATTCGGATAAGCAATTTGTTTTCCTTGATGTCATATAAGTAGGGGAGCACCCCCTGACCCTAAGCGATCTATGATTCGCTAATACAGTAAGAAAAAGTCCTTGGCATGTTTGAAACTTGTCAATCGTATTATTTTTTCCGGACCCCAATTGTGGCTTATGGTGTTGTTTTTTCTCAAACACGACGCTTTCGTATTCAACAACCAAAAGTTTTTTTGGAAAGACAAGACAAAAACCGCAGCGGTCGTCTTTGGCAAAAAAATTCAATCTATGTGAACAAAATTTTTCCCACACATGGATTTCAAGGATTGAGAAATACATTTCTGTTGTCTGTTTTAAATTAAAGCTGTTTCATTTCTTTTTCGCCTGTAGGTAATTAGAGTGTCTGGCAATAACAAAATAGTTGTTTAGAAGGAATGACACAAATTTAGGCCACTTTGTATGAATCTGTAACCATGACAAATTATATTTTTCAGTCTGTTGTACACGCTTTTTATTTAAGGGACCACTTTATAAGGAATCTACATGTAGAAGGCCGAAATATTTAAAGAACTTACACTACTAAAAACGAAATTCCTTAGGAACTTTTCGATTTGAAAAGTTTTTATAACTGCATGCATCAAGAACTAGATAGCTGTTACCATTCATTTGCAGCCAATACTCGCAAAGATTGTTTGCTATTCGTGTGTCAAGTGCTTCATTGAGTAGTTTCCGCATATCGTCCCTCTCTCTATTAAGTGTTAATGCTTATTGTAGTCAAAACACCGAAAGTGAGATTTTCACTATACATAGCCTCCTTTGTGTTTTTGCTCCTGAGCTCTAGCCACAAGTAAAGGCGAATTTCAAAATTTTTATATTTTTCCTGTTTGAGTATTATTTTTATGGCATTTGATATGCAGTGAAATTTAAGGGACTATTAAGGAACTTTTGGTACCACAATTTGATGATTTGAGGTCTACGAATAAGGAACTCCTGGAACTGGGCCTTGGGGTAGGTTCCTTATAAAAAAAGCGTGTATTGTGTACAATTGAAACTCAGCGCTAGAAGCTTCCTGCTCTACGGACTAATCAAATGTTTGTTACCTTGGATACATAGAAATGGCAAGTGCCCGAATCGGTACCGAAGGGTCGCTTAGACATCACGGAAAGGGGAGCGCCTGTAGCTCAAATCATGTAACAGTGATTCCAATGCGTGCTGTGACATACCTCTCACAAGCTCTCGGTAATTCCAGATGTAGTAATAACTCTCAACGATTTTTCAAAGGATTTATCCAGAACGTCACGTTATAGAATTCCCTTACCGTATTTCCTCTAAAAAACGCCACGGCGTTTATTTCAAAATCCAAATTTTTGGCGGTGTTTCTTACAAATGGTTGGCTGAAGATGCGACGTTCAGTAGAGGGCGGCATTTACTAGAGGGCGGCGTTCTTTAGAGGAAATACGGCATATAGACGTGTTCTTGTTTAACCTAAATTCATAATGTCTACGTTCTTAGAATGTTTTTGAATTTCCGCAGGCCCCGTGCCTCCAGGTCTACGCAAGTATGATGCAATGCCACCAATACCGAAGGCATTTCACGACCTGGTTGACCCAGCTATTTTGACAGAAGGAAGTAAGTTATTCTTTTTCTAAGAAACTGACGTTAAATCACAGAATAGAAATTAGGCAGATGGAGAACTCCTGCCTATCAGGTGAAGCCTTAAAAAACTAGTGCATGCGTTAACTTATACGAGCCTTAGCATGTATCTGTCGTGGAAATTTAAAAAAAGAAGGAAAGTAGACAACTTTATTTGAGACAAACTGCCCCCTGATTGTGAACAAATTCAATTTTATATCATAATTCGTTTATATCTTATTAATGAATGATACTTTGTCATGGCTAAGTTCGTTAAATGAAATCGAGGTTAAAAGGGACTTATAGAAATCTGTTGTTGACTCAGGCTTCAAAAACAACAAAGGAACCGACGAGAGTTACCCTTCTGCCTATTTCCTATTTCCTATTCTGTGGCTAAATTTTAATAGATCTATGTTAATTTGACTGCAATGCCCGCCAAAGGTACTTGGATCACCCAGCAAACTATCAAGTATCATTCAAGTCACAGGAAGTATAGAACTTCGTGATCTCCAAAATCATTTTATAGCAAACCAACGTTCAAAGTTTGAGAGAGGAATGACTAAATTTTCTCTTGAAAGCTGAAATTATCGCTCCAAAGACTTGGCAGGGATTCTAGATGTAAAGCGATTATATCAACTGGAAGTATTGAATCTTTTCGAGTGTCTGTACAAACTTCGTTTTTACATTTATCTCTATCAGAAATCGAGTGTAGAGTAATTTTCATAGGGTTAACGCCTAAGAAATCATTTTTCATGGAACGCAGTCCAAATTAAAAAACTCATCGTTGTTTGCCCATAATTTTGATTTTTGTTTCCAAGAGTATACAAATTATATATCTGCTATTTTTTTATTTGCAGATTGTGACGTCATACGAGTTGGAAAGGTTGATTCACGGCTGAAAGATGTTGTCTTTTCAAGACAAATTTCGTTAGCTTGCATTGGACAAAAAGGAGGAGTTTTAGTAAAGTGGAAAAGACCCTTAGGTTACTAAAGATTTATACTGAAAACTTGTCTTTTCTGCCGTATTCATTTTATTTTCTAAAGTTTTATGTTTCTAAACAATACACCAGTTCCAGTCATTTCGCTGCCCCCTCCCCAATATTTTGGAGGACACGATACAGGGCTGATACAGGTTTTGAAAAATTGATAGTTTTTACATCATTATGACATTACAGCCACTGTCAGTCGGGAAACCAACACAACCATAGATGTTCCATTGTTTGATGTAGAGCCATGGACAAAATCGTCTGAAAATGGCACTTTTTGAACTTTTGTACCAAACCAGTGGCGGGCACCTGGGGGGCGAAGGGGGCGGACAATAGTCTTTTGTTCTAAAACAATGGGATATTGTGACGTAATCTTATCAAGACAATAGGTTTGCCCTCCAATATTTGACAAAGTGTCCGCCCCTGTACAAAACATGCCAAAACCACTTAAGGTTTATGTATTCCAAACTGTCATAATAAGTTCGTATATTATTGTTTGTGCTGTTTGTTTCCCAATCAACTTTTTTTTTTTTTGTAAAATCAAACTTAAAAGAAATCAATAAGGCAGAATATACAATAGAAATAGATCGATTTTTTAGCTCCACTAGTTAATTTTTTGTCTTTTTTAGAACTTCGAGAATGTAATGGCTATCAAATAAACTATCGGTTCAGAAGCCGAGAAGGCATGGAACCAGGACGCTGTTTTGAAGTTGAAAAGGTAACCTTCAACCTTTATAAATATATAAATAAAAATACATATAAATATATTTATCATAGAGTTGAAGAAAATAAGACTACATGGTTTGTCTCTAAGACAAACCATGTAGTCTTATTTTCTTCAACTCTTTCTTCAAATCTTCAAAAAACTTTCCTCAATAAATCACGCTCTACGTGCTAACGTATTGAGCACTGTGCTACGGAAGTATCAAAAGACAAATTTCTATATATATGTATAGAAATTTATAATTTATAAAATTTCAAAATTTTAAAAATTTAAAATATAAATATATATGTATTTATCTTTATGCTCAGAGTAAGCTTCAGTTAATATTTAAAGATCTTTCTAAACAGAAATGTTACATTGAATTTTTAAAGGTAGTTTTTGCCATATAATTAACTAATCGCTCTTTTTAATATGTCATCAATGCAAGGGAGATATGACTGAACTTTGCATTAAGCAGAATAAAATCAAAGCAGCTGATTTAGAGATCTTGCAAGAAAATGAATTATTAGTTTTTGATATAGCTCTGTTTATGTTTGTTACATGCAGATTCAATGCATCGAGCATCGTTTTCATAAGTCTAATCGTCACAGTTGCTGTTTCAGAGACTTATTTAAGTTGTTTAAAGGTACTCATGAACCTGAAAGCCAAAATGTTTGTTCATCAAAGCTTTTTTGGCATAAGTTGAAAATTATCTAGTGCTAGAGTTCTAAAGTGATGACGTCACAAAACTCTTTTAGAATTTTTGCATTTGGATCACGTAACCTGACAGAGCATCATAGAATTTCTCTAAGCATGCAAAAACAGTCAAATATTTTACGAATTGGCTGAATTTTCGCCTCATGATCACAGGTCCTTTCCCAAACAAACTGCAAATTTCTCGTTTGCTATACATTACATCTCCGCGTTATTAACATGTTTAACTGATTTTCCATTTTTAGAAGTATTTTATGGTGTTCTTTCAGGCTATGTAGTCTAAAGTAAAAAATTCTAAAATTTGTCTGTTTTATGACGTCACACTCTTTAGCATGTACTGTGCGAACGAAGGCCTGAGATAGCCATTTTCCCACGAAATGTTGACTGTTTTCTGTGTGATTTGCAGCTGCAAATTGACATCTTGAAATGTCTCATGTTTTGCAGACAGACAATATGCTTTTCATCTTTTATATGTTTTCTCTTCTCCATATGTTTTTATGCCAAGTTTTTAAGACAAATACTTTTTTTTCAAGAATGTGACCAGTTTCCTGATTGATAAAAGCAAAGGATTCAGTGGCCAAGACGAACTTTTCCTGGCTGTAAGTGACGTTCATTCTATCTTGGTAGTTTACAGCTCTCTTCAAATCCCAGTTTTCGGCCTCTGCTGTAATAGGAATTTTTGTCATTAATTAACATACGCAATAATTATGCTAACCTCGATTTCGTTTGTTTATGACACTTACAGTCGTCTCTTTTTATTGATTCAGTCAGTAATTAAACTTGACTCGAGGCACTCACTTTCTGTTTTCACTCGCGAGCAATTTTGTTTTCATTTGTTTTGCCAATTATTGCAATGTTGTACTCGTGCGTTTTAGGTGATTGCCCTACCACTACCCGTTAAGTGCAATATTGACATGAAGAAATATTCGTTATGCAGCCAAGGTTTGTTTTTTAAATATAATTATTATTATATTTAAATATAATTATATCCTATTTCATTTGGCATAAAACTCTATTCGACCCTTAGCTGTTTAAAATCTGCTTTGAATAGCATGTAATAAGATATTTAAAAAAAATTGTTATTTTGTATGGCATGGATTTTTATCTACCTTCCCTCATTGCTTTTACTTTTGAATCCTTCACTTCTTAAACATGGGATGGGGGAGTTGGAAAATTGTGAGAGAAAATCTCAACAGTTGGCAAAGAGATACTAAATTCTTAGAAGAATGCCCTACCCCCTCCCCCCCCTCTATGAGATGCTCTTTGAATCATTCATATACGCCCCTCTAACGAAAGTTTATATTATTCTATTTTATTCAAGGTGAAGGCAAGAGTCGAAAGAAGCGGGATACAACTGACACTCCAAAAGGTAAGTTGAGCCCTTTCGTGTATTTATAGGTTGCTATATTTTGCCACCTTTTTTATTGTAAATTTTCCCAGGAATTTGTGGGTTTATTGCAATTTTGGGTTCTGCACTCTGGGCATTAGAAATTGTTAGTACTTTGACAGTGACCATATTTAATAAGTTATATAAAACAAATTTGTTTCTCTGCGTCAATGACAAAAAGACCCTATTGCACGTTACCAAGGGGTTTTTATCGATACTGATTGACTAGGGTTTTTATAAATTTGTTAACTTTTAGTATTATATTTTATAGTATTTTTTCTATTGTTTGCAAACTTTAAATTGTATTGCAGAACCATTGGTGCTAAATTACACATTTCCTACTCTCTTTCCACCGTTCACTCCTCCAGCAAGTAAGGATACGTTCTTTCAATTACCTTTCAACTAACAAATACAAACTTCAATTAGCTACACCGATGTAGTTGATTAAATATGAATCCTTTTGAAGAATACGAAGCTGAAAATCTCTCTTGTGTGCTTGCATGACAGAGTGTTTTCCTCTCCATTAAATTATCTTTGCAGGTGCTTTTGTGTAACACACCCCTGAAAGTGGATTCAGTTAAATTTTGTCTGTCCCAGTTATGACACGTCTGTTTCTTCGACTACTTATGTTTGCAGTACCTACACAAATGTTGCAAGCCTTAACCTTATTCAGCCTTGTGATTGCTCAAAGCGGTTCAAGCACATAGCCTTTATCATCTTGTTCAGTCGAATGTCGTGTGGTATGGAAGTCGCTTTTAGTGTAAGGGTCAGCGTCTTTCATTGACTGCTTTTCAGGATGCCCCTGCCCTAACAACTGATATTTTTTTAACACCTTGATGTGCAGAAATTGCAGCTATGTAGGTTTAATTATTAGTCATGTCAGTAGCTCTTAATTTCTTTATTTTCTTGCAGATATTATCACTGTCGGACCTGGAGGTAAGCTAGCGAGGATTTCTCTACAATCTTTATTTACTTTGCTAGAAGATCATATTAAAGTGCATATGACACGAAAATTTTTATTCGCTTAAATCATCAAAGAAACATCGCTGGTAACGATGGTGAACTTAGTTTTTTCATTTGCGACTTACTTTCCCCAAAAAACGGGGTTTTCCGACACCCACTCGAGCTAAAATGTGTCACAAGAAAAACGCGGTCGAACCTGTGGTCACGTGACCCCTGTGACGTAAAGTGGTTGTGTATCCGTTGAATAGAACAAGGCTTCTGTATGGTTTCACCATGTGCGGGCACTACTGTTGTCGCCCAAAAGATTTTTTTCCTCCATAATTGTAATAAGTTTTATTTAGATAACTCAAGCAATGCCATCAAAGGTCGGAAAGTAATTTAGAAAATTTTTTTGGTTCATTATAAAATTGATAAAAATTTAAATAAAGTGTTGTGCATGACTTTATGGAACGAATACCCCCTTGAGGAAGATACCGTTGTGCTTGACTACCATCCTGGAAAACCTGCCCCAACAGAAGTTCGCCGCTTGGCATTACTTATTAAAAGTGCAGCGTAAAGATATCGAGCCATCATCTTTTTCAAGATCACCTTTTTTACACCGAAAATACCAAAACATTTTTTCGACGTGATGCTCTACCCTCAGTCCGCAAACCAAAACAAGACAAAGAACGCAGCAAGAATGAAAAAAGCATGGTGAGTAATAAGTTCCCTATTGTTTTTTTATAACTGCCTAACAGCGTTCTATTGTGTAACAGCTGAGATACGTTATTGGTAATGACTCGACAACACCGGGGGCACTCGCTTTATGGAAAAAAGGGACTCCTTGTCTCTCTGTGTGGAGTCCATATCACCGTTTTTAATACATAAAAATAAACCATTTAAACAAATGTAAACTACTTCAATATTTTATACAAAAGCAAAAAAGGTTTTGGAAACTAAAAAAGCAGGGGGTTGGCAACTCAAGAAATATTTAACAAGCAGGGAAATGATATTCTATGAGATAAAGATTCAAAATGCAAGTGAGAATCGATTAACAATAAACAGAAGTCACCAAGTAACAAAACATGATATAAAAACTTTCAATTAAATCACGGACTCAGTCGTTTCTGTATAACAGAAATGGTGGTCTTTGACCTGGTCAGCCTTGGTCAAAGACCAAAAAATTAATCTTGGATCATGTTTGTTGTTAAATGTAAACATTGAAATTTGTGTTCCTTGTTCTTCACAGGCAAGCAGCGTTAACGGAAGCTCTGCACAGATGGAGTTGCTTTGGCATCAACAAGGTTTTGAATCTCTCAGAAGTTCTGGAATTGAAGGATCTACGTTTGTCTCTGACAGACACCAAGACTGTATGCCATTGCACAGAGATACCTATTGAACAAAAACATTGTATGACTTAATATAATGGTTGATTTGAGTTTCTCTTACATTCTTTAGAATCGGCAGAATCATAACATTACATATATATATCATATGTATATGGTATACTCTTTTCTGCCAGATTTAATGAAAATAAAATATTAAATTTACTAATTCTAAGAATTGAAGGTGCTAAACAGAATTTGTATTTCTAGACAGTATAACTTTTACAGTATAACAACTAGACAGTATTTGTATAACTTCTTCTTCATTCGCCCATACAATGCAATAGGCCAGGTCGCTATGATCAGGGAATGGTGGCCTAAAAAAAGCAGAGATGTACAGGGAATACTGAATTTATAAAACTAAAAAACCCAATGACAACTTATTTCACTCACCATTGACTCAAAGTAATAATTCCTCGCCATCGATCACGCTGTTGGGATTTTTGTATTCCATCTTCGTCCTCTGCCCGGTCATGAAAGCTTCGAGCCATGCCAGCTCGCCTGGTTCCGCGTCTGAATTATCCGCAGAAAAAAGACTGGTTCGTTCTTGCAAGGCAAAAATAGCCCATCAGCATCAAAAGCTATTCCCCTTCACTTTCGTCAAAAGCTGACGCCCTCGAGCTTGAATATTTGCCGTGAGACATGTTCATAGACTCTCAAGTAAAACTCCGCCGTATAACTTCTTGTTAGTTAGCAATCTAAATTTTCGCTAACACAACCACTTTACGTCACTTCCTGTCAAACTCGACCCAATCCCTTATGACAGAATTTGAAGCAAAAATCGACCTTGAAACAGCTGTAATTACGAAAGTGTTTGTTTTTCGAAAATTTTATGGTGATTTTCGTGATCAGCATACTCGATTACGTGATGGGGGCGAATAAAAATTTTCGTGTCATATGCACTTTAAGCGTGAAGCTCTGAGTCCCAAGTTAGAATCGTCCAACCTTGCATACAAAGACTTTTGAAGCTCTGTTTACACAACATCGTGCACTAGTTAAGAAAGATCTTCATTTGTTACGACTTTCGAAAACGTTTTATCTATAATTCGTATTACAGGAGCTGCGAGCCAGGCTCACGCTTGTTTAATTTCATTCTCACTACTATAGCCTTTGTAAACGAGGTGCTGTCATAAGAGTAAGGAGGGGGCTGTACTGTAGGCAACTTTTAGAAGCCACACCCATGACAATGCCCACGGCCACAACCATGACCACACCAAATACACTTCCATTCTTGTCAAGGTTTCTCTGTTGGGTTTTTAGATTCATTTGAAATATTCACCGGCCCAAAAAGACTGACAGGAAATTAATTATTCGCGGAAAATCCAATGGCATAATCAAGATTTGCCAACACAGAATTCGTCCAGCCAAGCATGTGCTCACTTGTATGTGGGGATGGCTTAAACCCTCTAAAATTTCTCTTAATTCTAACAAGGGGGCTGGGATCCCAAAGCCCCCTCTACGGCACCCCTGCCTTGTTGACACTTGTATCACTCCTCACGTAATACTAATGATAATAATGGTAATTTTTTTATTATTTTCTTGTTTACCGATACATAGCTAAACATCCTTGGACCGTGTTGTACCTTAATTGTCTTTGCATCTTAGAAGATGTATTTTCTCGTGCTCTCTTGAACTTCCAGATTCTCTATTTTTTCTCTACAGATCCTGATCCAACTAATTTGACTATGCCTTCGAGGGCACCAATACCTCCCTTTGGAACAGATTCAAGTATGCCTCCTTAATTATGCTTTTCCAACCTGCTTTGCATTGCACTTTAATTGAAAACATGGAATGTATCACAAGTCACGTGACATTTAGCTTTCCTTCTGTCAAAGACCAATTTCTAACCGGCAACCATTGCTTCAAGACTACCAACAACAATCCTTTTCGCGAACGACTAACTAAAATGTCAAACATGGCCTAGCCGAAAAATCTACACACTTTTTAATAAGAATATCTAATTTTTTCCGAGCCTCAATATCCTTAAAAAATATTCTAATTTTTAGACTAAAATTATTCTTAAATTATTCTTGCACGGCACGAGGTGTTATTTCGCCTTGAGATCAATGAAAAAGTTCAAATCTTTCTTATGTGTTGCTTCATCATAAACTTAAACAATAACAGGAGAGAACGATGAATGTGGCATCAAAATACGGAAAAAAGTCATTGAATTACCCTATAGAGTTATTCACTTACAGATCGGATGAGTGTATTACAAGGCATTTATATAGTGTGAAAGTGACAGTTGTTTTGTTTTGTGTGAAAACTGAGATAAATAAAAAGTCTTTAAAAGCGTGATTCTGGCATTATACTTTAGTTTTTCTCATATTTTAGCGACTTTGAGCCTTGCCATTCTAATAGACTGTATCCTGTGCATGATATGAAAAATATCCATGCACTGAAAAATGTAATCATAAAATGTAATGCATTGATATTTAATGTAATCATAATGACTTCCAATGGCCCATCTCAATCAAGATGCGTGACGTATAGAAATTTTTTGCAGCCGCTTTTGCGGTCACATGTTCCATTTTCATCTTTGGCGTTCAAATGTCATGGTTTACAATTGCTCTTTAATGTCATGGTTCGCAAAGGCAATAACCTAAGCTTAAATAAAGTGTGAGCTCGAAGTAGATTAAATGTGAGCTCTCGAAGATGCGAGCTTTGTGCCATAAAAATGTATACCCTCTCCTTACAGATTGCTTGGCACCATTAATGGGGAGCACACCGGCTGACTACGCTGGCCGCGCGCATGTGTCGAAAGTAACTTGTCTAGAAGCGGGAAAGTTTAACAAGAAAAGCTTTATTATTCACTGGGATCCACCTGAAGGTCTGTGAATTAATTTGCCATCTTTCGATCGCCTCGCCTATGTTTGGTCGTGTAAGGATTTTCTCCTAACATTTCGCTTCTTTATGACCGGATTATGATCTAACCCTAACTAGACCGGATGCAATGGATCTAAGCAAAGATTTCACCGGACATTTGTTGAGCTGATGTCCTCTCTGCTAATCTTTGGTATCCATGACTGGAATGATTGACATGAAATGATTGACATGAATGATTGACATGAATGACTGACATGAATGACTGACATGAATGATTGACATGAAAGATTGACATGAATGATTGACATGAATGATTGACATGAAATGATTGACATGAATGATTGACATGAATGATTGACATGAAATGATTGACATGAAATGATTGACATGAATGATTGACATGAATGATTGACATGAAATGAATGACATGAAATGATTGACATGAAATGATTGACATGAAATGATTGACATGAATGATTGACATGAATGATTGACATAAATGATTGACATGAAATGATTGACATGAAATGATTGACATGAAATGATTGACATGAATGATTGACATGAAATGATTGACATGAATGATTGACATGAATGACTGACATGAAATGATTGATATGAAATGATTGACATGAATGATTGACATGAATGATTGACATGAAATGATTGACATGAAATGATTGACATGAATGATTGACATGAAATGATTGACATGAAATGATTGACATGAATGATTGACATGAATGATTGACATGAAATGATTGACATGAAATGATTGACATGAAATGATTGACATGAAATGATTGACATGAATGATTGACATGAAATGATTGACATGAAATGATTGACATGAATGATTGACATGAATGATTGATATGAAATGATTGACATGAAATTTCGATCCCAGTTTATCTGACAGTGAACCACTCCGGCCGTTGTCTCGCATAAAGAGACCATTAGTTCAAAAAGTATCTTTGCTTAACTTGATCAAGCTTTATGTCTTCCGGACGATTTTGTCTAAAATGATGCCCTCTGGTTTTGTTAGACTTCTTTGTGCGATTTTCATTAATTTTAATTGCTTTTCATTTGCAGATTACAAGAACAAACGGTTCACCCATTTTCAGGTCGTTTATGTAATTGCTCCAAAGAATGTTATAACAAGTCCTTCCAAGGTTAAGTGTCATCAAGTCGACAAGGTTTGTATCTTTCATCTTGGATGTTAACATAATTGCAGCTTGCATGTTTTTATGCATAAGCCTATTGGAAGAATAATAATAGTAATAATACACCATACTTTGTGAAAAAAGACAATTATTTACTTTTTTATTTTTCAATTCTGTTTAGTATGCTGAAACATTTTCCCTAGGTTTTGCTAAGAATAAAAAGATTCAAATTCCTTGCTTATCACGTACGACCAGAGACATTATGTACGACATATTCGCTGTGCTCCAGTGTCACAGTAGTTAATAGATGATCTTGATTTCTTTTTCAGACTGTCTTCTCCCATCAAGTTAATGGTGTTGATGAGACAGACACAATTCACGTTAGGGTAAATGTTTATTTTTTCTTTCATTTATTGCAAATTTCAGGACCAAGGCATAAAAAGAATCTAAACGATCCTTAGTTTGACAGGGCTATGTAGTTCGTTTGCTAGATGATTTTCGTTTTCGTTTTCTCTCTTGGACTCCATTGGTAGTTTTTTCTTTAGGCACGCGGCACTGATTGGACATATACACCGGTCTTGTGCTTGCGTTTTTCTGATTGGCCTATTTCGATCCACAGCCTACAACTGGATATATATTTTTCATCGTGTTCTTTCGGACCCTTGTTCTGACGTTTTATGCTCTGAGGAGTGTCAGACGAAAAAGCTTTTAGTAGTATGTTGTGAAATGTTTGCTTTTTTCAAAGCCATTTTGATTTCTGTACCGCAAAAAAAATTGTCTAGATAATTTTATTTGACACACACACGCTGAATTGCGTGAAGAACTCCACAGAAGAACGACTACTTTTCAATTCTTCCTAGGTTGTAGCATACCCTACTTACCATAAACTGAATGAGACAATGCAAAGATTTATACCTTGCAGTTCTGACAGCGTAAAAGGTAAATTTTTAAATAGTTGTTAGTTGGCTTCAATAGCTGCTATTCAATTCAATATTAAGCTATCAGCTGATTTTAACCACAGTTGTGTGTTGCAGTGTTCTCGCGACGCTATGATGGAGTTCTATTGTTCCATAGCTACAATCCCGGACAAAGTTGACAAAATTCAGTTTTTGCAATTTTCTGCTTCACGTTGCCCCTGTAAATTCGAATTCCCTCTTTCCCTCTGAGTCAATGTTTGAAAAGAAGTTCTGCCATTTGTGCTTCGAAAACGTGCATCCAACATTGAATCGAGGGAGCGGAAAAGTTATTTTTCAATGAAAAGAGAAGGCTTCATCTTTTCTTGAAAAGTCTCAGTCATCCTTGTTTGGAATTGTAGTTCAAATCTCTCAGGTGAGGCAAACCAGAAAAAAAATCATGGTGGATAGAGGCCGATCTTTTGTTTTTTGGCCTTGAATGTTCTTTCGAATAAACAAAAATAATTCTGAATTTCATTGATTCGTGAAACAAAACAGAGTGAAAATCTGAATTTCGTTCATTCACAGTGGATCTTGTTTGAGCTACAGAAGAATTTACAAATCTCGATGATATAGGCCACCATTAAATTTACTGCGGTTTTCGCCCCACTTGTGTCATAGCGTAACGAACTCCAGAGGGTCTACTGGCTGAGATACGGTCATCGAAAATATGAATTTTTCTACTTAGTTACAAAACAATAAAGTTTCCAATTAGTTACTGGTTTTTGCATGGTTCAAAAAAGGTTATAACCAAGGACAAGTTACCAGAATCTTAGAGAGAGGAACCTTTACTCATTTGGCTCTGCAAAATCTCCTAATTTTTTTTCAGATTGTATTGTAGAAATTCAAAACATTTTAAGAGAATCGATATCTTTTGACGTAAAGATTCCATAGATTGCGTGCGATAATGCTCTAATAACGATCAATGTGAGTAAATTGTACCAGAAAAAGTTTTTTTTTAAGATAAATATCAATAATCATATATAATAATTATCAATAACTTTTGTTTCTTCAGATGAAGGAAAGAGTGATCCAGTTAAGAAAGGGTTGATCGCTGCTCTAATTACAATTGTTGTAATTACCGTTATCATTCTTGTCGTGATCTTTTTTCTGCGAAGAAGCAAAGTGGTAAAAAACCCTCCTCCTCCCGAAAAAGGTGCGCTATCTGTTTTTCATCAGTTACAATGCTATCTAGGTCAGTGCAGTTCAGTGCATTAGGACCAACTAATTCAAATTATCACCAACTAAAATAACAGACATAAATTATACATAACCATTATTGTTTTGCTTGTATTGTTTTGCAATATGTATCGCTTGCAAAAGTCAAAAGTACAATTGAACGATAAAAATTCTTAAGTTTTTTCAATAATATTTGTAATGTTGAGAGCATTTTATTTCGTTGGAGACTGAATCCATTATGCTATATTATGTGATGTGGCTCCGTAGTTTTATATTGGGTATTTTTAAATAATATGGACGGGACGGGACGGGACGGGACGGGACGGGACGGGACGGGACGGGACGGGACGGGACGGGACGGGACGGGACGGGACGGGACGGGATATGAAGTTAAGTACATTCAATTATAGTTTATTACAATTCGTTACAATTTGGTGTTCTTATTTTACTGACTTTTATTCTTTAGAGAAAGTTTATGTCTCCTATTTTCCGGACACCGAGAATTACCTGGAGAGTGTCCAAAACCTCGTGGCGAAATTTAGAAAGGATTTTTCAATCAATCTTATCATGGATTTGCTCCATAAAACCGAGATCTCTGAGCTTGGATTGGCGAGATGGTGTCACAAACAGCTATCTGAATCTAAGAAGATAATTTTGGTCATATCCAAAGAGTATTTGAAGGTATTTTTAGTGTTTGTTTGTGCAATGATTAAGTAGCTTTTGAGATTTTGGTTTACTGATAGACGCTCAGGCAGTGCCGTTCAATTGTTTTTTTTCTAAAATATTTCATAAAATTATACATCATAAAAATATTTCTGTTACAAAGTTATATCCATTTCAAATTGGCTTGGATATGGCAAGTACAAATTGATGAGTTTTGCTGATGGACTGCTGTTGTTTTGGTATGTTTCATTGATTGTATTAGACCTATTTTGGTGGAGGTTTGGTGGGGGTTCTGTGGGGGTTTTGTGGGGGTTGAGCCTTTGCTCGTGTTGTCACATCTTACCTCCTTTGGGCAAAGCTCTTGAGCCTATATTAGACCTATTTTAGGGGTTTGGTGGGGGTTTTGTGGGGGTTGAGCCTTTACTCGTGTTGTCACATTTTACCTCCTTTGGGCAAAGCTCTTAAGCCCCCAAAACATTCCTTAGTAAAAAACAAAAACAAGGTGAGATTTGGACATGGCACTCCCGTTTTCTTTTGTTTTATTGTCCTGCTTCGGAAAAATCATTCTCCCATAGGCCCTAACGATATGTTTATTTTGTTCACCATGTTATTGGGTTTTCTCATAGATCTGCCAAGTATGGCAAGCCGGGAATACGGATGCGAAATGCTCAAATGATGTAAACAGAGTCTGTAACGACTTGCAGTTTGTTGTTGACAAAATGTTCGAAAGAAAAAAGAACTCCGACCTCATAATTATTTTGGCAGATGTGAAGCAAAAAGAACTGCCTGAGTTTTTGCGAGGTAAACAAATTTATAGTTGGCCAAAAAGCAAGGACGAGTTTAATGCGATAGGATGCTGCATTTTTAACAAGGAAGCAGTTGCAATAGTTTAGTTTCAACTAAACTAAAGGGACAGATTTTGATTGTTGCATGCAATAGGTACCTTGTAAAGGACCTGTTATATTAGAACATTGTTGATTTCTCGAAGATCCTAAACTATCATTTATAAGATTGTACAGAAAAGGAGGGGGTTTAACTACAAGGCTTCGAGTGTCAATAATATCTTAGTTTGTGGGAGGACAATCACAATCTTTGAACTGACAAGGAAAGTTCATATTGAAAGTGTGCATTGAAATAATTATTAGATTTGTTAGACTATTTGTAGTAAACTTACAACCCACCAATGTGGTTGTTACCGGACGATTTGCACACTGGTGTTTATGCATGGGAGGTATCTTTGTTGATTGTGAGGGTTGTGTTCTTTTTAGCCTTGCTATTTTCTGCACCTGCGGTAAAGCCCCGACTTTGCAATATACTAGGCCTACCTCTGAGCTAGTGTTCATGTCTTCTTTTTGAAGGAAGGATGTTGCATAAAAGGTTTATTGTTTTACGATACTGTTGTGTAGATCTTTTGTCATTCGATTTACTTCAACATGGTGGCCCAGACTACTTAGGTTCCCAGGCCCTTCGAATAAGCGCCCATCCTTCCACCTTCAGAAATGGGCGCTTATTCTAATTTTCAACTAAAACATAATTGGAAAGCAATTCAACAAGAAAGGTTAATGAACAACACAATTTGCACCCAAATCTACTGTTTAAATCAGCATCCCCCTCAATTAAGCGCCCCCTCAAATAAGCGCCTACCCTGGAGCCTCAAAAATTGAATAAGCGCCCAGGCGCTTATTCGAGCCACTACGGTAGTATGAAAACTTCAGTCTGACAAATTATTTGTTATCCAAATCTCGCCCAATTTTTAACATAGAGTATTTAACCGATTTTGTAATCTCGGTTACTTCCCGGAGTTATGTGGTCCGAAGTAATAATGTCACAATGTGAATTTTTATGAAGTCACACTGAAAAGCCATGGGCAGTGTAGGCATCAAAGGAAGACGTTTTTGCTCTGCCGCAAGCAGCGAAGTTTCAGTCACCTTTTGTATTTTATATTCATTGTCACAATATTGCTTTATGTAGAAGTCTTTGTTTTGTAGATAGGCAGTGTTTGTAGCGAAGTATTTTAGAGAAATACATCTACTGTTGATTAAGTAGTGAGTTGTCCACAAATAGAATCGCCTTGTTTCATTGGTATCTGCATGTATTTTTGCTATACTGAAAAAAACACCATGGATAAAATTTTACATCGTATGAACATATCTTCCATCGTGTTCTTTTCAATTGACATACATTAAGCACCATTCGCAACGAGGGGGTTAGAAATTCTGATAGATTGCGAGTTAAAAATTGAAGCGTCCAAATTGAAAGGAAAATAATAATTGAGAGAGATTATGAAGTGCCAATAGAAGCAATCAGTTCAGCCCAAAGAGAACTCAAATTTCTTGAACGTAGAGAGCGAAAGAGAAGAAAGTGAAGATGAGCTGGATATCTTATTTATTAATGACAGAAACTGATGAAAGTTTATATATCATGGATTTAAAGTAATACTAAAACAAAATAAACAAACAATTGTTTTTGTTACTTTGAAAGTCCGCCGGTGGAAAACAAGATTATTCTAGCGTTTGGAAATTTCGGTAAGAAAAGACTTCGGTTGCCCTGCTTCACCGCAAATAAATCCCACCGAAAATATATGAACATATTTTCAATTGGTCTAGCCAGGGGTACAGCTTTCGTGAAAATTAATCACACAGAGAGAGAAATCACTTTCACTATGCTTTCGGTAGACCTGTACCCTTGTACCCCAAATCTAGCTAAGAACCAGGCCCCCGTGATCTCGTTATCTTCGAAATTTGACTTCCCCCCTTTCAAATGACAATTGGAAACGAGGCTTCGCCAAAAGGGGCGGACCCAAAGGCCAAAACGAGCGAAGCATTCGTAATCAACACCAGCTGCAAGAACTGATATGTAAGTATTACAGTTTTGCTTTGTATATAAATTTGCTTCAGTTCTGCTGGAGTTTGATAAAATTTATATATATTGTGATAAAGTATTTGCGATAAAGTTTGATCAATTTTGAATTGGTTGAGACTATTTACTGATACCTGACCACGTAGAACTGAGGTAAGCTGGGTGCCAAAAAAGTCTTGCGTTGCGGCGCTTTTCTCCGAAAAAGTATAGGAAATTCCCTTTTGATAGAAATCAGATTATGTGATTTATTGTATAGATATTTATTTTTTAAAGCTAGTTGTTTTACCTCTAGGTCACATTAGATTCAGCCAAAGCTTTTGGCAGAGCTTAAACTGTCTTTGCTGAGGTGAAGGGAAACGATTATGTAATGATCATTTGGTCAAAACCATTATGTAATGATCATTTGGCCAATGAAGTTTAGAACTTAAATCTCATCTTTTCAACAACTGACAAATGAGCCAGCTAAGATAGCCAGGACATCCTGCGCTTTGGAATTTTCAGGACCGCTTCTATACCAATACCATATGTATGTGTAATACCCCTGAAACTTCTAGATCTGTTTTTCATATGAATAATTTATTCTATCTCAGAATGACTACTTTTAACATCTTGTACACCAACTGGCTAAGATGCAAAATATTTTGAACTGGTAGTAAAGATAGTAAAGACTCTGACTATCCAAAGTTCTTCAATTACAGTTTTGTTTATTCTTTAATTTTTTCAAATAAGAATTGTTCTAAGAAAAATCTGTGAGGCCCCAGTTTCTAAAGTATTTGTCCAGAGCCCCTTGGGCTTGCTTTGTTCTTGCATTGTTCAAGTTAGGTATGGCTTTGAATTTTTTTGTTGGCTGCCTGCAATGCAGTGCACACTGATCTGCTCCAAGAAACCCATTAGTTTCCGTCTCCTTTGACAAATTTATCTTAGCACAGTTGAGAATACATTGTTCATCACCTAGATGTAAAAAATTGATACAACCATCAAGGGCACCGGAGCTACAAGGGCAGCGGGGGCATTAATTATGACTGTAGTCTTGATTCAAATGTATTTTCGACAGTCTTTAGGATGTAGCAATGCAAAATTTTCCTAGGGGCTATGCCCCCAGACCAGCAACCCTCTCTCCCTTGACAGGGCCTTCACCTACAACCAGGCTATCTTTGGCTAAACGACGATTGTCAATTTGTTTTAGTAGCAAACTTTGATACCCTAAGGTGCCCTTTCTGCAGTTTTTGCAGTTCCTGCCTGCCCTTGCCGCATCTCTGATACAAACACTTTGTTGTCAAGAACAGATAAATTTAACAAACTCTTCGCTCATATCACATAGTAAATGTTTAAATTAATAACCAACTTGTACTAAACACCAATGTCTGTACAGGTCTGCTTATCTGTCATTGAACACTATAAGACAGACTTGTAAACACAATAGTTTTCATCTCATCTTAAAACCTTTTGTAAATTTTTTGCATGTCTGTCTTTCTATAGATCTATCACAAAGACTGAAGGCTAACATAGCATGCAAAGGATACCAAGGATAGTTGGGAACTTGTTTCATGGAATCAGATTAGTTAGAAAGACGTGTCTGCCATTGTCAAATGGAGGTATTTGAATTATACTTTAAAAGGAGCAAACACATCATTTTAAACCATTGTACTTGTTGAACTTAAACCATTTAAAACATGTTGAACATAAGTGCCCACTTCTTGTTATAAATAAAATGCTTGTTTGAAAATGGTTAAAAGCAAGTTGATTTTAATGTATGACCAGTGGCAGACATTTGAGGGGGGGGGCGAGGGGGGGGGGCGAATGCCCCCAATACTTTAGAGGACAATGGTCTTTTGTTTTAAAACAACGGGAAATGTGATGTCATCTTGTTAAAACAATAGGCTTTCCCCCCCAATATTTGACCAAGTGTCTGCCCCTGTGTATGACATTTTTCCATGCCATATCTTCATCAGCTATGATAATATATTATAGCATATTTAGTCTTCCTTGAAATCTATGCATGCTATGCATAGCTATTTCAGACCCTGTTTACACTGCCCCGTTAAAAAACCGACAGGACCGTGATAGTACAAAATTTGTTCGCTTTCGTAGCAAGGTAAAACTATCCTGGATAGCAGAGCCAAATTGTCTCGGTTCCAAACTCGCACGGAACAGTGTAAACGGGGTCTCAAGTTGCTAATATAGAGGGTGTAAAGACTCAAAGCAACTGAAATAACAGTGCAAGTGTGCTTTTATTTTAAAAACAACTTTGTCAGAAGATTTGTTGTTTCCCCTGCAAATTTTCTTCACTTTTTGCCTGAACTTTGGTCCCATGTTTAATCAATGTGGCAAGATGTCGTGAAATGTTTTGTTGACTTGCAGAATACAACATTTGATGTTAGATTACAACTGTAGGAAATATTGATTGATGCAGTGGCTGGCGTAGATAAAGGGGGGTCAGAAGGGTGAAAAACCTCCCGCTAAACTGCGTTTTTGTGGGAAAACTTCTGATCTTGTCGGAAATTTAACATGGTTTTCAATTTTTATCTCAATGTTACATTTTAAGAGAATTGATTTTAAAGTTGAATATTGTGATCTTCTGTTGGTCTGAATCGGATTGGCAACTTTTTTCAATAGAGTATAGTACTTCAACATGCCTTTTTCAGAGGAAAAGACAAGAAAAATCTTCGAGTAGTATAATTTTTGACACGTGACTTACATGACGTTTTGTCCAAATTTTTGAAAAAATAAAAGCTCTTATGAAATTTTTGTCAGAAAATCTAAATTTCTCGTACCCCCTATGAATTTTACTATCTGCGCCACTGGATTGATAATAACCTTGATCGTCGGAAGATCTTTTTTGCGGGTCTATTCGTCCCCCGCCGCATCATTGACAAAAAGTCCATCTTCCTTTCAGCAATTTTACCGATATTCACCCCGATCAAGGCGAAAATGGGAAGAGAAACGTTTTGAACACTACCTGACGACCCCTACAGCAAAACGATTAGCCTATTTAGGCCCAGGTTACACGACACTGGATTCACTTCATATCGGATTCGTTTTATACCAAATACGCATTCTGTTTACATAATGATGATCCAATCCGATATGCTTTCGCTCCGCTTTTGCGGAGTTAAATCATCCCGCTACGAAAGTGGTATGAAGCCAACCTGATATGTGTCTGTATCGGCAGAGTAGTCGTGTAAACCCTCGAATCCGGTATCAATTTGCTCCGCAACCTCAGTTATAAACTCTGTGCTTTCATCAATATGTGGTTTCATCAAAGAAGAAAAATAAATGGATGCTGATAAAATGAAGCTTTTTCTACTGCAACCCGCATTGCGGAGTGACCGAATATATTTATAAAATTGTTAAAATTCATTCCACATTTGTGATGCAGTGTTTTGCAAGCTATGCTACCTACTATAGAATTTGACAATCAATATAGTCCAGCGTGTTGTACATTGATGAATATTGATCAAAGAATTAATATATTTAATGACGAATTTTTTAAAATTTAAAGAAAATGTAATTTTGCCGTTTCGAGCATAACTCGTCACCTGATGAAGAGCACAGTTTCGCTAAATGAGCACTGCTTGGAAATCATCTAGGGGCGGCCTTCCGGCTGCCATTTTGCAAAGATCTCATGGAATATAAATACTTTTCAGGGCATCAGAAAAACTGGAAAAACTTCCGAATAGCATCATACAGCTCTAGAGCAGTCTTCAGTAAGGAGTATGATTATGTGATTGTTGGGGCAGGCTCAGCTGGTTGTGTTTTGGCAAACAGACTGACTGAGGATGGACAACACGATGTCCTTGTCGTTGAGGCTGGGCCAAAAGACTATTCTTGGGACTGGAGGATACATATGCCTTCAGCTCTGCAGTATAATTTGTCGTCAGACACATATAATTGGTATTATATGGTTGAGCCACAGCAACATATGGATAACAGGTGTGTCGCTGTGTTTACATAAAATGTATATTTGTAAGAGGCTTATTTTGACAGGGCCAAACGCTATAAACCTGTTTTTCTGTTTTACTTTGCATTTCGTTGCATTGCAAGGAGAGTTTTGGGCATAGCTTTGTTTAGTTGATAAGCCAATCAATGCTAGAGTAGCCTCGTTCTAATAGAACTCTGCAACCTTAACCGTCGTCGACAATGGCCTCCAAAAGTAGTTGGAACAGGGAGACAGGGCTTGTAATAGATGCGTATTTTTCACTTTATTTTCCTGTTTCAAGCAGACAGGTCCCCCTCTGCCCTCTAAACAATGTTGGGAAGGAAGATGAACATTTTGCTCAACGTCCATTACAGTGTTTCCGCTCCCACCTACATTTTTCACAATTTTCTAGTCGGAATCCAACATTGTATAGTTAAGGGGGGAGTTGTATAGGGGGTGAAGAGGAGTCGTTGAGTAAGAAAGGTGAAAAGTGTTCCAACACATTTTGTGGGCATTGTAGCTAAAAACCATGGGATATGGAGCCAGAAAAATCTCTCAATATTCCTTTGCTCTCAATAATGTGTAAAATTTTTGTTCCTAGTCCTTATTTAGTTTATATTTTTCTATAGAGTGATGTACTGGCCACGTGGCCGAGTGTGGGGAGGATCTTCTGCATTAAACGCAATGGTCTACATACGAGGCCATGCTTATGACTATGACGGCTGGGAGGCTGCAGGAGCAAAAGGCTGGTCCTATGCTGATTGCCTTCCTTACTTCAGGAAATCACAAACACATGAACTCGGTTCGAGAAGTCTCCTTGTTTTGATATATTTTCTCAGCTTTGCTGAAGTTGGCATAGTCGACACATATAATTTCCTTTGATGACCAAGGGAGTAACATATAGAATGACCAAGGGAGTAACACTAACCCTATCTTAAAGATTAAGCTTAGTTTCTCAATTTCAATTCATTCAAAGCGTTTTGAACAGGATAGAATATCGGTTAATTACAAGATAATACGTTAATGTGGAGCTCGGTAACCGAAACTTTGCGAATTGCAATATAAAATGCATATTTTATAATTCTAGCATTTGATAGTTCCAACTGTTGAGTGACTTGCAAGATTTCAGATAAGAATAAAACGGCAGAGCCACTTTATGTGCCTACTCTTCTCTAGCATTCATGATAGCATTAAAGATCGAAAGATGTCCAAAAGACAATAACATATGGATAAAACCTGAGAAACCTGAAAGACAATAACTGGAGGAACCTGATTGGCTCTGCTGCTGACAAATCCGTGCCCTTTAATGTCTAGAAATGAATTGGCCGAATAATGTTATTTCACTTAAATGTTAAGCTAGTGGTATCACAACCTGTACTACCAACCCGCTCAGTAAAATATTGTCTCGTGATGGTCCGGAGCTGCAGTGTCTGTCTTGGGCCTACAGTGTCTTTCCAATTGAGGAATAGTAGATGAGGACTTCCCATTACAGCATGCAACAAAGCAGGTCGAAAACTACCCTACCAAAATGTCACTGTCGCTTCAAAAATTTCGACCTCCTCCCCCCGTACAATGTTGATTTATTTTCCCAATACCTTCATACTGCTTTCAGTGAAAAAATTTGAGCAACATTGTAATGGGGGTGGTAGGGGGGTAGGGGGGGTAGGTGCTTTAGCTTTGCGCAAGTGTTCTAACAATTTTGGCAAGGATTGTAGGTTTGGAAGGAGATTTATCTCTCACGATCCCTGTATGTTTAAAAAGCTTGTTTAGGGTATTTTTATATAATATACCTATGTCTTGCTCGGACGTTTGACCTTTGATCGATTTTTATCAGGAGAGGATGACTACAGAGGTGGCAGTGGCCCACTTCATGTGTCACGTGGCAAAATGAAAAACCCACTTTTCAAAGCTTTCATAGAAGCTGCGATGCAATGTGGATACCCCTATACAGAAGATTTGAACGGTTTTCAGCAAGAAGGGGTAGGCCCAATGGATATGACAACTTATAAAGGAAAGCGATGGAGTGCCTCGCAGGCATATTTACGCCCAAGTTTGTCCAGGAAGAACCTCAAGACAGAGACGAAGGCTTTAGTTACTAGGGTCCTCTTCGAAGGAACAAAAGCAGTCGGTATAGAGTATGTTAAAGGTACGTTAATAGTATAGAGTATGTTTCAGTAGAGCCCAGCCTCCCAGCAGAAGTCTTTTGATAAATCAACGATACATTAAGTGGGTTTTTGTGATATGTACCCACCCAGCGACCAATGAAGCGTTAATTAGACAGACGTGCTTTTTATAAATAAGATACGATATTATGGTTGAAAATCTAATAACCCCCACTCTACCAGTTTTTCAGTCATCCAACTTGTTTTTCAGTCATCCAACTTGATTATTGTTATTATTTTATGCATCTTTGTCTAAACATATATATCAAGTTATTTATTCCATGTATATTTTCTGTTTTTTATGGTAATGTTTTCTTTGGTATTTTAAATACTATTAACGTTTGATATAGATTCACAAATTCGAAGAATGAAAGCGAAAAAGGAGGTGATTCTCTCTGGAGGAGCTATCAACTCGCCACAGCTCCTGATGCTTTCTGGGGTTGGCAACCACACGGACCTAAAACGACACGGCATTTCGACAGTTCTTAACAAACCTGGAGTAGGACAGAATTTACAGGATCATTTAGAGCTTTACATCCAGCATGTAAGTGAGGCATCGTATGAAAGTGAGGCATCGTATATAAGTGAGTTATCTTATGAAAGTGAGGCATCGTATGTTTGCCAGAGCGTAATTGCTTCGAGGCTGGTGGTGCTCAACGGTGCATTTGCTGATGCTTGGAGAGCCAAATACCCCAGCCCCATTCGCTTTTCAAGGCGGGCTGGATCCCAACAATGTCATTACAGCCCCTTCATATTTTTTGGAAGCCCTCTTATCCCCTAAATCTTCTCCTAAATTGTTATGGGAAAAGGAGTTTGAGTGATACTCATTCCTCTCCAGTGACATAGGAAGCATGTGAAAAATCAAGGGTCCAAACAACGCAAAGACCCTTGGTTGCATCCTTGTTTAAACACTGCACCTATTCATTATGAAAGAAAAGGCTGTGTGATTCTCTATCCGATCTCTCATCTGTCTTTCAGTTTTTAGCAGAATGGAGCCTTATTTTTAGAAAAGGGACATTTGACCTTTAAATAGGATAATTTTTCTGACAATAAGGGTTTGTTTCTAACAAAAGGTAATTTTCACTGATAAAACTGGCACTTTTTGAAAATGTACGACACTCTTTCTGGGTTCCAATCAAGGATGCCCTTAGGTGTGTAACATTTAAATACCCGTATTACAACACCCATAAAGCATAGGTGAAGTAAAAGGCTGCTTCATTTGAGTGGAATTCAGATGTCACTACTTTCCATAGATATGTCAGGGATTTTCTTGTCCTTACCTCAAAAATATTCATCATTCTTGAAAAGAAGACATTCAGTTTTCCACTAGTATATCCAGCAGAGACCAGGAAGAGGAGCCCGTCAATGGCCTAGGGGGATTTTTGCATTCCAAGAGCATGGGAGCAAGAATAGGGACAGCATACGTTCTGGTATCAACTTACACGAACCCATTTGTAGGGAAAAAGGCGAGAACAATCCCTTCGCTGTAGGACAGTTATTACTCTGATTTTATCGTATTTAATCTTCCTGCTACATTCACGTATCGTGATTCTCAATTGAACCAGGCAAAGCAATGCGTAACAACTGTACGTTTATTGTCATTGTGGGTCCAAGCTTTCTAATAAGAATTTAATTATTTGTTGCCAGGAGTGCAAGAAGCCGATTACATTATATAAATCATCAACAAATTGGATAAATATGGGCTTGATAGGAATTCAGTGGCTGACTTCTCATACCGGGCTTGGAGCGTCCAGCCATTTGGAATCCGGTGGCTTCATCAGATCCAGAGATGGTTTACGTCATCCAGATATACAGTTTCACTTTTTGCCATCTGCAGTCATCGATCATGGGCGAATCGTGGTCGACAGAGAGGCTTTCCAGGTAAGATGTCCGGGTTTCTTGATATACCTACATGTTGACGCTGATTTATCATTAAGTAGGAGTAAGCCAAACATGACCATGACAACAAACCAAAACTCAGATTTTGGGATAGTTGAAGGGTCATGGTAGCCAACCTTCTGATAGAAGATGGTACCTGATGAGGAGGAGTAAGCATTGACGTAGATATTGCTCAGACTCAGAGGGCTAAAAGTGTTGGAAACAGTGGCTGTACCAAAAGGAGTTTTTTTAAGGGGGGGGGGGGGTAACAACTTTCTTCCCCACTTTGCTAAACTTGATCCTCCTAATCTTGGTAAAGATGAATAAAAGCGTACGAGCAATGCCTGTTTTTTTAGTTTTTATCCTTAAAACCATAAGAAGGTTGTGACACTATATGTATTGCACTGTATGTATTAAAAGGAGATGACCTGAAGCATTTTTCGATCCCCACACCATTCCCCCTTCTAGGAGGGGCTAGTGATAGATAAGCTATGATGGTAGGGTGGCCTATCCGTTTGTCGGATTAAAATGGCTGATAATTATTATAATGTAAAGCTATATGCAAAGATGGAAAATCCTCTGATTTTAGTTAAGAGCACCCAATGGTAGGTTTTAGGAGATCAAGAAGTGGTACAGATGACCACCACGTCCTTATCTTTGTGGCCTCATTTTTGCTCATTACTTGTTTAGCTTTCCTGTGTCCTGTAGATAGCAGCGAAATTCACGCTGTGCCTTTCGATTTGTGGGTCTCCACTGATTTTTTTCCCTCCGTCGCCTACATGCTCCTCTACCGCTATTTATAGGTCCACGTTGGTACACTGAGAGCAACAAGCCGTGGATTCCTGACTTTGCGATCACCTAACCCCCGTGATCATCCGATTATCCAACCAAATTATTTAGAGACAGAAGAAGATCGTCGTGACCTGAGGCAGTCTGTAAAATTAACCAGGGAGATATTCAGCCAAAAGGCCTTTGATGAATTCAGAGGACCAGAAATGCAACCAGGTGATGTTTATAAACGATTGCATTTCACAACTTTTCTAAACTCTTTTCACAACTTAAATCTTTTCATTTTATGTTAACTAAACATTTTTTGCATTTTTTTGCATGGTATAAGCATTTTTTGGGTTTTATATATATTTGTCTTTGCTCTAAATTTTTGAAAAGCTCCTTATTTGGTTCAGCTTTATATTTTCTCTATTTATGCCCAGTTACCCCGTTTCGATACACCCATTGCTGGCCCCTGTTATGTCACTCCTGTCCGGAGATTTTAAGCTGTAATGGCTTGGTCTTTGGTTGAGGTCCTGATTGAGATGCTTGATGGTCGCATATGATCCGGGATCTAGCTTGGGGTTGTATTGTGGATCTTCGGGGATAGTTTGGTGCACGATTTGTCGTGGGCTGTCGGGTGTTGATGGTTCTTTTTGATGCACCAAGTAAAGTATAGTTAGACTGTAATTTTATCAAATATACTACAGCTTAATTTTATTAACTTTTTTTGTTGTGTCCCCAATTAGGTTGTAAGCTGAATATTTTGACACATAAATAATGATTTTGATGGATTGATTGACTGATCGATTGGTTGATTGTATTTGTCTTTACCTCGTTTGCAGGTCCAAATGTAAAAACCGACAACGAGATTGATGCATTTGTTAGACAAAAAGGAGATTCCGCTTATCACCCATCATGCACCTGTAAAATGGGTGATGAATCTGATCCTATGGCTGTTGTAAATAGCAAAGGTCGCTTGATTGGAGCTGAGGGTATCCGAGTCGTAGATTCTTCGATCATGCCAAATGTAGTTAGTGGCAATCTAAATGGACCTACAATAATGATGGCAGAGAAGCTTGCTGACGTCATAAGGGGTAGAGACCCTCTGCCCAAAAGCAGTGCCCCTGTTTACAATACGCCATCGGCGGGGCAGCGTTAGAATTTGTAATAAACTAGCCTCAAATTGTTATTGCTCTTGTATTCGTGATAAACGTGACAAGTTTAACTTCCCAACCTAAAGATACAGTAAACTCCCGATGGCTCGAACCCCCGATAACTCAAACATTCGACATGTTCAGCCTTTTCATAGGGCCCTTAGACCTTCTAGTTAGCAGGTGCTTACCGTATTGTTTAAACCCCTTATTTTAAAGATTTTTGCTAGAAATACCTTAAGAATTCTGAAAGATTAACCTTTGTTTATAGCCGGCTCTCTGCTCTTTGGCACTTTATGTTCACTTCTTTTTACAAATCTTATGGTTATGTTCATATGTACTGGCGCATTTCGACAAAAAATCACATTTGCGACACCAGTGTATTTGGTTTGCTTTTACTTTTTCGGCTACATTCAGTCAATAACCATCTACTTAAGGCTTGTTTTGGCCTAGACTAAGATTCTTGAAAGGAAACGTTTTCCCTGGAAGTAGGAAGCATCTAGTTATCGGGTCGTAGAAACTATCTGAAGTTGGCCTTTCTTTATTATGAGCTATTTTGGCTCATGGCTTTCAAAGCTTTAAGTGTTGCCAGCCAACAAAGTTCTTTTTGTCACTATTTCGTTTATTATAGATATAAGTATAAACAATTGCTCGATTTTTTGCTAAGCCAGTTATATATAGAGTACGACTAGATATTATCTCAATATTCGCTTGTAAAATACTTTTCAATATTTAGTTGAAAAATCAGTTTTTGATAATTTGTTGAATTACCTTCACGTTTTCTCATAGTAGCCCTGCAATAAACTTAAATTCAATTATTACGACATAGTGGAGAATTTCCAGCATTAAACGACGCTTTATTTGTGATAGTTTACAACAGGAAAACTTAAAGCGATTCCAAATGGGAATATATTAAAGTCTTTAATATATATCTGTACAATTTACTCAATCATTGCAAAATGAAGTTAAGAGCTCTGAATTTTTTTTGTATGAAGTGCCTCTTACTTGGTCTTCGCGAGTCGGTCTCTCCTTTAAAACTTACCTTTAATTCAAGGGTCTATTTGTAAAAGACTTGTTTTACTTTAGCTCGAGTTTCAAATAACATTTTAATTCAGGTTTAGAAAGCTGAGCAACGTTTTGCCTTTATTTCAAACTTCAAATGTCTTTGTGAATTCATAGTTTAGCCATTCCTTCTCGCTCTTTTGAAAGTAAGAATCTGAGTTTTTCTTTCTTGTAAAAGAGACATTTGGTGAAAAGTTTGTATTTTTTGAGGAACTTTTGTTGCGATTTCAAGAGACAAAGATATATCTTTAATGTTTTGTCATCAAGTACTACAAAAAAGCTACTGTTTTGAAATAAAGGGAAGAAGAAATCAAAATTAAACGATTTGATTAACAAGTGACAGGAGAAAAAGTAGAGTACATAAAGCTTTAACAGTATAGTAGAAATTTCATCGTCCAAAACAGTGAGAGGATTACCATTGGGGAGGATACTACCCCGTTTCCAGACATACTTTTATCCCACAATCCTTTGCCGTAACGAATTGTTCTTTTCGAAGTGTTTGGAAAGAAGAATAGTTCTTGCACCGGAGTGAGGAGGTTTTTCAGATTTTCGCTGGAATGACTGCTCAGCTGTTTATCGGCAGCCTTTCACGAGATACACAAGAGAGAGATCTTGAAAATGTATTTTTTAAACACGGGAAACTGCTTAGATGTGACTTGAAAAGAGGTAAGAAACTTTATAACGTTTTACACCGCCGGCCACACGGATTGCTTACAACAGTGTAATGCATTTTTGTCATTCCCATTTAGCATTCAGAACATATTTTTATCTTCTGTTTACATTTAGAATAAGTTGTTATTGTAAAGGTGAAAAGTAGTAAATTTTATTTATCCCACTCCTAGCATTTGTAAAATTCTTCAAAATTTCACTCATGCTTGTTCCTGTCAAATCCTTCATTGAGTACCTACTACATTTTGTATGAAAACGCAGAGTTGATCCAACACCTGCTTCACACAACATTATTCGATGAAATTTTTCTTTGCTCCTCATTTGTAAATGGATAGATTTCCCGACTTTGTAGCACTTTTACACTAGATCTCCGGTGCAAAGCTTTTCAAGGAATACAATGGGAAAAAGTGTCAGATTTTCTTCAGGTGTAATTGGAAAGTGAGCTACACCATTCGCATTAATTTAGTTTATTTGAAATGGATTGATTGTCAAGCAGCTTGGCTGCCTGACAATTATATCTGTTTACTAAGAAAAATGGAACAAAACAAGATGGTGGTCCAGCTTTGCATACCAAGTTACAATTAAACCTTCTGTAAAATTGTTTGAGAGAAGCAGTCTTTGACAGCAGTTTGCACTGTTTTTTTCAAAACCTTCTATTGGAACTTTGCATCTCAAAACCAGCTGATAGTTTGCTTCTGACCCAATTCCCTGCCTAGCCTCAACCTTTAAATGTGTTAAAATTAAAAGTGATTTACTGACCAAAATCATGGCCAACAGGACTATTATTCCGGCATGCTTTTCCATTGAAAACTGTCTGCAGGTACCCATAATCAAAGTCATACACACATTTTCCAAACCAGGTTTCAACAAACATAACCTTTTTATATCATTTAGGCCTGGCCATAAATAAGACTTTTAGCAGGGAAACAGTAAACAGCTCTGTCAGTAACTTCTGTCAGCTCTTACTATTTGTAGATAAATAAAAACAGAAACTAAGGAAGAATTGATTTCAAGGAGAGTCATCTCTTTTGAGAGCAATTTAGAAATATGTATCTCCCCTCCAGCATTTGAGGGGAGCCTTGAGGAAAGCCTCTAAGAGAGGAAGAGATATGGCTGGATGGTCAGGCCTGTAATTGTTCTGGAAAATCTCTAAAATATTTCTTGTTTACTTACTTCTTTAGGATTTGGTTTTGTGGAATATGAAAGCCCAAGGGATGCAGAGGTATGCATCTTTTAAGTTTTTGAATTTAAATGCTACTTTCTTTGATTATATAAAATAAGCCTCAATGTAGTTTACCTTTTTTTGAAATGCAGTACCATTGATACAAAGTAAAAAGACTTGAAAAAGAAGCTATAAACAGCCAACAAATTTTTTGTGGGAAACTTTTTGGTCGGAAAGTATAACAGGTATGCTTACCAACCAGCTGTGAAGCTATCCAGGCAAGAGCTATGGTGCATTTTCCAGAATGTTCAAAAACATAAGCTATAAACATTGAATATTATATGTAAACTAGTAAAACTAAAACTAATCTTGAAAACTTTCCCCTTAGTAAATAAAGACTATCTTACACACCAGGGTGTGGGTTGCATGCCTTTATCGCAAAAGTCTGCTAATCAAAACATGCATTAGCATTGATATTATGTCACAGCTTTCAACATCTAGTTATAATTGATACCTGACGTTTTGTTCCTTTTCTGTTTTATATCCTAAAGGTGTTTACGTTTTTCAATATACATATATCTATTATCAACCAAATGTTATTTTGCAAATATGAAGAATGTCTACTAGCTTGGAGGTGGAACAACCAGACTAAAATTTTCTGCTTGCATGCCAAGGAAGCATTATTTCTTATTTGTGGCTATTATGATAATAATCATTATGTAAGTTTGAAGTTAACTTTGCAGTTATGAATATTCCTTTGCAGAAAGCATTCCAAACACTTACCTATGCATCATATTCAAACTACCTAAGAAATTGTGTCACCCCCTTGACCTCACAATGGGAAAGAAAAGCCACATCCATTGGTTGGCCAGTTTTTCCTTGCAAGCAATCTAAGAATTCCTACTGTGGTCTTCCTTGTTTCTTTCGCATGGGACAGACAGTCCATTGCAGACATCCTTAGCCCCACATTTTTGCAGTGTACATTGAATGTTCAACTTCGATGCTCAAGAATTTGGCTTAAGTGACCCAGTGTTTTGGTTTGCATGGCACCCCAGTGGAACCACCTGCAAAAAGTATCCCCATTCACTCTTTTGTATTCAAAGGAAAGGCTACCATAAGACCGCCCCTTTTGCCCATTCCAAGCCCAAAATCAGGAGAGGATACCCACATCTCAACAAAGATGGTTGTGACATATCATTCCCTGATGGTGAAAAATGGTGTAGCATATCATTCCCTTTGACCAACAGCAAAGTCAAGAAGAATACAGAAAATACTTTGGAATTTGGCAATGGTGATAACAGCCTCCCAATGTTGCAGTGGTGAATGCTCTGAACTGAATGCAAATGCATTGCCCCGGATTTTGCATCATGCCCTCTTCACCTAAAATCTCACGTTGGAGCCTATCAGACACCTTTAGTTTCATGGAAGCACAGTCCATAACATGATGCTCCCAACAACCATGCTGCCCATAACAGCAATACTGCCCCAAAAAACCATGCTGCCCCCAACATCAATAGTGCCCCCAACATCAATACTGCCCCAAAACAACAATGCTGTTCCAAACTGCCAACCTACCCTATATGCAAGCAATTTCATCTCCAACACTGTTTTAGCCTGTTGAGAAGTGCCACAGTGTCACTGATGTTTTGAAGCCACCCATTATAAGTTGTGTTTGAAGCGGATTGGGTCAATGAAAGTTGCCTGCCTAACAGTTAAGGGACAGAGCTCTAGTTTGATTGGGATTGGCATGATCAAAGGGACGGCCATGTTTTTCTGTTGCACTACAAACATCAGCATTAATGCCTAGGCCTTAACCAAAGAGCTGCTATCCAGTTTGCCACCATTAACCCCCATGCCTTTAGTCCAATGAACCGCAAACCTTTCAGTGGATGCTGAATTTTTGGGTAAAAATCTTTTTTCAGTTAACTAGACATCATAGCCTTGAACCAATGCTTGAACATTGTCAGAGTAGTGCTCCTAGGAAACAACAAGGGGAAAATAAACTTTGGGGAAAATATGCATTTACATTTAAATGAATTGTTTCAGAAATGCTTTGGAGTGGAATTTTTTGGTGAAGGCAATCTTTAAAAATAAGTTTTGCAGGGTTTTTCAGAGCCTTTTCAATAACTTTTCATTCCAAAAACCAACTGCAATTTTATTGTTGAATAAATAATTTTTGTTCATACCTATTTGTTTGGAGGCAAGATAACATAAATTTATAGGATCTAAAAGTACAATGTAGATTTTCTCTAGTATTTTGAGTTGCAAATGGTTCATTATTGTCTGCCTATGTAGTTAATCACAACCCATTTTAACGATAACTAGTGTACAGTCTCATTTTGAGTGATTTTTAAGACACATTTGAACACCAACAACACAGGCTCAAAATCTTGCTTGTAGAAAATCTTTTTTGTATTTTCCAGAATGAAATACAGCTTGATGCTAAGGAATTTCATTTCAAAGCATTCAAACATGGAAAATCCTGAAATTCGTTTGCTGGTTGGCTTAAAGAAATTAAATTCAAATTGTTTTGATAAGTCTTCTAAATTGATTGTGATTTTCTAAAAACCTTCATTAGATTGTCTAGCTTAAAGTTTGTTTTTGTAGGAGGCAATCAGAGCAGAAAATGGGAGAAGACTGTTAGGGTCAAGAATTGTTGTTGAATGGGCCAAAGGAAGCGTTGGCGACAAGGTAGGTGTTACAAGTAAACTTGGTAATGTCAATTATGAGCTTAATATTTGTTTTTTTATGATTTTAAAGCATGTTTGCATTTTATTGCAAATGACATTCCAGTTTTCTAGTTTTGAAGATACATATATCTTTATATTTAAATTTTGTCTCTTTTTTCAATGAACAAAATTTCTGTCTGATAGAAAAGAGTGGCCTAATCAAGAAAGGGCTTTATTTCATATAACAAATTTTGCAAATTTTACAGAATATTGCAAATAACAGTCTATTTTAAAAAAAAAGTAATATGTTGAAATTTTTCTCAGTTACTTTTTCAATAAACAAAATTTCTGTTTAGTCAAAAGAAATATTGCTTTATTTCTTTGGCATTACCATCCAGTGCTCCAATCTCTTGATTTATGTATTGTTTTAACTTTGAATCTTGAACTGGAATATGTTTTTGATATTATAACCCAGTTATTTAATTTTAGAAATAGTGATAAAAATACTTATTGTTTTTCAGTGTATGATCTGTTCATCTAAGTTTGTGTCTCTCTGCAATGCTTCTATCTTTTATGGTTAATAATTTTTTAATGATTTTAATCTCAAAGGGAAGGCCTAATTACAATCTATTGATTTATTTCTTCTCAAAAAGATGCCAATATATCTTAATTAGTATATTTCATTTCAAAAGTTAACATATTTTTATCTCATATTGCAGGCTCCACGACACAGAGATCGCTCAAGGTCTAGAGACAGAGATTTTGGAGGTATTGTTTGTTAATTTTTATCTATATCCATTCTTAAATGCAGCCCTTGTTAATGAAGGATGTAGGCACATGATGGAGTCTTCTTATGCTCAAAGGTACAAATGTCCAGTTCTTCACTTACTTGGTTTATAATTCCTCTTCCAAAGAATTTAATGAGAAGATGCTGTTGTAATGGATTGAGTGCCTTGAAAAAAAGTAGAAATAAAAGTTAATTTAGATTTTAAACCAATAAGGTTTAAGAAGAGGAAGTTTCTTATTTTTCTTTTTCCTAGAAGACATCCAGATAGATGAAACATGTCTTTTAAACAAACTGTCTGCTGTTCTGTGTTAACCATTTAATATTAATGGTTAATGAGTATCCAGTTTTTAAAACGAAAATTGAGCTTTATGCTATATCAATATAAAGTTTATTGTTCCATTGTGGGGCCTTTGTGCCTATAGCTTGGTCTTTCTTTTCTGAAATGCTTTACAAGCTGAGTCTAAAAATTTTTGTATTTTTTTGTAGCAAGACCACCAAGAAGAAGGAGGTATGTTTTTCTGTTTATGAAGTATTTTCATTCAAATTTGTAAATGTCAATGAATAAGCTAGGTGTTTATTTTTGAATAAGTTATATATTAATGTTAGATTAAGTTTGCTCACTGCACCAAAACATCAGAATGCAATGAATGGATGTTTGGAAATTGGCATAGCCAACTTTTTCATTCTGATAGCAAGAGGTGTTCTTCTCTGTAATGTATTATATAAATATGTATTATATATATATATATGTATTATGTATGTTTGTAAATGTATTGTGTATGTATTATGTATGTAAATATGTATTGTATATATATAATATGTATCATTAACAAACTAATGTATCATTATAATGACACAAAAATATGTTTATATATATAAATAGCTATTTTGAATACTAAAGTTCTGAAGCTAGAATTGTTGATTAGGAGCTAAAACTGTATGAAGTTACACCAATCAAGCAGTTTGTTATATATGATTGAAGTGACAAAAAGCTGTAAGAGATGGAATAGTTGGTTTGGTTCAGAATGCCAACTTTTCAACAGCCTATCAGTCCAAATAAATTAGTCAGAAGCTGGAATAGATAAGAAAGGGAGTAAAGATGAGATATTTAAAGGGGTTAATTACAAAGGGGTGAAGAAGGGAAGCATATATATTCTGAATCCAAGAGTATATTCAGTGAATATTTTCATTTAGTTACGGCTGATAAATGAATTATATGCTTTTGTAATAATTTTAAATCTTGATTTTTTATCAGCCTAATGCTTTTTTATTAATCTTCTTATAATAAAAAGTCTAAAGAAAATGTAAAGTAGAATTTTAAAAGCCAAAGATCTGAGCAATAAAGCAATTTGCGACTTCTAGTTTCAGAGATTTTATTATATGCTTCTAACTTTAAATTCTAGCCCTCCAAGAGGTGGATTTGAAAGGGACAGGTGCGTGAACAGTAATTTTTTTTCTGTTTTTCGATCTCATTGTATTTCCATATTATTGATTCTTTAAACATAAATTAGAATTTTAGAGGTATTAACTTTGCTTTGCTTTTCTGGTATGACTTTGAATTTTTAAGGACAAATAAACAGTGTCTGCTAATATTTGGTTCCAGTCACTAAGAAAAAAGTTTTCCAGTTTAAGTTATCCTAGGACTCCTCATAATTGCATAATTCAAACTGCCAAGACAGGTATCCCCAAAGCTTTCTTAGGGTGCAATCGTTTTTTAGAAAAGTGTGTGACAAAATTGAAACAAAACGGTAGAAAGAATTGAATGAATTTTTTTGCCAGAATGTTGATTTTCATTTTGCAATGTCGTTTCACTGTTAGATCCCCTCCTCGTTATGGAAATTCATTTGATTACCGGGACAGGTGAGAGACAATTTTGTTACTTCTCTGTTCAGGGGGGGGGGGCAAATCAGAATGGGGATTAATGTTTCACCAAATAGGCTGCAGGGTTAAAGTTTATTTTTGATGTTTACCCTTCTATTTATGTTAAATAAATACATAGTTTTGTGGCTATTGTGGTAAATGAAAGTGCAATACTTGCTCGCTAAACAATACCATTGCCCATTTTATAAACCCCCCGTCTTCCCTCGTATTCATGTTAAGTAAAACTGTAAAATTACATGGTCCAGTTGCCGGTTGCAGGGGAGAAACAAGGTTTTAACAAGTTACCCAATTTTCTTCAAAGAAAAGTGTCGATCGAAAAGTACCCTCCACCTGGAGAAATTGATAGGTTGCATTTCATAGATTGATAGGTAATCATTTTTATCTGTGTAGTCGGGTTGTCAAATCATCTTTCTTATTCGTTATCCGTTTTGGTTTTAGACGCAGGAGCCTCTCTCCGCGACGCAACTTTCGCGATGATCGTTTTGATCGCGATCGGTTCGGTGGCGGTGGCGGCGGTAGATTCGAACGGGATCGCGGCACGGATAGGCGCTACGACCGCGATCGTTTTACAAGAAGATACTGAAACAGCACACCTATCATCCAGCATGTGTATATAAGTTGTAAAAGCTGCGTTTGTGAATTTGACTTTCAAGTGACTGTTCCTGGATGTTAAAAACCGATAATACGTAGATATTCGAACATTTAGCTATAGACAGCATATAATTACACTCGTATGTAATGTTACAGGAAAGAGTTATAATGCTAAGAGGCTGTGGGGTTCCAAGGCACAGGAAGGCCTACCCCCCCCCCCCTATTTTTTATCCAAAAGTTGGCCACTTCTTACGATAGTATTCATGTATCTTTGCCGGAACCCGACTTGCTCTTTCAATAGCACTACATCTATGTACCACATAACGATTTTAATAAGATAGTGCTTTAAAAGCAAGGGGTTGTAGCCTAAATAGCCGCCCCCGTAACCTAATAGGCATAACAAGAAAAGTTAGAACAAGGAAAGCGTAGAACAAGGAAAGCGTTTTCATCGTAGAAATGAAAAGCTGTGAATCTTTTTTTGGGATTTTGCGCTCTCTTGCGCGTGCTAAAATACTACAAACCTGTTGGTGGATCGTACAAGTTTTTGTTAATTTGTCAATCAAACAAAATAATTGTAATGTCAGCCAATCCGATTTCTTGATGGTCGTCATCTGATAAATGCAATCTGTGGTGCGAGCCTAAAGATAATGTTTTCACGCCTAACCCACTGTAATTTCTGATGATCATTGGGTACGGTTGCCATTAGAAGATTTTTTTTAATTTAGGAATAGTTTAAGCATAAAGAAAGGGGAATATGATTTTGCTGAATAAAATGCTGCAATCCTATTGTATCGTTGCATTTGTTGGAAGTTAAATCCTAACGTATAAAACAGTTCGCCAGCGTTTTTATTCATCCTTTTAAATCGTCTTCCATTTCTTTTATCTTTGAGTATATCTTGTAAACCTTTTTGTGTTTGTAAATGTTCTGCTGAGGTAACGAGTTTCGAACCACGTTTTTGGATTAATTATTGTTTTTAATTTCACGTTCATATTCAATTTTTACTGGCCAGTGCAAGAAATTTGTTTTTTTTCGTTACTAGGAATATCAAATAAACAGGAAGAATAGATATGAATTATCTGCCTGCCCATAACTTTGTAGCATCGAAGAGAATCGCAAGAGTATGGCAGGAGAGTCGTTTGATATTTCTTTGTGGTTTGTTTCTTTGGATTATCTTTTGAAAATGAAGTTTCTACTGCAAAGGACAGTTCTTGAATCTCTAATAGAATTATTTTTTAGCAAAGTCGTTTTCTACCCTCAAAACAGGAGTGGGCTAGGACCTTAACGATGAGTTTATATGTTTACTGTTTCTTTCTGAAAACTGTAGCTGTATGCCTCTTGAAACACCGTGATGATCTTTTCAGGAAGAAGAAGCCTCGACTAAGAATCTTCCTCTAATGCTGAAAACGTGAAAACCCTGTTGAAGAAATATAGTACATGAAACTTTAAAAAAGGAGATGTTTTCTACAAATTTTTGTTTCGAAACGAATAACTCCTTAAATTTGTACATGGCAGAATCTGCTATAACTTTTGAAATCTAATATCCAGTGCTGAAGAAATTTTTCTTCACTTTATTCATTCAAATAGTAATCTAGGGTTGTATCAAATAAAGACTATCGGACAAGGGAGCATGGCAAATGTCAACCACGGTCCTGTGATGCCGGCTAATCTTCTTCCATATTTAGGATAAATTAGATTTTTTAACCTGCACAGCAAGACCCGTTTTGGAGCGTTGAATTGAAAAGGCTTTACGTTATGCTTGTGCGTGCCAAACAAAAGAAATTTGTTGATCGCACCTCTGCTCTTAAGATGTTGCCGAATTTTAACTTGTTATTCAATACGGCGCGAATGTTTAGCACATTGGGCATTTGTTTAGAATTGACTCAAACACGTGAGTGCATCGGACACCGGCATTAGGCGAGGAAATTGCGAGGTATTGAGACGCTTTGGAGGCGCAATATTGGTAAACAACATTGCCATAACTACAAGTCAAAAAATGATTGGAATGAACTCTATAGTGTCTGATTTTCACATGACCATTTTCTTTTGTTATTGTCGGTCCTTGCTGATTCATTCATCAATGTGTTTTCAATGCGTTTCTCTCAAATGCTGCAATTCTTCACCAGCGGGTGTTCCCTTTTCACGTGGCACTCGCCATATTTGCAAATTCTGCCCATATTAGGCCTAGACCACTCACATGTTCAAAATAAGATCATGGTCTATCCACCGAATATGATTGGTCTAAACAATCTACTTCCGGTACAAGGTCAACATGGCCGTCTGCTTGTCCGCCAGTCAAAACAAAAGTTGTTTTTACGTTAGTAAGCGACACGTTGGATATAGCGAAGTAAGAGGATTTTAAATTTCAAGGAAATTCTGCAGAACTTTCTTGGTTTTACTTTTGCGACCTTGAAGATCATAATTATTAGAGGTAAGAAGTTTTGCAGTGCATAGTTCACTCTTAGCATAAAATTTTTTTGTCCGACTAACATTCACTCTGGTGGAAAAGTTGTGGAAGGGTTTTTTGCGTTGCAATGTTTTAGTTGTCGACTTTGATTTAAGAAACAGACTCATAATGTTAGGAATCAGTAAGGTGGATTCAACTTGCACGTTATCAAGTTTTTATTGAAAGCTCATTTTGTCTTGTTCGATTTGTGTGCGAGACACTGCAACTTTCAACCCTAAGGTGAAGGCAAATGTGTGTTTTCTAGTTTTCAATGAAATGCAAAAGATATATTTGTCCTGCTTAGATTATCTCTGTATTTTTCTAAATGTTTTCAATTTTCTGCAACTCGCTCAATATTTGTGATTCATTATAGACCCCGTTTACACAGGAAAAATGTGTAAACGGGATCCAGTTTGGGACCGATCCCGTTTCAGATCGGTTCTGAATATTCTTAACAGGCGGCTGACTTTACTTTCTAACTGGAAGCCCTAAGAGACTCAAGTTATTATGGATGATTTATTCAACGTGTGAAAAGCGACAGGGAACTGAAAATGAAGCTTACATCTATAACACGAAGCAATATCAAAACATATTCCCTTTGTTATTCTTATTGCTTTACACTCCGATCGTTTGCTGATCAACATGCCGGCTAAAATTGCTTGTACTTTGGACTGTGAAGATAAACCTTTTGGGCCTCTGTTTGAGTAAAGAAATTAAATATTTCTAACACACGAAAACAAAGTGACGTGCTAGTTCTTGAAACTGAATTTAGTATTGCAACTCGAATAAATGCATTTTTTGTAAAGCTACTATAAAGCAAAACAGATCCAGCTATTAGAATACTTTAATCTAGTTTAATAATTTAATCTATCATTTTTATATGAGGCAAAAATGTTTCTTTGTGAGTTTTACCTTATATCTCCCTCAATGTCGAAACTAGAGTTTTATTTATCATTCTTTGAGTGAAAAAGTATAGAAAACCACAAAAGTTGCAACAGGAGCCCAAAATATCTTTCAAAGGGAAAATTTGAACTATCAAAAAAAGTCTTCCTTTGCATTTGCAAAAATTTACAGATAATATTTGTAATATCAAAGAAACACCTGCTTCTTGCAAAAAATTAAAAGGCACAGAAGGTACGATTTTAAGATCTAGCAAAATGTTTCCAAATTTTTTTACCCAGTCAAGATATTGTCTCAAGCTCTTACATTTTGAACTTAGAGCTTAGAGTTACTTATGTATAGAGAGTACTTCAATACCCTCAATACATTTCTATACTCTTTCTACCTATTACATCTTCAGTACTTTCACTCTTATAACCCTTTTCCCATTATTATTGGAGAAATCAAAATATCATTCATATTTGAATCCATTCAATTTGAAAGGCAGATAACAAGTGACAATTCATTGTACTGACTGTGCAAATAATTGAGGGTGCTGCATTCATGTGCTTAAATAATTGATGGGGAAAAGCATGTCTAATTTGAACAGTGTGTGAAATAATATTACTGAAAGACTCAAATATGAATTGTTTTGGACTATTTTTCAAATATGAATTGTAGTTTGCAGAGATGCACCAGCTAATAGTTGGGGGATGCTGCAGTGTTTTATCTGAGTCTGATGAAATTTAAGCCTGGTTTGCTGTTAATTTTGAACTGCCCCTGACCACCTCAGAGAATTTAGTGTTTATGCTGTCTGATATTAAACTTTTAAACAATATAGGTGCAAATGTTTCCAAACTGGGAGTAGCTTGTTTCAAGGAGAAAAATTGACAAGTAATTGACATAAAGAAGGCTATGTGTATGATCTTGATGTATTAGAGCTTGAATATATTTGTACCTCTTTCACACACCTAATTGTTTTTGTGAAGAAACAATGACAGTCCTTGCTAATGGGATGGATGCCCCTATGCTTTTAAAGCTCATTAAATACTACTCCCACACTGCTTGCCTAGAGTTTACTGTTTGCCTACTTGTTTTTATGTCCCCTTAATGCCAAAGCCCTACATGCTTTGCTGAATAGAGCTGGACAGTTTGCAACACTGCTTTTACACTAAATGTGGTCACAGCTGCCTGATAATAAAGGTTCCCTTTTAGCTACTAGATTCTCTTTCCACCTACACTGAAAAACAGTATATGCGTAAGAAAGTGTTACAAAAGTTAGAAATTTGCCGGTTAAAGTTGTACCTCACAAGTCTTCTGAAGACAAACTTTCTGGCATTCCCAGCTTTTCAAATGGTGTTGGTCAGTTATGATTTTTAAGACCAGAACTAAAAATCTATTAGTAAATATACATTTGCAGTGGCAGCAACAGCCACTATACTTTTTAAGGGGGGGGGGGGGTATTAATAGATCTAGGTTGCCCTCTTTTTACTGTCAGAAAATACCCTTTTACCAGCAGCAAATGCCAATGACTATGTCTTGGTTAAGTAAAGGAAGCTTCAAATTTGTGGACCCACATCACAAAAAATAATTAGTCAAAATATCAAACCCTTCCCCAACATTTTCTTATTGAGTTTAGATGAAATATAAAATTGATCTTTCAAATAACTGGTGTTGTATCTCTTACTCTAGTTTTGAAAAAAGCAAGAATCAACGATGAGTGGGATTAATTTGGCTCGAAATCTGCAAAAGAGTGGTGTTTTACAAACACGAGGCGTGGCTTTTGAGGCTGCAACTATTGCAGCTGCTTCAAAAAAAGTGCACATGACGCTATCAAGTAAGGATTTTTGGAAGTCAGTTTATTCATGATTTCTTAGAATTTGATGCATAAAGCAGGAAAGTGTTTTTAAAATTGATTGAATCTCTATACCAAAGTGGCTGTAATATTTTTAAGATTACCAAAGTGACTGCACCAAGGGAGATAACTCCATTTTGTGTTATTGCTTTTGTGAATTTTACCTTCAAAGCTTGTCTCTCTCCATTTAACGTTATTCTTAATAAAATCTTATGGTACAAATGGAATGCACCATATCTTTATTGTCTTACCAATAATCTTTGAGTCCTGAGATCTTTTGATTTTTTTAATTAACATCTTTAGCCAGTGGTTACCAGCATGAATGATAAGGGCTAAGGCAATGTAAATATCAGTTTAATTGATACCAAGATTTTATCTTTTTTTGTTAATAGAATTTCTCATAACAAGTATTTTTTGTTGACAGAATTAGCATCTGGTATCTTGTCATCTCCAAACTCGATGGAGTTTTCTCTTGATGGGGAAGCAATATCATATAAACCTCCAGTGTTTGCAAGTAAGTAAAACTGGATTTTGATTGATAAAGTTAGTCTTAAATTGATCTTTCATGACATGGATTTAGTTCAGTTTGTGCTCCAAGGTGCAGATTGTCCGTTTTTTCTTCATTGGACCATATACAGAGTTGACTGGTTAGGCTATAGCACACTCATTTTTTGCTAAAGAAAAAACCATTTGCCATATAAACGAATTTCCACAACTCTTTAATGTCCTAAAGTGTCTTCTATCTATGTTTGGAATTGATTTGAGAAAAATGTTTTCCAAGGCTTGAGCCCCCCAATAATTGTCAAACTGTAGGGTATTTCATTTATAAGAGTGTGCTGAATGAAAAGGAGTACAATTGACAGCCTCCCCCCCCCCCCAATATGAATTTTGTTCCGACGACACTGGTTATAGTCTGATCATAAAAGCTTTTTTCAATTTTTGAGTTTTCATCATAACATCTTTGCATTTCATATTATGCGAAGTCTCTTTTCCAAGGCTTTCAGAAACTGTATCTTACTTTACATTCCAATTTTAATCACTTAGCTAACTACATGACAATACATTTTTTTCCAAAATTAATACTTTTTCACAATAAAAACACATCCAAAAACTTTTTTGTATTTTCAGTAAACGCAGAGAGCTATGATGACTATGCAATCTTGGAATCTGCTCGTGCCAAGGAGCTTCACGATAGTCTACAAAATGTCTTCACACTTCGGCCTAGCAAATCAGAACAACACGCCCGTATATGAATTCATCCACACCAGCAATTATTTAAACGAATGCTTCACAGATAAGACAATATTTTGCTGAGAAACAATTGTGTGTTGCTGGGGTGCTGGCTTTTGGCAGTGGATCGAATTGTAAAGATCACACAATTATCACAATGTTGGGTGTTGTAAAAACAAGGGTTGCAGAGGTTTCTCTGGAGTTCCAGAAAATATGCTTCCTTGTCAGTGTCTAACAAGAATGGCATTATGACTCGTAGGCTAGACATGGGCAAGGACCATGGAAAGAGGTCTGGGATTTTCAACCCATGGGGTTTTTCAAAAATGTACTTAATAAGACAATACCCCCCAAAAATAAAGTTTCAGCCCCTCCCCTGCCACGCGGTCTCTTGACATTGGAGAAGCTGGCACTTGAGGACTCTTTGCCAAAAATCTCTTCACTATTAGTTTTTAACATTGCAGTGCTGCATGGCTTCTGTTGAGAACCACATTAAACAAAAGAACCATAATTTCCAAAGAACACCCTTATATTGATTCTCCCTACTTGCCACTTAAACATAGAACAAGGAGGCAGAGCACTTTTGCCATATTAATGGGCTTCTTGCTCATTTTGGTTTTGAACAGTTATAATGGCGTATTAGGTCAAAATAGCCGTAAGATTTTCTGTCCCTTCATCTACAAAACTTATCTCGAAATTTTAGAGACGAATGTCTGTCTATTTTTCGTGATATGCATGTTTTCTCTTTTGCATTTTTGTGAAAGTTATATTCTTGATTGATGTATTGTTTGTATCTGTTGTCGATGTTGAAAGATTTTAGATTTAGGCCAAATAATCAGGAAAAGCATCATGAAGAAGCTCTAAGTGTGAAAGTCAGTTTAATGTTATACAAAGGGGCTGCGATATGGCCAGCAATTTCCCCCTTAAAATCACAGCAGTCGTGTAGTAATTATGTCTCTGTTCTTAAATTACCATATTAGACCCGATATATTGCATATCTAACTGATTTTGCACTTACAGAGGTTTTCATAGTGTTCTGTCTGGTTATTTAGTCAAAAGTCAAAATATTCCAGAACATCTTTTTATGACGTCACACTTAAGAGCTCTACATCAACGATGCGCACGTTTAGTGGAAGCAAAGATTTGAATTTATCCGCAAATAGAGCTTTGGCAATCGTTGTCACATCGCTCGAATCATTAGATAACTTTAAAACTAATTTTAATGCCATCGAGTTGAATTGAGATAAGAATAGCTTTCCTACATAGAAACTGTTCTTCGTATATCTTCATATAAACTATTCGGCCATGGCCTATTTTGGCTCAATAACTACAATGCCTGCCAAAAGTCTTGGAACACTGACGCGTCAATGACGTCAATTTTCAAGGTCAAAATCAATCATCCCCCTCTCCCCTTCAGAACAATGTTGGTTACTATCAAACGGGTTAGGATTTTAGGAAGCACTTTCTTTTGCGCTTCTTCTATGATATTTCTCTAAATTATCAACATTGTTTTAGGGGGGAGGGGGCGGAAGTAGTGATTTTTTTTCATGAAAGGAATGAAAGATATCAAATGCAGCGTAAATTGCTGGGTGTTCCAAGTACTTTTGGCAGGCATTGTCAATAAGATAACTAGGTTTATTGTCCTTCTAAACAAAAATAGCCTTTGGTTCTTTCTCCCTGTAAACAATCCAACTGACACGCCGGAAACGGAAGGGGGCTAGAGGACTGTAGCCCCCCACTTTTTTGCTCAGGTATGATACTAAGGTTGTGCCATCAGCGATAATGGTGGCAAACTACCATATAAGTTTGCTAACTTGCCCTCAACTTCAAAATATGCTCCAGCGTCCCTGTCAAAACAGTTAGTTACTCGCCGTCAAGAACAATGTACTTTTTTCAGAAACAGGCCTTGCTTGGGTTTAATGCATGTGGTAGCTGCAGGGTCGAATGTTCTTGCATTAGGTTCTTGTCTTAAACGTAAATTCTGATGAATAACTGGGTCAGTGCTGCACCATGTTATTTGAGTGAACATTAAAGTTGGCAATTTCTCTACAATTTAGCCATTTTAGCTTGAAGAAATTCTGACAGCCTATAAACTGCACAATAAAATTCTCAATGTGGAAAGTTTGAAAAAGACTCCAAGCCCAAGTCTCTCGCTTCTTTATATTTTGTACACCTCTTAAAAAAGACAAAACATATTTAACCATACGCTTGTATACATGGATACGAGGCGATAATTTGTATCTATGTAATAGTTTATTTGTTTCAAAATTTCGCATAAAAAACTGTAGATTATTGCTGTATCATAGCTTAATGTTTTTGTTTTATCAGATTCTCGAATAATAGAATGTTGTTTTCCTTCTCTCTTAATTTTGTGAAGCAGAATATATTACCAAATCATTATCGAAATAATTTGGCTTCAACAATGTATCAGGGATGTATGTGGGATAAGAAAGAATTATGGCCTAAAGACTTATTCATTGGATGAAATAGAAACTCTTATCTATCGTTAATAAGGGATGTAAGCAAGGAGGCTATAGCCTAATTTCTGCAGTTGCAAATAGGAATTGGCTGCCATCTTTACTTCATGCAAGGGCGTTTTCACTGGTGGGGAATTGACAGAAAAGGGCAATTTTCTTAACATGAGGCAACTGACGGTAAAAGCGAAAACAAAGGGACGAGTATACGAGTAAGACAGCCAGAGTCAGAGATTTAAGATTACCCTGAGACAAAAGAAGTAACTTTCATATTTTTACAACGACATCCATAAAATGACAAGGAAATAACAAGCAAAAATGGCTTTTAACACAATTTCCAACAAAAAGGGCACTTGCTGGTGGGGAATCATAGGCCAACTAGTGGGAAAATTCAAAGGCATTGTGGGGAAATTTCCCACTAGTTTGTATGTTAAAAGATCCCCTGTGCATTACTGTCATTATTCGCAATACGTCCGTATAGGATTAGATGCATTTTCTATAAAGTTTTGGTCCCAAAAAGTAGAAATTCTATTTTCCTCGGGGGAGTTTCTCAAGGCAAGGCCCAATCCTTCCCATTCTCAATAAATTTTCATTCAAAAATAAGTTGAGGAATAAACGTTAGTTGCAATGTCCTCTTACGCGACCTGATACCACGATGTTCGCTAATAGCAGTTTAAAATCTCTCCCAGCCGCCCCTGGCGACATCCTAAACATAATACCAAACACCTTGCATAAAGAAATTCATAAAGGAAATGGAGCAAATGCTACTCATAAATGTAAAGTATTTTATTTGAAAGAACGAAGGGAAAAAATAATAGACTTTCTTGGGAACCTCTACTGCGCGATGCTTTGTTGTCTTATCGGTTCAGAAAGAGGCCATGCAATGATTTGACTTCGTGGCCTAAATATGGCGGAGTGAAACCAGGAAGATCCTAGGAATCAAAGCCTGCCGTTTCGTGATATGATATTTTGAGAAATTTTTTATGAAAGAAGTTTGTTGTTTAAGCATCGTTTAAAAGCGTTGACGATGGAACGTGTCACAGAAACGCTGCGAAACAGAAGAAGTGCCGCCAAAGTCATCAAAGAACTTGATGCCTTCCCAAAGGTGCCCCAAGATTATCAAGAAACTAGTGCCAGTGGTGGGACGGGTATGTATAGTTTGGATGTAAACTAGCCAGCATAGACATAGAACCATGCATCTGTGCTTTCAAGACTCTGCTACCAAAGCTTGGGTTCTGTGGGTTGACGTTGAGAATCAGGTGGAATGAAAAGCCTAGCAATATTTTTCAAGGAGATCGACAAATTTATTCTTGTCACAGTGAAGGAATTTGCCGTAAAAGAAAAGAGTTTAACTAGAATCCTTTAGAAATTATGCATTTGGTTAAAAAAATTGAAAAAACTGATTTTATTTGTAAAATCCGCATTTTATAAAAAAAATTGGTAGCACTTTTTCATCTTTTTGCAAAGAAAAAATACCTTTTCAACAAATTTCTTAAAAAGTTCACAGGCTAGTCAGTATGAAGCTGTTGTACTTTTTGAGACAAAAATTATCTTCTTGTATATAGGGCTTGTTGTAAGGGATGTCAGTAAGGGGGTTCAGCCATAAACAGCCTAATTCCATTAACTGGGACATGTTTATCTTTTGCTTATCTCTTATGATTAATCAGACAACACCAATTAATAGGATCTGAAAAACTAGTAGATGCGTAGATCCCTAATGGTGGATGAAACCTTAAGGTTTTCATGAAATATGTCCCAGGCTTTTTTAAGAATCTGAGAGATTAATTGAATGGCTGTGGACACTTAATTATATTATAATCAAACCTCTTAAGCCACCAGAAGTCACTGCTAATAATATTTGCTATGCAACCCAACCAATAAAACCAAAATGCAAAACTTGAAAATTCAAGAGCTTATATTGATTAAATTCACAGCTTACACCTTGACAGGGGAGGGCAGTTTGGTCTGCCATGCACCTGGGATGACCAGTTTTTATCTGTGAAAGACCACTTATCGTTACATAGTGCAACCACCAAGTGACCATATTTTTACTGAAAATGTCCACCCCTGTCACCAGAGTTTGTTTTTGGAGACCAGAGGCCATTTGCAAGAGGCCAATGAAAGAGTTGCTGGTCTCCCACAGGTGACCACCTTTTATAGGAGTTGCCCATCCCAGCTTTACTGTTTGCTGTTAGCATATAAAGATCATTCAAGGCTCCCTAAACATGCACATATCAAATTCTTCTTTCTAATCCAGTATTTCTTTTGATTTTTCAGTGTCAGTTGTTGTTTTTCTCTTTATTGGAACCTTGATGATGTCAGAGTTCTTATACTACAGAGGCACTGAAATGAAATACACATATGAAGTTGATAAAGATGCAGAAAGGTATCTTGCTTTGTGTAATTCAATGTGTTTTAGAAGCAGGTTCATTATGCCTAGATCACCACTTTATGGTAACACCTATGCAACTAATCCATTTTGAAACTGTTGCCATGTCATTCCTAACACTTGTTTACTTTAAAAACACACAATATTTAAAGATTTATAGCTTCTTATGGTGAAGATGCTTATTGGGTTAGTAGTGCGATATTTTGTTTGTAGAAGCTCCCTTCACATGTTTTCATTTCAATGGTTTTTGTGGCCCTTTTGAGAGCCATTAATCAGGCCAGTTTTTGGTGTTTCCTTATCAGACTGCTGTTACTTTGGGTAATATTCAGAATCCATCAAGTAATTTTAAAGAAATATTATGGGTATTTTATTTGAAGGGAATCTCTCATTAAAATACCCATAATACATTAATTGATATGATCTTTACTTCAATCAGCCAAATACCAATTTCAATTGTTCTTTAAAATTTGTCATTGTTGTACTTAATGCGCAACAAGTTCCTTTGAATCTAATTTCTCATTTAGCCATGCTGTAAAATCTACTAAATGATTTTTTTAAGTCATATAACATATTTTAAACATTATATTCAGAGTTTCTTGTTCTTTCTTTAGCAAAATAACAATCAATGTTGACATAACAGTTGCAATGAAGTGTGATGGTAAGCTTGTAAGCAGTATTTTGAAAATGTATCTGTTTCCTTCTAGTGTGCTTTGTGTATGCATAATTTATTTAATAAATATATAATTCATGTTAAGGAATTCAAAGTAGCTCATAAACCACCACTAAACTTTCTTCCAAATAATTTTCAAAAGGAAAGCAAAATGTACAACGTTTTATTGCAAATGTAGTAAGCAAGAAAATCGAGATTTTTGTGTAAACAATAAGATTGCCCAGAATGATAAAGTTGTGTCATTTTCACATTTTTACACAATTTAATGAATTGACACTCCACTCTGTATGACATAATTTTGCTTCTGATCTGATCAGTAGTACTTTTTCAAAGTTGAAACAAATATTTTGCATTTATCTGATCTATTTTATTGTATCTTTCCTTTTGCAAACTTATCAAATTCTATGAGCTGTAGCTGTTTTTTATGAATAATATTGTTTTTAAATTTAATATTCTGTCTAGATATTGGTGCAGATGTTCTTGATCTATCTGGTACAAGCATTGATACAGATGCTCATTTGAAATTAGAAGAGGTAACTAAGAATAAATTTCATGTTTACCAATTTTTAGCAGCAAGTTAAAGTGGTGTAAGGTTCATGATGATGTTTCCATATACATATCAATGCAACAAGGATGAAAAATGTTTTGAGCCAATCAGACTGTTTGTTTACAATTTGAACCAGCCAATGGTATAGCGTCAAAGACAATAGAAATCTGAAGAGAAAATAGCATCAAATCAGCCGCAACAGTAACGCTCGCACCTCCTATCCAAAGCTATGGGGAAAAACCGGCGCCACAAAAAGTTAACGCTGAACGCATAACTCAAAACATTTTTCATCCTTGTTTATCAATGCTGGATTTGCTAATGTTTTTCTTAGCAAAAAATAGTGAAAAATCTCCTTTGAACCTTATTATCCTCTCTATACTGATATCCAAATAAGGTGAAAGTTTTGCTCGTTGCTCTTAACTTTATCCTTCTGATCCTGCTAATAAGTTCTTTGTTACACTAGTAAAGCTAGGTATAAGCTTCCAATGATTATACAAAAATAGGTTTACTGGAAGCTTCAGGATATCTCCAAAATTTTTTGTTGGAAAGTGGTTTGTCTGAAATTCGTAGAAATGCCTGTGAAAGTTTTGAGTCCTTAATCATTTTTTAGAATTTGTTCTGTCTGAAAATTTAATACTTTTTGTTTTGAATTGTTCATATTTGACTAACTCTCAACGTTGAATTATTTTGATGAAAGTCTTATTTTCATATGATCTGCAAATGTTTGCTTCTAGACATACTTCAGGTTGGGTAAAAACCAACAGAAATGGAGAGAGTATGTATTAGTTTTGATTTTGTTAAGAACTTCGTGGTTATTACTTGCTGAGCATGAAGTCCAACTTAATTCATAATACATGAGACCACCCTAAATCCTCTAATTGGCCCCCCCTCGAATAAGCCCCAACTGCTGCTGTAAGTCCTTGAATTGGCCCCTTTAAATTTGATGATTTTTGCCATCTGAGGTTGTTTTGGCGTTTTTATAAATTACCTCAAAAATTCATACTTTTAGTAAAAATTAATTTAACGCTCATAAAGACATCCCTGCTAAAATAAACGAGGTCTTTTAATAATGTCGTCTTAATGACTACAATAATTTTATAAGTCCCCCTTCGTATTAGCCTCCCCTTCAAATAAGCCCCCATCCAAAAGTATCAAAAGTAAATGAGCCCCCAGGGGGCTAACTCAAGGATTTACGGTATGTAAATAGCTAAGAGTGTTGGAGGACACAATAGAGTTAATAATATATTTCAGATGTTGTCGATGAAATAGGAAAAATTCATGAAACTGTTTCATTTTCAAGCAGACTAACCCCCCTTATATAGATGTGAATGTATGTTCAACTAGAGGAATGAGCACCCAACTCAGACATGCTCAATCTTATTCTGTTTTATAGGAATAAGAGCCTTCAGGCATACATACTTAATGGTTTCTCTATTTATTAAGTTTGGATGAAAGTAGTAAGCAAGGAATAATAATATCACGTTATTGTCACTTATCGTTCAGTCAAGGCAAATCTCTATAACGAAGTCTCTATTTCAGTCTCGTATACAGACACCAATCAGATGGCTATAGGACAATCAATGATGTCTTAGACATATATGGAGCAGCTGGTGGTGAATCTTTGCCAACATACATGCCTCCAAGGTAATGGAAGATTTGGTTTTTATGGCTTTGTGTGGTCGTGAAATGAGTGTAAGCTGACATGAGTTGTACACAGGGACGCCTGCTCAAGATTAAGGCAGGAGGGGCAGTGTTGGTGCTGTAGGCAAATAGTAGAAATTTTTCTGCTACCAAAATTGAGTACTTGTGAGGGGGGGGGTACAAAGTATATCTTTTGACATAGATCTTTTCCACCCATTCACCCGGGTTCTTTGCAATCAAAGGATCTACACATAGACATAATGTTCTCAAAATTATCCATGTAAGTGGGTATTAAATGGCCTCATCATTATTCGCAATGTTTGGTGTTGCAAAAATCATGGCAATTGTAAATGGGCTGGTTGTTAGATTTTAATTGTCGTCTCAATATTCCATGGTTGCAGAATCATTGAGAGTGTAAAAGGAAAAAAATAATTACACGAAACAAAAGTAAATCAAATAATGGTTTTCTTCAGCGTGTTTCTTATATCAAGGTATAAAATAAGCGTAACAATTACGTTCGGACAGTAGCTAGAAAAGTCAGTATCTTATAAGACGTCGTTGGTTTTTTGATGTTTATTATCGTCTACTGAAAAATAATTTTTCCTTTATCAAAGACCGACAGCAAAAGAGGAGATTTTCTAATTTTTATTTGATTTATAATGGAAATTAACATAATGAGAGTGGCAAAACTATTCATCGATTATCTACAAGAATTTATAATCTTTACTTAGGAGCTTAAATTTAAGGACACTGATTGTCCCCTCTGCCCCTCCCGGAAGAGGGCAGGAGAGGCAGCTGTCCATGCAGCCCCTCCAGGGTAGGCGCCCCTGGTCATACATTAGGCAGTCCTTGAATTAGGAGTGCTTGATGAGAAACGACTTTTGATGAGCTAAATATTTTTGAAAGTTTAATGATTTTTTAAAACATCATTACCAAAAATGTCTTATTGTTTTAAATGTTTATTAAGTTTATTTCGCAATCCTAGTTTAGGAGCATAAGCGTTTTTGGACTTTACTTATCATTACAAGATTTTCTTGCTGTGAAACTGTAGTCATTTTTGAAGAGTGTTTGCCCATTCTTTTCTAATCCATTTTGGAACGATATTTAGGAGTAAATTTCTAGATATGAATGAAATTTGATTTTTTCCCAGAAATGACCAAGAATTTAAAGATGAGCCTCTAGATTCTTGTCGAATATTTGGAGGTATCAATGTCAACAAAGTCGCCGGAAATTTCCATATAACAGCAGGAAAGTAAGTGCGGCCACGAATTTTAGTCTGAAGAAAGTCGCCACAGCTCTGCAGATATTCAAACAATGACATCCTGGGGTCCCTGAAAGGGTTCTTGTTCAATCCTTTCCCCCATATTTGCCCTAAAACCCCATCGTTACCAACTTTTCCAATATTTGCAATATTTTTTTCAATTTGAATTTAATTTACAGTTTTATGTTCACCTAAGAATTTTTAAATGTCTTATCTAGTCCCTTGTTCTCCACAACCTCATTTGTCTGTCAACTTTATTCGTTGCTTGAAGATTTTCGCTTGTTTTGTGTCATAGATTCTTCTTAAAATGATTGTCGCAACTATATCCTTCTTTAAAATTCAAAATGAAGCATTGTATGCTCCTTTTAAATTTTGTTTCTATTTTACATCTTACCGTAATTTCGAGGCTACGCCCAGCTATAAAGAAGGTAAAAAGGTGATGCATTGGTTTATAAAAGGGCACCAACCCCACTGCCAGTTTTGAACTTTATGAAAGCCTGTTGTTGCCATTAACTTGATGAATTGATGAATTGAAATAGAAATGAATTTAGCAGAGAATGTTGAGAGGTATTTGACAGAGAGACTGTCTTCGTTCAGATTTTGGAGGTGATATGTTTTACTTTAACTTGTTATCGATTTTTTTTTACCTTATCCGACAGGTCAATTCCACACCCAAGAGGACACGCACATTTAAGCGCTTTAGTGTCAGAAGAAAGTGAGTTTAAAAAGAGATAATTTGCTACAAAATCTGCTTAGGAAGGATAACTTCGTAAGCTTTTTAAACCCTTTGTAACCCACAATAATAAACCCTTTGTAACCCACAATAATAAACCCTTTGTAACCCACAATAAAAATTACCATTCAAGAGCTTAACTGTACTTGCTTAAATAAATTAAACAGTTGTCAAAAATTTTCCTATAGGATCTACGTAACTGAACTGTTCCCTTGAAATTCAATGTGTATTGATAAACTTAATCCTTGTCTCCACAGGCCAGAATTATACATTGTTTCACAAAAGGCTCTTGCCGAAACGAAGCACAATTAATTCCTGATCTCTGTGAAATATATTTTCAATTATTAAACAGTTTCTAACATGTCTATTGCCTTTTTCAGCTCAGAATTTCTCTCACCGTATCGATAAATTGTCATTTGGAACACCGATACCTGGTGTAATTAACCCCTTGGACGGGGATATTCAAGTAACTACAAGCAGTACGTCTTTATTCCTTTATACTCACATTAACAATTTTAATATATCACTATTCTATACCAATAGAAATCGAAAAAATCTTCAATTAGAATGGAAGATGCTGGATAAAAAATTTGCCAACATGCATGGTTCTGATTCTGATTGTTCTTATTCGCAATCTTCTCCTCCCACTTTCTTTCCTTTTTCGTCTTCTTCTTCTCATTCTTTCCCTTTTCCTCTTTTGTTTATCTGTTTTAATCTTATTCTAATTCATCTTCTTTTTCTCTTTCTTGTTCTTGTTCTTCTTCTTAGCATCGTCCTTGTATTCTTCTTCGACTTCTTCTCCTTCCTCGTCTCTTCTTTTACTTCTCTTTCTTGTTCTTGCTCTTCTTCTTCTTCTTAGCATCACCCTCGTATTCTTCTTCTTTCTCTTCTTTTTCTTCTTCTTCTTTTTCTTCTTCTTCTTTTTCTGCTTCTTTTTCTTCTTCTTCTTTTTCTACTTCTTCTTCTTCTTCTTCTCTTCTTCTCCTCCTTCTTCTTCTTCTTCTTCTACTTCTTATTCTTCTTCTTAGCATCATCCTCGTATTCTTCTTCTTCTTCTTCTCCTCCTACTTCTTCTTATTCTTCTTCGTCTTCTTCTTCTTCTTTTTCTTCTTTTTCTTCTTCTCCTTCTTCTTAGCATCGTCCTCGTATTCTTCTTCTTTTTCTTATTCTTCTTCTTTTTCTTCTTCTTTTTCTCCTTTTTCATCTTCTTCTTCTTCTTCATCTTCTTTTTCTTATTCTTCTCCTCCTTCTTCTTCTTATTCTTCTTCATCTTCTTATTCTTTTTCTTATTCTTCTTCTTCTTCTTTTTCTTCTTCTCCTTCTTCTTAGCATCATCCTTATATTCTTCTTCGACTTCTTCTTCTTCTTCTTCTTCTTCTTCTTCTTCTTCTTTTTCTTCTTTTTCTTCTTCTCCTTCTTCTTATAATCGTCCTCGTATTCTTCTTCTTCTTCTTCTTTTTCTTATTCTTTTTCTTCTTCTTTTTCTCCTTTTTCATCTTCTTCTTCATCTTCTTCTTCTTCCTCATCTCTTCTTTTTCTTATTCATCATCTTCGTCTTAGTTTTCTTCTCATTTGCTATTTACCTACACCATCTTAACCTTACATTCACATCAACCTGATTTTTTCCAAACATTCTAATAACTGCTTGCTTGATTATTCAAACAAATATTATTTTCCAGATAATGCAATGTATCAATATTATATCAAGGTATGTGTGCTCTCGTTTTCAGTAAACTTCCATTTTATTTGTGATGATAAAAATTGTTCCATTTTGCATTTTACTGGTGGCTCTTCAAGCTACAGTAAATGGAACACTTCACTTTCAGAAGGTTCTTAATAACAAACTGCGATTTTTACCCTAGATTTTAATCATTCAATTATTTCATTGAAATGCATGCTTAGTCTGATGATTTTGATTCGTGTTTAAAACTTGTTCTCTTTTTCGTTATACTAATAATCTTTGAAGTTAACAACCAAACATCATTTCTTAATGATTCAGACCACTCTTAACGTAATCAGACTAGATTATGTTTGGTTTTTGTTCTGAGAAATAGAGCAAAGATTAAATTTAATAACATCAATGATATAACAGATTGTTTTCCAATTCTTCCTCTCCTATATTGCTCACTTTATAAATCAAGTAGAACTGTGAAAGCTAAATTACTTTTATCTTCCTGGGCAGTATTATCATTTTTATTAAACGTTCTGCATACTTCATTCACAAGTAGAAATGTATCTTCGTCTATTATGCTTTTCAGTTTCAAAACGATTTCATAATTTTGCGCTTTTATGTGATTTCAGCCTTCTTTTTTGCACTCTTTTGAATTTTACCACATTTTTCTCAAATCTTGCAACGACGTAAATGCCCTATTATGTCTTACCTGATCTCGACCTTAGATTATTATCTCCTCCTTAGATTGTTATCTCCTCCTTGGATTGTTATATCCACCTTATCTTGTTATCTCCACCCCAGATTGTTCCAACTTACATCAAAAGCAACCAGAAACGCCTAGCCACAAACCAGTTTTCAGTCACACAGAGGGTTGGTAAATTCTTGTTATATAGTATTTCTAGAAGAACGAATAAGTTATTAGTTGCAAAATTTATTTATCAATTACCAAAATGCTGAATGTCTTCAGGGCCTTTTTAAGATACTAACTACAGGAATTTGCCCCTTTATACCGGTAACATTCCTTTGTTTAAGATGGTAGACTGTTTCCCTTTTCTAAAAACAAAGATTGAACGTTGAAGCCCCTGAAAAAAGCTATGTATGCGCTTGAATTAGCGATGTATCACTCAAGCACCTTAAATCAACCAAACAACCTAGTTGAAAGTTGGCGAAGAACAAATATTTTATGGGGATCAATCAAGTTTCTTTTTCATCATGTTATCTTTCTTCTTTATGAGAAAGGCAAGAGGTTTTGGGCACTCAGTCTTGCGTTACAAATTTTTGAGAACAAGATTAGTTCATCAACATTGTCAACTCTGTAATCTTAGCTTGACTCCTAGATCTAACTTTCGAGTTTGTTTTATTAAAAGTTTTGTTGTCAATATCCTGAATTTATTTGATTACCAACACCATCTATCCTAGAAATATTTATCTGTCTTTTCCAGACAAGAGTTGTTGATCCTTTATCAGGCAGTCGAGGCGTTCCAGGTACTGTTATTCCTTTATAATCAATTTTGGCGTAGGAATTTTACATTGAAAGTATTATAAAACAAAGTATTGACCGGTAGTATTAGCAAAGTATTGGCGTAGGTATTGACCTTTCATCGCTCTAGGAAAAAAGCTTTCAAATTAATTGCTGTGAAATTTCACGAAGATGTTTTTATATTCAAAGATCTTTAAAATACATACTATTTCAAACTATTTCAGTTGTCCGTATTTTTCTTACTTTCTAAAAATTGGCTGTGTTCTTTTGTGTATGCATGTTTCATGTTTCTTGATTTTCTTATCACTGAGTTATTTTTATTTTGGTATTTTAAGAATTTCAAGATACATATTCACGTGCATTGTCCGTTGTCCACGTTCTTCACATTTCGAACAAGAAAGTCACAAAGTGACGTCATCATAAATCTTTTTGTAAAATTTCAAGATTCTTTGCCCATAGCCTGAAAGAATACCAAAGATATCTCTAAATCAGTTGAATCTGTTGCAAACAGACAATCAATTTTGAACCGTCTCAACTGATTTTGCATGGGGTACGACTTTTGAAATTCTTAAAATAGTTTTTAATGACGTCACTTTGTAACTCTATTGGTTTTATCTTTTGCGGCTCTTTTCATGTAAACGTTCTCATGGTTTCTTGATTTTCTTTTCATTGTAATTTTAATCCTTTTTAGGCATATATTTCAAATATGATTTATCATCAATCATGGTGAGCGTGACCGAAGAGGGGCGGCCATTTTGGCAATTTCTTGTTAGACTGTGTGGAATTATAGGCGGAATTTTTGCAACATCAGGTGAGCCTTTGGTACAAATAAGCCCTTGTTTAGGCCTTTAGTACAGCAACATATCAAAGGAGCACGGGAGTGGAGACATGCGTACTTTTGTCTCCTCAGAGTATAAACGTCAGATAATGAAAAAAATGCAGATAAAACTTATCAAACTTGCCATTATTCCTCCCATCATACTTTCGATCCACACCTGGGTATAATATTTTTGTCACCTTTTTGTAATTATTTAGTGCTCGTACTCTAGGAAGTGTCTGACGAAAAGTATTTTAGCATGTTTTGATTCCGTCTCATCTTCAAACTCTAATATCAATCTTGAATTTTAGAAATCTTCCAATGATACAGGCAACTTTCCATTGCAGTCAATTACTAGTCTTTCAATCATTCATGTCTGTTTACACTGAAACACACTTCTGGCTAGTCTACAGACCCCTCGTGGTTTGCATTCAATGTCAGTTTCGTACACTAGGAATTACCAGGAAGGATTCATTCACAGTTCCTTCGGCAGCAGTGTAATGAGCTTTAACGATTGAATCATAACACTGTTATACTTGTGTTGCGAGTCGTTTTATGGTCTTATTTAAAATGTAGAAAACACGATGTGTGACTGTTACGTGTAGATGTGTTTACTGGCTAAATACCAAACTGGGCGTTTTAACATAAAGCATGAGTACGCTACTATGTCCTGTTGATTACGTTGCTATGGAGAGGGGGACACTGGAAGGAGTGAAATACAGATATGCAATGGAGGGTATGATTGCGGATTAGGAAGGCTGGTGCTTTTTTTGCATTATTATTCACGTTTGTTATAATTTTATTGAATTTGTTTATTTTCCATTTTAGGAATGCTTCACTCATTTGTTGGGTTTTTGTTCGAGATGACTGGCAAACAAGTTTCATCATCAAATAGGCATCAGGTGAGAGAGAACACTTCCAGTAAAATGATTGGTTATTCTATTACAAACAGCCTTTCTTGCTAGTGCCATCCTGTTGGGTTCAGAATTTGATTGATTTAAATTAATTCATTCTGTCTACACAATAGCCGTTTTTTCGTTTGTATGTAGATCAGTTCTAAATCTGCTAGATGGAAAGACGACTGGGCTCTGCCAGTGATCCGAAACATGTCGTCATTATAGAGTTTAGCACAATCTGGGTTATCTAAAAGATGTTGACCGATGGCAGAATCTCTCGTTTGAACAGTGTTTTTAGATCTACAAGATCGAGGAGGCTGTTCTCTTTGAGGGACAGTTTTGTTTCTTGTGCTGGAAGGAACATGTCGTTTTATCCTATTCCGCAATCTTTGGGTTGTACGTCCTACATAGCCAGAATCACACTGGCTCTGCCAATTATCTGAAACATACTGTCATTATGGATGGGAGAGTCACTTTTTCTTATTTGAGTGTTAAGCCTACAAGATGGATGAGGCTTCTCCCTTTGAGGGATAGTTTTGTTTCTTGTGTTAAAGGAAGATGTTGTAAAATTACAAAGATTTTCGGCCAACCAAAAGTTTTGTTATGAAAAGTGCCCAATTTATCTTTAACTACCTTTGATTGGTAACACTTCTTTGCGAATTTGGAAGTCAAATTGAACAGGCCGTTATAAAATGTTTCTTTACCATCAATCCTTCTATCATTTGCAGTACATTTACAGTACTAGAAGAGCCCTTCCATCTATTCAAAATAATTGCTTTCCTACAACCCAAAAGAGAAATTCCATGCATGTGTCAATCTGGCTACATAGGATGCACAACCCAAGATTGGGGGATAGGAAAAAACAGCAAGAAGTGAAGTTATTAAGATATTGTAAAACGTTTGCTTTTTCAAAGCGATTTACACATTATTTTCTTCTTAATAGGTATCACTGTCTTATGAAAGTGACCCAAATGTTGAGATTCAGAAAAAAGCACCACAAAATACTACCATAGCTTCAACGTCCTTGCCAAATGTTGATATCAAAGGGAACAGCCAAATGGAAGAGGTCAGCTTGATGGAGCCTCGAGATATCCTTGAAAATGAGCAGGCCTAGTCTGCTTCTACCGTGCAGTCCAACACCAAGGCTTTGAAGAAGACTAGAGACTTGTTGTAATCGACGAGATCTTTAAACCATATGGTATGCCCAGAAGCATAGTTATTCCATGCAAATACTTTTGAATGAAGGCATTCAACATTGGAGACAATTTTCAAATCAAAGATATTAATGATGTTTATAGATCGATGTATTTATTCATATAGGAAGTTGTTCGCAGTTCATCAAAGTTTGGCTTGTTTTTGTCCTTGGGAGATGGGTACACTTCAAAAAATATTTTTGAATAAAAACCCTTTATTTTTCAAACCAGGCCATAGAAGTGACCATAGCTATTAGCAAAGGCATGTTTAGAGGAAAATAACAATCTGCTCAGACAGTTTTGTATTCATGAGAGTTCCTTTTACAGGAAAGAAAATCAAGGGGTGTCATGTGTTCTTAACCTCCCAAAATTTTGCTCAGTCTCATAACTTACCCCTTCATTTTTTCAAATAAAACTTCAAAAGCTGAAATTGAGGGCTGAAAGGAGAGCGAGGGCATATCGTTTCCAGTTTGATATACTTACGCTCAAAAAGTATTGGGACACAACTAGGGCGCTGCGCTGGATACATTTTGCAACGGAAACTTGTTCAGATATGGGCTGTTTTTTTCAAATATAGCTTTCAAATATAGCTTTCAAATCTAGCCATCTGTATCACCAAAATGTGGTTACAAGTTGAAAAACACTTCAACTTTTGAATCATGACCATAAAAACATTAGTTTCTTACAATTTTCCTGTATATAAGAGCAATTGTGCAAAATAGTTGGATGGCCTAAAAACGGAAAACTCACGCGGCCTTGGTAATTTTTTAGAGATGCCGAAACAAATTCAATTTTTTAGATTCTTATTTGCATAACAAAGAAATTTATAGAGAGAATTACAAAATGAAAGCATCAAGTTTCAAATAAAGTTTTATGAATCAACGAAAATGCTACAATTTTATCAAATTATTGCATTTACTCTTAAAACTGCGTCAACACTAAAGGAAAAGCCAATGTACTCGTTCAGACGATTAATTTTTTACTATGAGAGGTCATTTACTTCTCATAAAGCTGGAAAATTCGTATTTTTCGTGTTTTTATAGCTATGTTGTGCTTACGTCCCTAAATTTAGCTTCTTTTACATGACAAGATAATGTCTAAATAGGATTCAAACCTATGACTTCGCAGCTCTCTCAGAGAAGACCTTCGGTCCGCCAACCCCTGGTAAACTTGTCACCGTTCCGGAAAAGCCTTTTATACACTGCAAAAGCAGGGCTCATTGAGCAGCCGACATTTTATGCAATTTCACCATAACTCTTCGCGTTATTTTCGCAGAAGTGCTTCTCGTAACTTAGTTTTGGATTTTTAAAAACTCCCATGTTTACATCTTAAAGCCTAAAAAATTTTTATGGTTGATGTATTTTAGATGCCGTACTTGTTTAATGACAAACAAATTTTAAAACGTCTTTTAAAATTGTTCCATAAAATATTTTCAAAGTTGTCCCAATACTTTTTGAATGTAAGTGTACTTCGTGATGGATAAGATATAATATTGCCAGATAATGATTGGAGGAGATATTGGGGGTGTGGTGGGGGATTCGGGGGGAATTAGGGGGGAGGAGGCTTTACATTTGGCTTTTGAGGGGCCTGTACATCAATATGATAAGAACATAATCCTGAAACGCATTGTTCATCTTATCAAATATAATTTCCAACAAAATAGATTGCACATTAGATAACTGGAGTGAGCCATTTTTGAACTCAAAAATCAAACTTTTCATTCACAGCAATAACTACCTAGTACATTTATATTTAATAGATTAACTACAAATAACAATAAATTTTTAAAGAGGAAATTATATACAGTAGATAGTTCACAGTTCAGTGTGTTTGCTGTCGGACATCTGTAAAGAACTCACAAGGAGCTATCTAGTTCATATGCCCAATTTGACGTGTATAAAACGTACATTTTGTAAACGACGGAAATACTCCAACCTTCATCTGCTGTGTATATTTACTGGTTATGATTCTAAAGCATATTTGCTAGCAAGTTTTAAAATATTATTAATTTGTAACATGACTTTTACTAAGGCAACTCACTTCTTACGTGGTCTTTACATGTTTTTTGTCCACATAAGGAAGGGGCTTGTGCCAAAAGAATAGCTCAAGATGTTTACAAGGGTAGCTAACAAGGGGGCGCAATATGCATCAACATTTCCCATGTATTATCCTTTTAGCTCAATTTCGAGATGACGAAGCTGCTTCATAAACCCTGGGTTCGGCTTTGATGCTGGCCTAGCTCTTTTTACTAATTCTAGTGCATCTTCCAGTCCGAGTTGTTTTTCTATCATCAAAAAAGCAATTATTATTGTTGCAGATCTAGATATACCAGCATTGCAATGAACCAAAATCGAGCCAAGTCCAAGGCTTTTTTTGATAAACCGATTCGCCTCTTCAAAATGTGGCTTGATGTTGAAATCAGGAGTGTCAAAAATGGGTAAACTTTTGTAACAGAATTCATTGCAGTCCAGCTCTGTAACGCCTATAGCGACATTTAAGATGCTAGATACATTATTTCTCTTTAGTTCTTCATAATTTGTAGCAGCATCCTGTGATCCAATAAACAACCCTTCCATAACTTTGTGCAGCGCGTCATCAGGGTTTGTATCAACAACAAAAAAGTCCCCAGAAGTGGAACTATCTTCCTTCAACGTTCCAAACGATTCAATATATATTTTCCCATCTGGACGAGTTATTCTAGTTTGTACCGGCGCCCAGTGGTGGCGCTAGGTTTCCTCCGACAAAGGGGCTAGCACTTCCGACGGAGGGGCTAATTTTTTTAGAGAACGATAGGGCTAGGGGGCGACAAGGAATTGTAAGGGTACTGGAGACCGAAGGCGAGCGTTGCGAGCCGAAAATTCGGGGGGTCCGGGGGTACTCCCCCGGGAAAATTTTGGTGGCTACACCCATTAGATTGGCTAAAAATGCTATCAAAATGGTGTAATCGTGTTTTTTACTACGTTTTTTGACATATTACTAAGGGCACGTTTGCCCCCTCCCTTGCCCCTCCTAGCAAAGGGCAGGAGGGGCGCTTGCCCCCCCGCGCCCCCCTTCTCCGGCGTCCCTGGAAATTTTTTTTGAAAGCTGCCTCTAGATAAGCTTAACAAGGTTTATTCCTCATCCAGTCATAGCCAGGTATATTTGTTTAAATATGTCGCAGTCGCAGTGAAATCCCATATTATATAGGTCCGAAAATAAGAAACTTTTAATTTCTGGAGAGCTAGGTTTCCTATAAAAATACACGTTTTTTTCTTAATAAGGAACTTGTTTATAAAAAAAACTAGAAGGATTTATCGTAAATAGTAATAGATGGTTTCCCTTAAAAATAGTAAAAAATAAGAAATTTGGAAACTATTAGTACTCTGGGCTTGAGTCAAGTTTCTTATAAATAAAAAAACGTGTACGTAGAAGCAAAACACTACAAATATGTATGGTTGGGATGGGGTAAAATGGCTTAGCTACTACGTAAATGAGTTTGATTGTTTTTATGGCTGAAGCCCTTTGCTAAGTGTTTTTCCTCGTATTAAAAGGACTTAAATATTAAAACGTATAACATACCACGTTCGATTTGCTCTTCGTCTTGAATTTTCGAAATTTCAACTTCTTGTTCTTCGGGGTCTTCTGTTGTTCTTTCAGTTTCAAAATCATTAACCTTTCGTTTCTTTGGAAAAGTACCGCCTTTTGATTGAAAAAATGTTTTTATTTTTCTCTGCTGCGAGTCCGTTTCAACTATTGCCGTCGTAGGAGCAGTCCTTCCCATTGCAGCCAAATCTTTGTGCTTGGACTTCGTGTGGCGGGCAGCGTAATCATTGTTAAATACGTCATTACATATACTACATCTAACACTGAAACGGGTAACATTTGTTGCCATATCGCTATCGCACAAAAATATTCCGATGTTGTAGGTTGGTTATAGCAAGCAAGATTTGGACGAACTGCACTATCCATAACATAAGATCAAATTTAACAGCATGCGGAAAACACCTGGTACTGAACATCTAAACAACCAATTCAAACTTCTTATAACAGATTATTATTTACCATGAAATTGATGTGTCGATGAGTTGTTTTGGGATGAGCTTCCTGAATTCTGATAACAGTCCTTTTAGAAATTTCTATTTCCGCCAAAACTTAAAAAATTCGCTCCGACAAAAAAAATTCAAGCATAATTTATCTTCCGACGGAGGGGCTAGCCTCCTCCGACGGGGGGGCTGTAGCCCCCCCTGCCCCCCCTCTGGCGCCACCACTGCCGGCGCCAGATTCTTATTTCTTGACTTTATCTCCTCCAAAAACGCCATACTTCGTCGTTAATCAACGCTTTTCGGTATCCAGTCAGCTGTTTGCTATTAAAGGGAAGTAGCCGCCATCATTACCTGGCCTCCAGCCGAGGACGTAACAGAGACAGAAGCAAGATGACGAATTCTTTTCGAATCACTGCCGCATGTGTAAATCAAACTTTAAGATCAGTATAAAACAGATCGAAGTTTTGACAGAATCGGCAGTTTTTAAAGATGGATGCCGTTTTACCAGCTTTCATTGATATCAGAGAAATCGAGCAGGTATGGGATTTGTCGGTGTAATTAAATTTCTTAACAAAATTTTGATACCTTCTCAGCCTCTAAATCTTGAAACTAGTTGAGCAAGAAACTAATTTCAGTTGTTAATAGGTATCGTTGCTATTTGTTATAAATAATCCTAGGCTACAGCTTCAAAAGTTTACGCTGTCTTTGAAACGGTCAGGAAAAGCTGGGGGTACATATACATGTAGACTAAAGTTAGGCACCTATTGATCTCGCACGTTAGATAGGCCAGTAAATGTCAAGTATGATGCATATAATTTGTTTTTGGTTGTATATGAGTCCAAGGCATTTTTTCAACGCAAATAAGAAAAACGAAGTTGATAATTATTTTGCATTATTTGTGTTTATTTGAAAAACATTAAATGTAAAATGTTGTATTTTGCACACCGTACATACAGCAAACAGAGAAAAGTTGCACACCCAAGACACTGTTAGAACCTTCTTTCATGATGAGTACATTTTCCATTTAGGTTCGTAATATAAACAAATTGTGTGATGATAAATTTTAGATGATAAATGTGATGTCTAATGTTTATATTTTCTGTTTTAAAACCAGGCTCTGGAAATAAGACAGTACTTGAAATCAGCAGGTGCTGATCTTGGAGATGACTGTAAAGAAAATATCCATGAAGAAATTATATGTCTTCTTGATGTTTGTGATAACTGGCTGAAATCAGCTAGTGATGCAGGCAAGTTTATTTTGTGTCATAAAATAATTATATGAATAATTAATTTTGTGAGGTACATTTAATACCATGCTGGTAGTGACAAATATACCCAAAAGCTGGACATTTTAAGAAGGAATTTGTAAACCATACATCTGTTACTTAGATAAGAAAATCTTGAATACAACTCATTTTTTCCTACTGACCAATGGTTGCCGCCAAAATGTTTCTAGCAGGGAGTTTTGGCTTTCAAGTAGAGAGTTCAGACAAGGGAGCTGAAGTATATTTCACACCCCAAGCTTAAAACCATAGTTTAATTTTAAACCCACTGATGGGTGTTATAGCACACTAGCCTTCCTTTAGCACCATTACTTGCCATGTGCATCTGTGTACAACAAAAGAACTGGTTAAGACCTTTACATGAAGAAACAATCCTTAATTAGCAAAAATTGAATCTACTACCAAACTTAATAATTATTCAGTTTCTGACTCCTTGAAAATAAAACTTTGTTTCAGATCTGGAAGCAATGATGAACAGCTTCATATCACTAATTCTCGTATGTACAAATGAAAGAGAGAAGATCACACAGAAATTCTGCTCAAAAATTACAGATGTTGGTGCAACAGAAGCAAATGCCATGCTGAGATTACGCATGTAATTTTTTAAATCTGAATTTTGACTTCTGATACTCTTATGCAATTTTATTTTGCAAAAATCTGACAAACTCTGATTTTATTTTGCAAAAACAGGATAATTTGTTTACGGTACATTTTTCATATGAGATACATTCGAAAAGTATTGCACCACCTGCCACAACATAGCAGCACTGCCACCAAATGTTTCTAGCTTCAAATATGAACTTCAAATAGCTAGAGCAAGTTAAATAAATGTTTTAAGATTACTGTTTGGTTGGAAAATAATCAAAAATTTATTAAGGAATAGCTATGAAAATGAAAAACAATGATATTTTGTTATTTCCAAACCATGTCGACCACCACAAAAACACGATAAATGAGCTGTGATGATAGGAGTCTGTATAATAATTGCAATAAAAAATGTTTTCTAAGCGCAAATTTGTAAGATTTCATTAATGCAAACTCAGAGATACTCACTTTCTGCCTGGGTACCCAAAACTATTAATTTTTCTGACTGATATTAAAGAATTTTTGAAAGTCTTGGCCGCACGCTTTTTGTACTGCAACAAAACTTATTTTGATAAAACATGTTTTTAGTTTTTCTTTCATGTTTTCCAGTCCATTGCGATATTGTTTAGGGAACAAATAATGCTGTAAATTGCTCAAAACAACATCTCATCTCCTCGTTGAAAGAAAGACTAAATAAACGGCTGTAAAAGTGTCACTTTTTGCAAAATTAAAGGCCAGTAATGATCACCTGTGATTTCAGACACCTCAATGTGATCTTGGTAATGTTTTTTTTTTAAATCAACATGTGACATATAGAATGGCCTACCTCACAAGTTTTTGATAAAATTTAACAAATCATACAAGAGTTTCAAAGCTTCGGGACTGGCCAATGCAAAATTTGCATTTTTAATATTCTAAAAGTAAATTTTTCTCAAAATTGAGACTGGAAATGTTACCAATGTTTTGAAGTTATGTTTGGTTGGTTTGAAACTTTAAACTGACGTCTGATGGCTTCTCAAAAGTGGTTTGAATTTGAAGTTCATAATGTCTCTGTTGTCGTTACTCGTTTGTTGAAGTGGTGCAATACTTTTCGAACGTAAGTATACTTTCTTGATACAAGATTATGGTTATTTTTTTTGCCCTTCGGGAAATTTTCTGCCAAGTTTTATTCAATAAAAAGTATTTCTGAGGTAATGAATTTTAAATTGGCTAAGACTAAATTGAATTTTAGTTCGTAAAATTTAATTTTGAAATTGCATTGGATGGCATAGTAAATCACAACCATGTGTGCTTTGCTATGATATTCTGAGCCAGTGCTATAAAAATACACTCACATGCAACCCACTGACTTAAAAAATATTCTTTCAGTGGTACTTTGTTGAGTTACAATTCAATTATCAGCCAACCACTTAAGCTACTAATTCATTTATTCTTCCAGCTAAATATTGGTAAAATCCAGTAAAAATATTGGTAATGTCTTCCCAAACCAAGTTTTTATCAAAAGAAGCTGCACTGCTGTATCATCTATTAGTTTTTCTTTTGATGATTAATGTACATACCTAATCAGTAAGTTTTTTATTTTGTATTTGTTGCTACCTAGCATCCGAAGGTAGTTTTTAGGACACTGAGAAGCTATGCTTATCGAGCAGTGTCCTGGTCCTTCCTCTCGATGTGACCACACCTCATGATTCCTACGCCTGGAATTACAGAGAGCTAGCAACTCTCCCCACTCTGGGTGAAAGTTTGACCCCACACAGGTTAAACAGGAATGACCCAACGAAACAGACTTTACATGACATGTGGCTTAAAGCAAGCATCTTTAACAAATACTACAGTTGAATCCTGTTAAGTCAGATCTTCAGAGAAGGGGGGAGGGGGACAGGGGTTAAGAAAAATGGTCTGGATTAGTGAATGTTTGACTTGTCTGTGGTATGAATTGAAACAGGTAAGGAAGTTAAATGGAAATTAGAGTTAGTCTGATTTATTCAGGGTACAACTTAACTAGATTCAACAGTATTTTGAATATAAAGACAAATGCCAACTTGTTTTACTTCCATTGGATTACCTGGGCTATGTTTCTGACTATCTTTAATTTGGCCAAACACAAACATTTTTCTGAATTTTCTCTTCTAGACTTGGTTGTTTCTTTGCTGGGCTAAATGAAGACTGTCCTCTAAGATATGAGGTATACTGTAGTCAACTCAAGTTAGCAACCCAATTTGGACTTACAGATAATGTAGAAACAAAACTGAAAGAGGTCAGTAAAATTAATTGTTTTATTCATTGATTATGGATCCCTCAATACTCATAATTACATTATTTTGATATAGAACTGTGTCAGATTGATCCACATCCTGAACTTCTTTCTCTTTCAGTTAATTTGCAGCCTTCTGTCCAGTTTAATAGCAATTGCTTGTTTTTTGGAGAAATTTTTAACCAATGTAAGGTATCACTTTTTCAGGCTAGTTCTTGGTTGGAGCTGTGGAATCTAGATATTGAAAAGAAGCGAAAGTGTTATAGGTTGTTGCATAGTGCTCTTAAGGATAGTAAAAACAGGTGAGACAAACATTTTTTAAGAATATCATCCATATGTCTTAAACTTGTTTCTCTATATTCTTATGCCTCTATTCCTTAATTCATTCAAGAGTTGTCTAGCATATAATTCAGGTGCTGGTTGCAACTAGGATTCAGACCATTTTTTGGAATTGCCCAAAGAACGCATACCAAAAATGCATTATATCATAAACAGTACGTTTGGCCAGCTGAAAATAAACCAAAACAAGTAGAAAATTTTTGTTCATTTTTAAATAAATAATTGGTCTACTACACCTAAGTAGAATAACTGGTCCAAAATAGAGATAATAATCTTATCATCATATTATTTTGATATTACCAACTTCGAGACTAGAATATTTTATTGTCCAAGCAAGCTTCTTTGCCATTTGCTTATTTTGCTGATCCTTTTCAATGTCTTATATAGCAACGAGGCAACCAAAGTGATGCTGGAGATTTTAGGTACATATGATGACAGGAGTGCAACTGAAGCTAAAGATGATGCCTTGCAGTGTATTCTGCACTGCATCAATAAACCAGATGTGTTTATCATGGACCATCTCTTACAACTAAAGCCTGTTCTTGCCTTAGAAGGGCAACCAATCCTAAAGGTAAATGTCTTTTTTTCCAACCCAAATTTGAGGCAAAATTTTCTTATGAAGATACCCTGTTGTCACAAATATACTGCTGGCCTAATGATAGAATAGTAAAAAGAGAGGAAGGAAACTCCATTCATAAGAATTTGGCGCTTTTTGCAAGTAGATATGTGAATTAATGCGAGGCTAACCAAGTTTATCTCACTCATCGACCAGGAAGCCAAATTGAGGTAGTTTTCTCGTGATATTGCGAAGGATGCCTTTACACTAACCAATTGCTGTTTTCCCCACAAATCTTAGGAAGGAAACGATCACATCGTTTGTTATGTTCTGTGACATTTTCTCTGAAACGAAGCTAACTAAACGATAATTGTTTTCTTCGCGACGAAAATCAAGAAAAGTGGCCGCGGAGAGTTCTTCTCTGTCCTTCCTGTTATTTGTGTCGTAGTATTTGGTCTACATATTTGATCAAAGTGCTCATGTTTAATGCGAAGATCGAAATTATGAAAATGGCTTTTTCTACTCTTTTTCTTTAGAACTCGATCATCCCCAGAAAATACAAAGAATTAAGACATTTGTTTACATTAAATTGCTTCTATTCTAATTCAACCTTTTAAATTAATTGCAGTTATTGAAAATATTTGTGTCTGGAAAATTACAAGATTATATGGATTTTTTCGAAAAGAACTCCAACTTCGTACTTGGCTTACCTGGTATGAACATAATTATTTTCTTTCTCTTCATTCTAATTGAAAATGTTTGCATGCTTTATTGAGTATCAAGATTTGAATATCTTTTCATATCTAATGAATATTACAAATTTGATAAAAAGTGTTATAAAGAGGAAACGGCTGAACTTATTTTGATTAACGAACTGGCCAGCAAAAGCTATACTTCTGTTATCGAAGATGTTACTTATGCTTGGGAATTTTGGAATATGTCTGCTTCTGGCTGTAGGTACCTGTTATCGAACTTCTGTTATCGAAGATGTTACTTCATGCTTGGGAATTTTGGATTATGTCTGTATCTGGCTGTAGGCACCTGCAAGAAATTTGGGTTCTAATGTATGAGCTATATCTTGGATTAAAATAAGTTAGGTTTGTTCATTTGTACCCAGAAGCAATGTTTTTAGGTGAAAGTGAGGATAATTTAAGCTTATAGTTTAACCCCTTAAGGTGCAAGTGAGTGCGTGTTTGAATATCTGGGTCACTCTTGGATATAATTTCTCATCATATTTAATATGAAAAAGTCCTTGTATTTCATATATTAACTTGTTTAAATATTTTACAATTTTTAGGGGTGAACCATGAAGGAAACATCAACAAAATGAAAATTTTGACGCTTGTCTCGATTGCACGGGAGCAGTCAGAGATCGAGTTTGGCCCTCTCGCTAAACAACTGTTGTTAAACGAGGACGAGGTTGAAGAATTTGTCATTGAAGGTGATTCATAGGATGTCAATTAATATAATAATTTAATCATTGGCTTGTAATGTGTAGCATTTAATCTTCATTTTTACATCATTGTTGTTGTTTCAAGATGTATACGGTGGCTAAAACCCCGGCCAAACGACTTGATTTTTCACTCGATTTTTTACTCAACAAGAAATTCAGTGAAAAATTGAATCGCTTTGCCATCTTGTCGAGCGAGTCGAATGGCGTCGAGTGATGTCGAGTGAAGTTTGATCTTTCTAAAAAAAGTCGAATGAAAATCGAATCGTTTGGCCACTGTGTCGAGTGAGTCGAGTGAGCGCGTGCGCAGTTATCATATCTTAACATATTTATCATATTCTCTTAACATATACGCAGTTATCATAATTTGAGATCAAATGTCCAGAGAAAGATCGAGCGAAAAATCGAGTCTTTTGACCAAGGCTTAATCAGTCTTAAAATGTAGGTTTCATTCTTTTTGCAAATTTTGGAAGAGTTTTTCACCTCTATGAATTTTTGTATTTTATTTATTTCCACACTTGTATTCCAATACACAGAGAATGATTTTGTGTATGTGTCATTTTGTCGGTGTGCTTGCAACTTGATAATTTTTATTGGTACTTTATAAATCTTTCGTACAATTTCCTAATAGTTGCTTCTCTTTATTTTATTAGCTGTAAAGAGTGATCTCTTTCATGCCAAGCTTGATCAAGTTAATGAAAAGGTTATTCTTGAGTGAGTACTTTCTGAGCTTACATTATATTTTCATATGTGATTTCGTTCTTCCTGTTATACTAAAGTTTGACAAAAACAGTAGCAAAAGAGAAAAGTAATTTTTAAGCACAACAAATTAAAGAATATCTGCAGATAATATTGTGGCTGCAGCCATATATCAATCAAACAATTAGCTATTCAGATGTTTTATTATCTATCTATTTTTGCTTGGTTTTCTAATTTTCTCAATTTCTTTAAGTTCATCAAATCGTCGTACATTCGAACGAAAAGAGTGGGAAGAGCTTAGACAGAAATTGGAACAATGGAGAGAGAATCTGTTGACTATAAAGGGACAATTGGAACAAGTTGTACCACCAGTGTAAAATTATTGGCAGCATTGAATTTATTATTGTTTCTATCGTCTTGACCTTGATTTAGACCGGGGATTGCTCAAAATTTAATCAAAAGATTGGTTATTTTTATCGATATACAGTGACGACGAAACGGCGAAAGGGCAAGGGGGCAGGCTTCAGTAAAAGGGTATTTGAAAAAACTCCCATTCTATTTCAACGTTCTGTAGGTATCTTGTAAATGGGATAACTGCTATCATAAGGAATTTTTTACAAGTTTTGAGAAATTTCATCATGAATAAGGCACTAAAGTCAGGATTTCATATGACTCTCTTTAAATACTACGGAAGGTCGATGTCAAGGGTACTTTTGTGAAAAGGGCACTTCGGCACCCTATGCCCTCCTATTAAAATAGACTTGCTCCCTTGCTCCTCCTATCTTACGTGAAAGTGTAATAACAAATACGACCACGTACAGTATAACCACCAAAAAAGAAACAACAACACAATCTAAGGATAGAAGGATGGGTAGGTTCTTAGCTTAATACACCCTCGCATACTTTTCGCCATCTCACGCGATCTGTAATGTAAAACAAACGCGAAGAGATTGGAATCAAGAAAAAGTTTGAGCCAATGACCCAAGACAAGATACCGGCCTTAGTTTCTGACCTATGTTCAACCCATTTCGTTCATCGCCTGGAAATCTGTTGCAAACATTGCATATTAGTTTTGCAACATATTTCTGCAAGCAACTATTAACATGCTGCACTAAGTGACTAAAGTGTGTTTGACGAAAATGAAATTCGTTATACTTGTTCGCACGTACAAAGAACATATGTTTGAGCCCTGGTTTAATATGAATTTCTTTCGCACAACTATGAAATAAGAATTTTTTGTATTGCTAGAGTATCATTTAATCAACAAATATAGATGATAGGAATAAGAATGAATTTGGGAAACGGCTGTTCTCATTTTGAAAGTTGGTTGGCAATACTGTAAACTCGAGGCCCCAATAACTTGAACATTCTTTATGTCAAAGAGATATTGCATTTTCCTTTCCCAATACATTGGAGCTTCAGGCTGCGTTGCGGAGGATGGATCTTGAGGCAAAATCCATCATCTAACATTGATGCATGACAGTGGAGATATAAATTAACCAAGTCAGTGCATTTCTCGAACGTTTTAAGATAAATGAGTCACAATATCTGATATAATGATAACTTAGTTTGTTGACATCTTAAGATTTATTGGCTCCCTCCATGAATTATAAACATCACTTCCATACTTATCTAATCCAGTCAATAAATGGTTTTTCCTTCGGGTGTTTTTAAAGACCTTAGTAATGTTGTAGCGAGAGATTCGCTGTGGGTTTGTCTACGTTACTTTGAAAGAACAGCTTAGAATGCTTTCGAAAGGGCTTTGGGTTGGGAGGGGTAGAAAGTCCGGGGCGGTAACCAAAAGTTGTATCTCGGTCTTTGTCTTCCGCTTGTTACTATTAGATTGTTACAAGGTCTATTTACAACGCAATAAGCTATTTCTTTCAGCTACTTATATAAAATCAACGCTCTTCTGTTTGTCACAGAGGAAAACGATGTCCAATTTTCCTTTGTCCATGAATGTAATGTTAAGAATCCTGTACTTGAGAGGGGTGTTTCCCTGGTTCTCATGGAGACAGAAAAGCATGGCTACAAAGATTTTCTAAGGGGGGTCAATATTGTGCCCAAGCTGGCCTACAAAGGACCTGCCAGGGAAAGGCTCGGGAGCTTTAGTTCCTAGCAAGGGGAAGGAAAGAGTGATTTGGAAGAGAGGGAGGAACAGGTAAACTTGTTAATTATTATTCTGAATAAAAACAAATTATAAGGGTCTTGGAAGCATGGAGAAGTGAGAACATTCCAAAGTTTAAAAGATTTCTTTCTTTTTGAGATAATTTCTTCCTATCCCTTTACTCTTTGGAATATCTAATATCTTGTTTCCCTGTGAAGAAAGGCAAGTTTTCATTCGCAGAAATCTCAAGATGGCGGACTGTGATGAAATGAATTCCGGTACATTGGTTTATCGATAGTGGAGATGAAATGTAATTAAAGGCTTAAATGCAACATCTATCGAAAAAATATAGCGATGGGTAGCAGCTGGTTGGTGTAAATACGAATTGGTATGTGTGTTCTATTTTCTAGAATATGTACCTAGCACAATTTTCGAGTCATAAATAAATATTTGCGTATATTATAGGAAATTATCGTTTAGAAAAAACGGCGTTTGCTGAAGATAGTGTCTCATCAAATTAACTCGAAAAACTAACATTCCAGCACCAGTTAAGTCAACGCGGTTTATAAACTCAAAAGTTAGCATCAACTTGAAATAATAGCAAAAACGTTGACGAATTTTAAGGAGATATTGAAAGAGATTTCGAAAGACAACGTTTGCGAAGGAGTTGAAAACGGAAAGAATAACGAGACTGTGGTTCTACAAGACTAACTTGAATTTTTTGTTTTTGAAAAGAAAAATCGAATTAAATCCCGCAAAATTATTGTATTTTTATTATTATGTCATTAAATCATGCTGTTTACATTAGAGTTGTAAACAAATTAATTTGAATTTAGTTAAGGCACTAAATTTAAAATCACTTTAATCAGGTTTTATGTTATTTTCTTTTAATCCATGATTCCCATTAAGTTTTGTTAATTTTTTATCTACATATTTGGCAAAAATGGATCCTAGGATTGGACCAAAGTGAAAAGTATTTTTTTGTGCAGGGAATTAATTTATATCGCTTATGCTTGCGTGGGAACAAATCATATTGCAAAATAGAAGGTTAAAGCTGCATTATCTTATTGTTAAATGGCAATTGTAAACCTTGTGGTGAGGCTGTGCTGTGACTGCAAGAGGTTAATTTAAATTTACAAAAATGCACAGACAGGGTTTGAGGTAAAAATTATTTGCAGTTTGAGCATTGGAATCTTGATGTTGAAGTAAGTCTTTGTCAAAATGTTGTTTGCACTGTCTGCTCAAAAATTGTGCCATTTTTAAAATTTGGCTTTTGTTTACATTTAAATGCAATTTTCTCCTAAAAATTCTGGTGAAATCTTGATTTTCAAAAGCTAGTATCTTGCAAGTGAACAATCCAAATGACATAGAGTTTTTAGTATAAACTAATCTCAACATGATGATTTCAAATTTGATGTCCATTTTCAACAAAGTTCTTTAGTGAGCAGTACTCAAGATCAATGATTCAAACTGGGAACCACAAATTAATGATTAGGTGAAAACACTAAAACACAGTCTGTTTAACATAACAATCTGATCTGTTTAACAGTTTTTATCCTATCAGTTGATCACATTATTCACAAAAAGTAAGACAGTTTTTGGTTTTTAGATAAAGGAAGGTTGTAGTCCTACAACTGAAGATGACTTCACTCCAGGCCTATCTGCCTCCAAGAGGCTCTTCAAACTGGCATAGATCAAGCTCTTTCAGTATGCTAGGAGAAGAACCATCAACAAGCATAAGACATGTCATTATAAGAGAAGTCTGGCTGGAGAAAAAACCAAGCCCTCATGCGGTATAAAAATTTCTTTATGCTACAAACATTCACCTTTTGCAACATCTGCAGAGTGTTGTGTTTCATGTTATACTGAGGACTGATCCAGAGAAAAATCTCACTGAGGCTAGGCTAAGTCAGAAAACATCTCCTTGATCACACCTTCTTCACTAACCTGCATGGGCTCTGAAGCAGGTTGGAAAGTGGAGGGGCCAAGAGAAAATCTGGCTATTATAACACAAGGTTTTGAAAAAGCTCTATTGTTTTGCAAAAAAGTGAGGAGGCTATGGCCCCCCTATCCCCCCCCCCCATTGTCGGAGGCCCTGAACTGTATACTCAAGACAAGGTTGATATCTTTAGGCCTGAATGTATCTACTGCAGAGTTACCAGAGGAATTTACTTATCATGATGGAATTAATTACTTTCCTTTTTCTGAAATATTGGATGTTATGCTTTTAAAAAAGTATTGTCAGATTTTATTGGATATTGTCATTTCCCTTGTAATTGGATTTCAGATGAATGAATGTTTATAAAATTAATTAAATAGACCAAGTAAAATAAAGCTGCTGAGAAATCTAAACTATAATCCCTGAAAAAAGAGCAGACATGAACCAGTTGAGCTTGTGATTGCTTATTATAGCATTTTGATAAGAAAATATACCTTTATTGACAAACTGCTGGATAATTCACATTTGGTTTCTTATCTCATTCATTCTTCATCAAGAAATAAAACATGTAATATGTATTTGAATTGTTTACACAGTATCATTTGCAATGTTTTCAATGTACCACATGATGTTTCAAGCCTGCTTCTATTAATAATTCTGCTTACTTCTATTTTAGGTGTACAAGATCGAAATTATGAGCAATTCTTCGCATTGGTTTGTCTTTAGAAGATACAAAGAATTTCATAATCTCCATCAAAAGGTTGATTAAACATTGATTATATAATGATTCATATATATTCTTTAAACTCATTTGATACAGAACTGCACTGAAGTGTTTTATGTTTAAAGTGCTTCTGAAATCACAATTAAACAAAACTACCTTTCCTTCATAGTTGATGAAGAAGTTTTCCATACCAAAAGACTTCTTACCTCCAAAAAAATTTACAAATAACATGGCCATTGAGACCCTTGAAACTAGAAGGGAATCTTTGGAACATTATCTACAAAAGCTTATAAATAGGTAAGAGAAGCATAAATTATGTTTATTTTGGCATTTTCTTTTCAAATTAGTTTGACTATTCAATTATCAGATCAGACCATACTAGTGGAAATATTACAGTGCATAATTTAGCTCAAATTGGATAGGGGATTGGTTATATTTCCACATATCCATGATTAAGTTGTTAAGACACCTAGTATTTTTTTGTTTCTTAGGGAAATTGCTCTCACAGACTCACAGAGAGGAAGCCCAAATTAAGTAGGGTACTTTAAAAAACCTAATAAGGTTGCAATGCACCATTTTCTTCCTCTAATGGTGCATCTATAAAAAGGGGGTATTTTTCTGCAATTCACATCCACACTTTACTATGAGGCTTGCATTCTAGCATCTACCATTGGTTAGCTAAAATTCAAATGTGGCATATTTTAATCTCCTGAAGGAACATAAGACTTTCTGACTGTTTGAGTTGCTCTTGTTTCCGACAACTAACATGTCTCTTAACATTGATATATTGATTTTATTTTTTGTTTATTTCTATATCTCAGTTGTGATAGAGAAGTGAGTACATGCCCTGAGCTGCTAGAGTTCTTGGATCTTAAAGGCCATGTAAGTTTTTCCCTACCTTGAAATTAGTAAATATTTAATTTAAGTAAATATTTGAAATAAAGTGGTCTGATATTTTAAGCTTTTATATTGCTAGATGCATCTATCATTAAATAAAGTGCAACTTACTTGGTGAAGCCCTCGTGCTAGTTTCAATCTTAGATATTTGTGGGGGAATATTACATCTTTGGCAGCTCTATTAAAGGCACGCCTTTCCAAATATCCCAGAAATACCTGTTGTAAAGTATTTCTACATTATTTCTAGATTTCTCCAGCATGAAACATGGAGTTTTTTAAATACAAGATATAAGCTTTTACTTATCAAAATACAGTACAATTAGAAGGAAATTCGTATTAAGAGATGGGGGTTGAGTGAAGAGCAAGATCTGTTATTTTCCGTTTCAAAGGTAATATAGCAATTAAAAAGTGCCCCAATTGGCAATTTTTCAGAGTTGCGACCCCCTCAATCCATAAACTACCAGCAGTGCCAAAAAAGGATAAAGCATAAGAGATGTATATGATTTAGCAATTAAAAAGTGCCCCCAATTAGAATGTAGCTTGAATACAACTTAATCTCTCAAAACCTAAAGTTGCTGGTGTATAGCTACTGTTGGCATCAGCTACCTAGGTAAATGGAACTATTCCTAACCAATTGTTATATTGACAGTTCAATTTGCTTTTACTATGTCTATTAAATTTCATTTTTCCAGGATGTATCACTTGTTGTAATGTCTCTGGTGAAGTACTTAGCTGCGAATGGTGAGTATTTAAAGGACACACCCACTCAAACTAAAAATCAGAATATCTAGGCTACAACCTCTGCCCAATTTTTATTGGGACATCCTTTCCCTTGAAGGCAGTTTGTCCTGTCAGTCAACCATTCAGAGTTAACACTTCTGGCACGTTTATAATCAAGAAAACATTGAGAGTTAGCCGATTGGATACGTAACAATAGGCCCATTGTATAGTCCAACCAATGGGAAATTTAATTGGCCAGCGAAATTCGTCGGGACATAGTGCCTTTAGGTACTGTTTTGAAAAAATCAACAACTTTCCGTAGAAAAGACAAACAACCCTCCTCCGGTCCTCCAAAACGTTAGTTGAATCAGGATTTAGATATCGTAACTACCTGTCAGAAATCATTCGGACAACTGAATAAAGCTCTGAAAATTGAAAACGGCATTCATTCCAGGGGGTGCTATTGGTAATTTGCAATGTATAGCGTAGTTTACAAAGTCTTTGACAGTTTTTTCACCAGCCCCCCTTCTTCACTTTATGATACAAAGAATGATTTATGCCTTTTTTCTAATGTCTTCATGCCTTTATTGACATCTGTATGTGAATGATTGACATTGCCTTGCCATGAAATTTCCCCTACCTGAATTTGCTAATATATAAGCTTCTTTTCTTCAGGAGAACGAATCATTTCGACCAAAGAATTATTCACAATGACACCTGTACAGTTATATTGCATTTCCAGGCAACTTCAACTTCCCCATCCTTCAAAAGGCGGTAAGTACTTTTTAACTTCTTTATTCATTTACGGTGTATATTAGGATTTTGAAGACGAGAACCAATTTAAAGGGTGGTAGTGAACGCTTTCTGTTCGTAATCATGTCCTTTTTTGTACCTCTATCCTTTACATCTTGCATTGTTTTTGTCCACGAACTAAGGAAAACAGGAGCAAAATCATGAAACAGATACGGAAAAGAATAAGAATGGTCGAAAATGAAAAAATGAACCAGCAACTAGCAGAAATAGAAAGAAAAAAGGATGATTCGAACAAGTGTTACCAGGCCATCAGAACCCTCAATTAGAGAAAACCGAAGAAACCCCTTATCGTACAAGGAGAGGATGGCAGTATTGGTGGCTCTGAGAAAAAACAGATAACTTTAATCACGGAACATTTGAAAAAAATGTTCACGATGGAAAAGAAAAAATTACTCCCAACGATACCGCCTTGTGAAATGAAAACACCCTTTACTGGCGTAGAAATACAAAAAGCAGCAGAAAGTTTAAAGAACAGGTAAAGCGTAGGAGATGATAGCCTAGATGCAGAATTTATAAAGTACGGAACACGTAGACATCTAAGAAAGATCCTAGGAATTAACTGGCAGAGAAATATTACCAACAAAGAGCTCTGTGTTAGAACGAAATGTGAACCATGGAGTGAAGTATAAGAGAAAGGAGACTAACATGGCTAGGACATCTCATACGCTTGCATCCAGAAACACTAGCAAGGAAAACCCTTGAAGAGTATCTCAGGAAAGAAAAACGGCCACAAGGAAGACCAAAGACGACCTGGATGCAGACAGTAAGGCAAGATTTGGCCAGCATCGGAACTAAACTGGATGTAAAGAAGCATAAACAATAAATAGATTATTTGAACTGACACAGGATAGAAAGAACTGGCATGGCATTGTGAGACGCGTCGTGCAGCATTAACTGCGTGTGACGTCTAACTAGCAGTAAAGTTAGCATGTTCTTTTTTTTCTCCAGGAGATAAGATAAATCTTGGCCACATGTATGAATTCATCGGCGAGCTAGATCGCCTGTGCATCACTGATCTCGTTTCAAAGGCAACACATGGAAAGCAATTTGAAATTAACTACTCCTACGACTTGTCAATGTTCACCAAACTCACGGAGCTGCAGGTAGTTGTCATTGCTTAAAACATTTTCTTTGTTGGTTTATGTGCCATTGATAATGCAACGGAGATGATTCGAGTCCCTTGAATAAGTTACTGGCCCCTTCTCAAGGCTTCCAGTCGAAACCAAATCTGCTAGATTTCCAGGAAATATAATTCCACAGATATTTAGGCCTCTAATTCTCTCCCTCGTACCCAATTTTTATTTTGAGCTTAACCCCTTTAAGAAAGTTGGCGGTATTTCAACCATGTTTTCCTAAATTCAATTGTTTTTGAAATTTTACACTTTTTATGATGTTTTTAGCTAATATGGTAAAGTTACCAAATATAGAGGTATGACGTCATCACTTTATCATAGACACCTTGGGTACCAAAGCCTCAGTAAAAGAACCCACTCTTACAAACTTAATTAATTTGCCTAGCAAACCATTATTTATTGGTTGAGTATTTTTTCATTAGCAACCTACCTTTTAGATTGAAGGCTGCAGGCTGGCATCTGTTTCAGGGGTGAATGTATTGCCTCAAAGACTAAAATCGCTAACTTTGAGATATTGTGTTCACACGATGAAGGTATGTGTTCTTTAACGAACGCTTCTGAAAAAGACAGTATAATGAACAAATAAAATAAGTAACAAAATGAAATAAATTTTGTTTTGATTTTTGAAAACACGACGTTTCGAGCATGTACTCATTTAGAGATAAATATATGCAACACAGCTTAATTTTGATATGTAGAGTTTGATTACAAAATGTCGTTTCCGGGAACGAAAAATACGTTTCCAGCTCTGGCTTTGTCTACGTGTATCTAGGAACTTTCGGCTGTTAAAATGTTGCCAATAATCAGAAACAAAATTATCTTGTGATCTCATTAATGCGTCAAAGCCAATTGTAATGACAAAATCAATTAATAAAACATTTCCCGCCGAATGACTTAATGAACAAGACTTTTTGGACCTACAGTTCGTACCTTTTATACAATCAAAGTTTACAAATGTGTTCACCTGATAATGTCTCTAACCTAGTCAATGAATGAAAACTATGGAAAATTCTTCCAACCTAAAGTTCCAAAAGGGCTTGTTTTGGCATTAAATTTTGGATTCTTTGCTTTATGCCTTCTCACAGTTTTCAGCCATCGATCCTTCATTTTTGTTGATTCTATCGATATTGGGAACAACACTTATGTTAGCAACAAATATAAATTAAGCAGCAGTTTGTATACGACCCAATGTTTGATATCTTAATACCTATCTTGAAATGTTAATATTTAAGTAATAATGTCTAAGATTTTTTGGGTAGGGGTTTTAAACATATTTGGCCAATATAGCTTAAATATTATATATCTTTGAATCCTGCAGGAATTCTTGATCGACTGTGCTGCTGAGAAGAGACGGGTACGTCTGTACTTCAGATTATTGCGATATAAGAAAATGTTCCTTTCATTGGAGAATCAATTAAAAAAAGAGATATAGCTATCAAGAGCAATGTGTTGTCAAATGCTATGAGATTTTGGTTTTAACAAATATCGTTTAGAATAAATAATCATATTCGTAAAACTTACCATCTAACCCGTAAATAAATACCCAATGTTGCAAGCTTATCAATCAAACACAACCTTAGAGCATCCTTTTAAGAATATTATAAGCCCCATATCTCAAGGTTTAAGATCGTTCCATCGCAGAGCCTTTTGTAAGGGATTTTTGCTTGCATTGCTATCATCTGTAAAGAGTTTAAGCCTTTAATTTGTTAAAAAGGGGACAATAGCCCATTGCATTAAACAAAGAAATGTCACTGGCGCCAAAGTAACAGTTTGTTCTTATGCATATCAATCTTGTTCACAAAATGCAACTCACAATAAAGCACTGCTGAATCAGGACTTGGTCCATCGATTACCTTAACGATTTATGTTTGTAATTTGCGTCTTTTCCAAAAAAGATTTTTTTTTCTCTATTTGTTTAAAATGGGTACAACTGTGTCAACCTATCTTCTATAGGCACCCGACGCAAAAAATACCAAAGATTCTTGGAGAGCACAAGCTGCATACAAACTTTCAAACAAAAGGTAAGATGGAACGGCATTTATAAGGAAGTCCTCAAATTGTGCAAAAATTTTTAGATAGTAATTCTTTATGCAAATAAACTCTTGTTGATAATATAGCACAAATGTTGACTCTAGAAAATCCAGTCGTGTACGATTTTTGATTTTATAATTTGCTTCAAATAGCAAACTTTCTTTAGTGCCTCCAATTCCTCTGTTCTTTTTCGAAAGTGAATTTTTAATATTCAAATTTTCAGATCAAAAGTATCTTAAAAAGAAGTCTAGAAGGCTTTGTAAGCCCAAAATTTTTCCATTTAAGCTTACGTCTCCAGGATGGTGAAAAACTCTTGAGTAATGAGACCATTGGTTTCACAAGCTTCCAAACAATCTGTAATGCAGACGTTAACGAAAACATATCTGAAAACATATCATATACCGTATAAGGATTAAAAAAACCTGTAATATATTTTTTCTTTCTAAATTGCAATAAAAATTTGCATTTTACATTTATCACTCAACATTATCACATATGGAATACATTCTAAAATTTCTATTATCTGGACTTTCTCCAACATTTTCTTTACTGTTTCTATTTCTGTTTCTGCAGGATTATAGTCCAACCTTGGGTTTGTTTGACTTACTTGAACTTGAGTCACAACAACATTCTTGGTCTGGATAATAGCATTAGCCTGTTGCCTGCCATTCGTGAGGTGAGCCCGGATTTTACCTTAGATTTTCAATTCTATTCAATTCAACTAAGGTTTGATTTGTCTACACATGACTAAATAATTCAAAGGTTGTTCAGCTTTTGCCCCAGGTGGTTAACCGTGGATCAAATATAGTTTGTTTTAAAGTAAAATTCCATTTTCTTGTAAATTTATACGGTTTTGATTGATTCGTTCTTTGTACTTAAAAACAGGGAAAGTTTGTAAATGCTTGAAAAGTACTTATCAGAATATATGTCTTAGAACGTGCTCTCTGATAGGTGCAGATTGACAGGGCTAGAATGTTCTTTAGAAGGGGATCAACTTCAGTTTTTCGTTTAGTTCAGTAGGATCATTGGCATGTAAACAAATTTAAATAGTGATTTTTGAATAGGAATGGCCCGTTCTTAAATCACTTGCCTGCTGTATTAGCAATCGGTGGTTAATATATTAAGGGTCTGAAAAACTAAAACCCCATTTATATTGGCTCGATATCCAGCTTTTCAAACTGCAAGGAGTGTTATACTCAAAATAACTTCAAGCATATTTGATTTAGTACCAGTGGCCTATCTGTTCTTATATGCTAGGAGAGGAATTTAATGGAGCTTGCAAACGTGTCTTACTTAATTGTTTGACAAGCGTGTTCTGTTTCTGCTGATTCTTCTTATTGATACGCCTTGCCAATTATGGCCTTGAAATTGCGCAATCATTTTGTTATTCAATATATTGACCTTCTTTCAAATTTAGACATGCAAATACAGATTTTGCTGCACTATTTTCTAGAAAAAATTCATCTCAGCAATTCATGGGCACATATATTCAATGAATAACTTTCAAAGTATTTTCTTGCTTCCCATAGTCATTTTTTAGTATTTTTGTTCTTCAGTTGGATCTAAGTTATAACAAAATGGCACATCTTGATCTCAGCCTGTTAGATGAATCACCACTGCAAAGATTGCTATTGGTCGGTAATGAAATCTACTTGATTTCCGGTTCCACGAAGGTAAGCTCGGTCTTGTTCCGATATATAGAAACATTCATCCAACTTGGATCCCGGTCATAGCAAATTGCCGGTTGTATGGATCCTGTGTTGTGTTGCATCCAAATAGAGTGACACCATTACAAATAACGAAACTTTTAATTTTACAATCGCAGGTAATAACAATAAGAATGAAAATTAGAACACAAATCTTTAAATAGAACACAATTCGAGAAGAAAGTAATTCAGGTTTAAATGCATAATAAAAATATAGTATCAAAAAAGCCAAATCTCTGCCAATTGTTGCAGTCGCATAAAACATAGGTCAATGATTCGAGCTCCGGTTTAATGAAACGTTTTCAGTTAGATGCTTGTTAAGCGTGTTTATTTCAACTTTAGCTGCAATCCTTTTCAGATTTATTTTAACACTTGCGCAAAACGTCAGCAGCTTTTTAAAATTCGTAGTTTCCCACATTACAATATTACTTATTTTTGATATCGTCTGACGTGATCTTTAATCACTGAAATCATTGTAAAAGTCAACACATTGATTGTATAGGGAGTGAAGTGAAGCTATGGCTAGAAAGATTTTGTTCCCTGTATGGTTTGTGCGACAGATATGTCAACAGGGAAAAAAAATGCTTCCATTATCATCATTCAATTCCAGTAACTAAATCTTATTGCAAGTGTCGTCCACTATCGCAGCTAGGCCAGCCAAAGCGAGCAGCGTAATCCGTTAAGGCGGGAAGACCAATTGTTGAAATTAGCCAATCATTGAGGGGACAGACTGCTTTTAAAATATTTGCCAAAAAGTCATTCATCTTAGCTACATTTATTTTGAGACAATTCTAACAACAATTAAGTGTGTCGATTATAATTGTACCACTATTCTTTGGTAAGTGGACAGTACTGATGGTATTTAAGTGACTTAAACTGGGAAATAGGTTTTGAAAGCTATGCAGGATTGGGGCGTGGCGTTTAATTTCTTTTGTTTACAATGGCCTATCTCAATGTCTTCCACAATATTACTGCAATGCTTTTTGGACGCGGCTTCTGTTCTCTTATTCACAATTTTTTTCTATTATTAAATCTTTTAACCCATGAAAGATAATGGTAATAGTGTTTTTTTATCTTTTTGTTTCTTATCTTAAATCGTTTATTTTGTTATTTTCCAGACGCTGATGCACTTGAAAGTTTTGAATCTCAAGCAGAACAGAATACAGAGTATCGAAGGTAACTCAGTATTCCCTTTTTGAATATTCTAATTTTTTTAAAATTCTCTTATTTGAATCTCAACGAAGATGTTCTGATTGAAAAGTAATTTCTTCTTTTATTTGAAATGAATCAAACCTAAGAAATAGGATTATTGCTGTACGTCACGTTAAGTTTTCTTCATTAACAATCAATTTTCTTTACTTTGACACTGTCTAAATTTTATCTTGTTTCTATTTTCTTATCTTGTTTCTTTTATTTACTTAAATCTTTGATAACAATTAGTTACATTTTATAGTTCTATTTCTAATTATATTGTAATTTAGATAAAGTAACTGATAGTTATTAAACTGGAATTTAGCTATTTTTATTTTTTAGACTTCTGTAAATAAAAATATGGTGAAAGTGATGTTGATGATGGTGTTGAATATGATTATAATGATGAATTTAACCGACGTATATTTGCATTCCAAATGCTTATTTTTAGTGCTAAATAGCATACGTTATACGTTTGCTAAAGTATCATACCGCACCTTCAATTTTCAGCCTATTCATTTACGAATCCTGTTTTACAATTTCCTCCACCACAGGTCTGCTTTGCGCGCAAGGTCTTACCAATTTAGATCTTTCACACAACTCCATTGTTATCCTTTCGGAAATTCGAAAATTAGCAGCTTTGGAGCATTTGCAAAAGTTGGCCGTGATAGGTTTGTGTTTGTATTTTTGGATGAATTTCAATTTAGGTTTTCATTTGAAGAATTATCTTTTTTTATTTAGCTCATGTTTTAAGATCAGCTCTTATCTTTTATATCGCGTATATCACTTCGTGTACGATGACGTTCTCTGTATGTAGCCTATGCGCAGACACGACTGGTTTGCCAGATTTACTCAATTTTCCATTCGGCCAAATTCGTTTCTTGGAAAACCAGTCGAGTCTGTGCGCAGGCTAGTCGATATAAGGGTTAAACCATTTTTTATGATTACTTGCTTTTTTTATTAACTGGTAGTCTCTGTGTGTGATTGCTTCCTATCCCACAGATAAATCCTCCTTTTTGTGGTGTGCGAAATCTATGAATTGGTGCTTGTATGCCTGTGAATACATTTGGATGTTTACAACCAACACGAAAGCTATGAGCGTGTACAAATCGATTTAGCTTCTTCACCTTAAAAATAGGAGCCTGTTTTTCTGGTCAACATTTTTTTTAAAACACGCTATTTATAAAAAGCCGGACCCAAAGATGACCAAAATGTTAAAGAACCGTAGTACTGGTCACCCTCAATTTCGTCACCGTCAAAAAATGGTCGATGCCGTATAGGCAAAGCTGTATATACTAAAATTATATGTCTGATGATCGCATTAAGCGTGAAACTCGGAAGTAACAACTTAGAGTTATCCTGTTCTTTACACCAAAAATGAATCATTAAACTGTATGAATGTCAGTTTGTGTAGGGAGGATTACTGCTAGCTGGTCTGTACTACAATGCCTGCAAAAAGTACTTGGAACACCCAGCAATTTACGCTGCATTTGATATCTTTCATTCCTTTCATGAAGAAAAAATCACTACTTCCGCCCCCTTCCTCCTAAAACAATGTTGATGATTTAGAGAAATATCATAAAAGAAGCGCAAAAGAAAGTGCTTCCTAAAATCCTAACCTGTTTGATAGTAAACCAACATTTTTCTGTAGGGGAGAGGGGGATGATTAGTTTTGACCTTGAAAATTGACGTCAGTGTTCCAAGGCTTTTGGCGGACATTGCAGACTTCTTGGGGTGATATATTAGTTCTCTTCATTGTAGTGGCCTGATGATCGCATTAAGCGCGATGCTTGGACTAGCAGCTTAGAATTGTCATGTAATATGTAACAAAGTGTATGTCAACTTTTGACATATGTAGTGAGTTTGAAGCAATTCTCAATGCAATTTTTTTTAATTTGCAGGAAATCCTATGGCGAAACAGAAACGACACCGCATTATGATTTTAGCAAGCTTCAGAGGACGAGATGTAGGCTTTTGATTTTCGTTGCTATTTCAAGATCACAATTCGTTACGCGAAGTAGCTGTATTGTGAATTTTGCCAAATTGAATTTTTCCCACAATGATTTCATATAAGTTCAGAATATTATTTCTAATGTTGAATCTATTTTCTCATTTAATATGCTCCAATAAGAATGGATGGATTGATAGATCTCTCTGTCCATTAAAGTTTTTGCCAATAAATGTGGATATGAAGTGCATCTCTACCTACCAGTAAGTCAGTTTTCTTTCAAAGCAAACGCAAGTTTTGTTATATGCTCAACAGTAAGGTTATGATCTTTTTCAAATAGCCGTTAAGCTACTTTTCCTCAGTGTCCTTGCAATTTTTCTTTGTTGAAGAGAGTAACGCTGTCTAATCTCATTTAATATTGGCCTAAGCTAGGTCAGCTTCGCTTTCTTTTGCTGTGTATAATTCCGTGATTTTGTATGTCAATTTGTATCTGTTATTTTTACAAGTAAAACGGAAATTAATTTATCAAACTGAATAACTATAACTCACATTTTTTCTTAGTTTGAACTTGACGGAAAAGGAATTTCGCGAAAAGAAAGGGTGAGTTTTATTTGGATCTTTTCTCGTTCTTTGTTGAATTTGCATTCAAGGGAGCGAGGGCTTCAAATGAAAATTGGGCACGTGAACGATTTGGTATTTTGACACTTGACGTATGCTAGAAAGCTGATTAGGCCAGAGTTGCTTTTGATTAGTCAATTGCTGATTGATGGACAGGTTCATAATGATTTACACTAGTAAACTAGTGTCAGTACACGCAAATGCTATATTTTTCCTAGCAAGTGTTCCTCGACCTCATTTGTAATGAATTTGGGTACTAGAAGTCAGTCTGATTCTTTGAATTATGGCAGATTGATTTTGATTCCAAACAAGTCACGGATATACAGTCCTTTGCGTATGGCCTAAATGGTCAGGAAGTGATTCGATTAATTTCGATCCACAAGAATTTTCATTCATACTCCGAAAATAGCTATTTTTGTCTGAATGGCTTCTCAAATTTACAGTAGAAGTGGCCCAAGCTATTAGCTCATATATAAATTCAGCGTTTACATTAAAACAATGTACGGCTTGCTATTTGTCTTGACTTTTCTTCTAGGCTAAGCTGGAAGCAAGGTATAACTCAGAGGATGAAGTTGATTTTGATGACACCATGAGCATCAGTACTGTATCTGACGATGATATGGATTCTGGGATTGATGGTCACGTGCCATCTTTAGAGCCACTTTTAGAGGAAGACGATTATATTGTTGTTGATAAAGATGTTAATTTGGGAAGTTTAAGTCTATGTGAAACGGGTGAGTGTAATTCATTTATGCAAGAATTGCCAGATGGGAATCAGTTTGAGAGTCCTATGGGCAGCCCTGCTAGTTCTCGGAAACAAGCTTTATCCCACAATCGAATGGTAACACGGAAGAGAACTGACAAACCGGAATTAGAAAGTTTCAATAGCTACCAGGAATCGCTCGCGGCAAATTGGAAGCCAGGATCAGAATTTCTTGAAAGGAAGTGGTCTGGCAAAGAAAGACGTAAAACTGATGGCGGAAATGGCCAAACAAATCGGAGCGTTCGGAAACGAACAGATCAGTGTGGTCCGACGCAAAATGATATGGACAGTCATCTGGCGAGCCACCCTGCACAAGCAAATGCATTGAAAAGAAATGACAAAAGCACAAATAAAGGAAAACCTAAAAAGAACCCTAGTTTGACTTCCTTTGATAAACTGGTAAGAAACACCAGGAAAAGAGAAAAGAGACAGATTATAGACTTGTGGAACACCAATATAGGTACAGAAAGGGAGGGTATGACATCACCTCTTCCAGATTCATCAGGTCTACCGACGGATGGAGCCCTGAAAAATGACTTTACTCGCAACCAGGCTGTTTTTAAGAAAAACGTAGTGCTTTTGCCGGAAATTGACGAGTTTCGTGTCGAAGATGCTGATGAAGATGAACTTTGGAACGGTGAAGAAGACTGTGAAGCTGGAACCGAATGCGATGAAAATTTAGAGAATTAAACATATTAAGTTAAGGCAATGTGAATAAGAATTAATTGTTGTCTTTAAGAATTCAATTACCTAAATTATTTTTTGTCAAAAATAGCAGCATCTGTTGCGTTCAACGAGGTGCTCGTTAATTTCTAGTGAATGCTTTAGCCCTTGTTGTTTTCAGACAGGCGGACCATGGCTTTACCAAGCATCCTTATTTGATAGAGCAAATACGAGGAGCTGAAAAATATTGAAGAAAAGTATAGAATTTCCATGAAACCAGCAGTAAATAAGTATGGATAGGTTAGACCACTCAATCGTCACTAGTCATGGGCTCCCATAACGGTTGGAAAGTGGGGAGGAGACCAAGGGAGAATTTGACATCCATAACAAAAGATTTTGAAAAAATTGTTTGGTTTTGCAAAAGCGTCCCCTTCGTCGAAGGCCCTGCTATTTCAAATGAAGTAAAACTCCTGGTTAAGCAATTTATCACAAATGATTCCGTAATCCTTTTTTGTAGTATTTTTGAAACCCATTTTTGTTATCAATCAGTTCGCAACTGTTTTTTTACACTGTGACTCATGCGTTTATATGTAGATACACGACACGAAAGTACTGCTTGCAATTTAGATAAATGTAGTTTCTATACACAAAGCGTATAGCTCTAACAATAAAATCATGATTTTAATCCGATACATAGTTGGACTCTTTTTCTTTTGCTCTGCAAATTTATCAGTTTTTAGGCTTGCATTTTCTCATGATAGCATGGTGCCATATTTTGTTGAATAAACTTTCACAGAATAATCAATGTTAGCATCAGTTTCAAGGACATTTCTACAATTTCAAAAGTCTTCACGTCCAGAAATCTTAGCCTTTGAAACGTGTAGCATCCTCATTCGCAAATTGCCTGTCGTTCTTCCAACTTATTCTAGACTGGGCAAGTCTTTACAACATTTAACAGTTTTTGGCCATTATTTTCAAGCCTCACTTTCGTCCAACTGAAGAGAGGCACGTGAAGTATTTATTTTTCTGTTTTCGTAAAAACCGTTAGCTACGAAATGCCACGGTGTGGATGATTTTATGACAGCTTATAATTCTATATACAAAAAAAATAATTACTGAAAGATAGTTTTTAGTTGCCTTGTTTCGAAATATTTCGTCTGAGGGCTTCAAATGGTGTCAAGACTGATGACCGCCGAAGCGTAGTGTTGTGCCTTGTGGCTTCGCTAGCGAAGCTCGCGCTAACGACAATAAAATCGTGGACTGCTGTAAAATTTGGTTTCTTTAATTTTTGTTGTTTGGGAAACCTAGAAAACGAGGATAATTCAAGCTTTTAAATGGTGAGTACGACAAATAAAATCATTATTTTTCTGCAAGCTTCGACAAACCCTGGTGGGCCTATTTTGTTCACACTTGCACAGCGCGCTACAGGCCTGAGGCCTATCGTCAATGTTGAAACACTTCCTTGTGGAACCCCTACTAATTTAGAAATTATTTAGAATTCTATTTAGATTATTAACCTTTAGTTGTTGAAGGAATTTTTTTGCAAAATGGCCTTGATTTGATTTTCTATTCATAATAATTTTTGAATAGAAATATGCTCTTTCTCTACAATAAAATATATTGTTTATGTAAATATCAAGCAAATGCTAAAAAATTAATTTCCCCAAATCACGAATCATTGTTTTCACTTTAGTACCAGGCTCTTGGGTTGCACCTTCAAAGTAGAGGTGCCAAGTAGAATTACCTCCTTTAGAGAAGATCAGAATAAGTTTGTTTATCAATGATTAGCAATTTATCTTGCCAATTTATCTTGCCCCCCCCCTGATGCACTTCTGCCTGACCCTTGGTGTTCCTGTCAAAGGTAACAGACCTATTTCTGAAATCTTTTTTTAGGACAGTAATTCTGATTGGGACAGTTTGAGTGGGGATGAAGAGTTGGAGCCCCCATCTGTCAGTGTAAATGTTGAATCTTCAAGGCAGATAAAACAGCCTCCTCATGTTGATTCTATAGAGCAACATGTTTCCCCATCACTGGCAAAAAGCCCATTGTCAAGAACAAATAAAGAACCCAGGGCACCACCTAGAACTGCCGAGAAGTACAGGAATACTACAAATAGAGGTCAGCATTTGAAAAAAAATTCTCTACCAGTGTCAATCAAAAGTTGCTTAGAAGAATGTGACAAGTTTAATAAAAAAAAGCATACCTTTTGATTTGCAGCAATACACTAGGTGGGCAAAAGTATTGCACCACCCCCTCCCCCCACAAAATGGCCACATTGCCCCAAACTTTTATAGCAAACCAAAATTCAAATAGCTAAAGCAAGTTAAATAAAAGTTTTAAAATGAGAAATAATGGGAAATTTATCAAAGTAAAGTAGTGAAAATGAGAAATGCAAATAGCTTCTTATTTTTAAGCCATATCTAAGACTGCGAATACATTAAAACTAAGCTATGGCGATAGGAGTACCTGTAATATATTTGCAACAAAAAAGGTTTTTCTTTGCACAAACCTGCAAGATTTCATTAAGGTGAACTTGGAGATACTTACTTTTTGCTTGGTTACCCAAAACTGTTAATTTTTCTGACTCTTATTAAAGTATTTCTCAAAAGTTTTGGTCGCCTGTTTTTCGTCCTTTAAAAGGCCTAATTTTGGATACCATTTCGTAACATGTTGCAACAGAATACAATCAATAAAACATGCCAGTAGCCTATAATTGCATCTCTTCCAGCCAAATGCGATGTTGTTTAGGGAAATGTTATAGCAATATGTTCAAAACAGCATTTCATCTCCTCTTTGAATGAAGATACCAAAATTTCTGAGATAAACCGTCCTAAACAGTGACACACTATTGTCCAAAAAACCCTCATTTAAAAACAGCTGTAAAAGTTTCACTTTTTGCTAAATTCAAAGCCAATAATGATCTTCTGGGACCACAAACACCTAAATGTGGTCTTGCCAAAGTTTATTCAAATCTATCATGTGACGTTCAAAAGTAACCTCCTGCAAAAGTTTTTGATTGAATTTAACAAGTTTTACATAGGTTTCAAGGCTTCGAGACTGTCCAATCAAAAATTTACTTTTTTGATAAATTAGAACGTTTTTTTCCTCAAAATTAAAAAGAAAATGTTGCCAATGGTTTTAAGTTTTGTGCGATTCAGTTTTAATCATGGAATAGCGCTTAATGGCTTTATAAAAGTGGTTTGAGTTTTGAATGTTGTTCTCAACGCTGATGCCATAATTAATTCGTCAAAGTGGTGCGATACTTTTCCTCACCTAGTGTACATGCCAAACTAAGTAACACTTTGCCAAAATAGTGTAAGATCTTTAAGGTAACAAATCTGGAACACATCACCCCATGAACTTGAAATATCTGACTATCCTGATAGCTGGTTGAACCAATGATTAAAATATGGGATGGTCGAACCAGTTAGAGTTTTACATTGATTTAAATAAATGTTAATTTGCTCATTTACTTTACAATTTCTTATATGGTTCAAAAATTTGCTAAGAGACCTAGCCCTTATGGACACCTATATGATCAGTTGTGGCTAAGGTTGCCATTGCTTGTATCCTGCTAAGATCTTTTCTTGATATGTAAATGTCTTAAATTGAAATTTATCTGGATCTTCTAGAAAAAGGGGTCACTGTATTTAAAGATGTTGGAAACATTGAACCTGTTTCTGAAAGAAGTATCACCAGTCGCAAGAGAAGAGAGATACTAGACACTACGGCTCAAAATAACATAGATTTTCAAGAGATTGAAATGCAAGAAAAAATACAAAACAGAACTCCAAAGACAAGTTTTGCTGGCAAAGACAAAAGAGCAACCTTGATGGATGCAAATGAGAATTTACCCTATACAGAATTTGAAGGTAAGATAGAACCATTTAGATCTGACTTAATAATCAATAGCTTGTTAAGAATGATTTGAATTAAAAGCTTTGATTGCCAAAATCTTATTGGGTATTCCTTTTGCTTTATTTTAGCTGCAACCCTTTCTTATTCATCAAACCATCTTTTATTAGAGTTTATGGGTTCTTGACAAGATCACTAACAAATTGTAGTCAATTTTTGAATTTGTATCATTTTAGCAAAAAGAACTTGTTTTTTGAGTTTTTCTTTCAATTTTTCTTGAAACTGCTAAATGCACTAATTTTTCTAAATTCTTTTCTTTTTAATTTTTTATTTCAGCCTGAAATTGTTTTTATTTCAGTGTACCTGCAAATTTTATAGCTGCCCTAATTTTTGTTGGATTTCAAAAAAAATTCTTCTCACTTACTAAGACTGCCTTGTATACTGTTTGGTAAAATTTTCAAATGGCTGTCAAAACTACTAAGAAAATACGAGTTTTACTAAGAAGATTTCTAGAAGGTTTCCAATGTGATGCATTTTTGGCAAATCTTTATTTTGCAAATTGCAAGTAAGACATGGACTTATATTGGATAGGCCATTTCACAAAGCTCTGGTCTATTATAAGGATCTAGCCAGTGGCCTGGCTTCATTGCTAGGTTTATTGTAGAGAGACGTAATAAAGATTCCTATTTTCCATTCCACCATCCCTGGATTCTTGTTTCTTTTTGCAACAGATTCAAGAAAGAATTTTCTATTCCCAGAGGCCCACCTGTCATCAGGGTCTAAAGAAGTGTCCTCCAGCCATAAATCGATTGATTAAATGCCATTTTGGATTAATGAATATTTGAAATCTTGAATTTCAATTTTGACGAGTTTTTTGTCTGTATTCTTTGCTTTTTATTGTGGGTTTTCATTGATGGCAATGACAGCCTTCCTGTCTGGAGTTTTGAATGCATATGAAAAAATGGGAAATAACAGACACTTTTTTATTGGACAGGTGTAAAACGCAGCTTCAATTGATGGTATGATTTTCTAAGAAACAGGCTAGACCAAAGGATCAACGTTTTTGAAAGCTACTTTTCATCTTTTGGTCACTTCTGGCTTCTTCATCTCTTTCAAGTGGTATAAAACCAAAGAATAACTATTCAAAGGAGAAAATTCGATAAAAGCCTGCAATATTTTTTCTCAAATAAGGCAGCTGCCAAAAATGTTTGGAAGTGTTTTTTGTGTCGGAATAGACAATTTCCTTAAAGTTACTTAATTTGTTGCCTATTAAGATGATTCTGAATAAGATGTTTCTTTGTCGAATACATCTACAAAAAATCTTCTGTTGTGTAGACAGATAGAGGTAGTTTTCAGACTTCAACGACTCCAACGACCCCAACGACTCCCAACGGTTATAATCCCTACAGGCATGTAGCTTGGTAAACGTCATGGCCTTTTGTTTCTGATTGGCCTATTTCGATCCACCACTGGATATATATATTTCCAAGATTAGAATCGTCGATCAATTATTCTGACGTTTTTTTTCTAAGGAGTGTCAAACGAAAAGCTTTTTTATATTCAAAATTTTTTGAAATTTTGTACCGTACAAGATTGCTCTCATATTCCTTTGTTTTCTCTAAGGTACTTTCTTACTCAATAAATTTTCTAACCATACAAGGCAATTTCCAACTTCCAACGCAATGACTTCTGCCTGTCTGGCTCCAGCTTTCTGGCTTTTTGGAAGGACATCGACGCAGGGATGACGCCAGAAAAGAAATGCTGGGGGGGAGGGGGCTGTAATGTCAGAGTGCCGACAGTGAGTGAACCACCCACAAAGATGTAATATAACACCATTTCCGCTGTGGTGATTCTAGCTCAATAAATGAAAAATAAATTGAAAAAAAATCAAACAATAAAAAAAATAAAAAAATCACGAAGTGGAAGTTATGAAATTGCCGGCATTGCTTAAAATTTTTCAAGAATTGAAGTGCCGACGGGGGGGCTCAATGAATTTCTGCCCCCCCCCAAGCACCCCCGGTGGCGCCAACCCTGCATCGACGCCCAGCTACTCACTATAAGTTTTTTAACCGTTCACAGAGTTGTTTTTGTCCTAAGAGCCTAGCCTTTATCTAGTGATTACCTTGTTTTTGTGCCAGGCAATGGATTGTTTTTGTTCTTTGTAGCCTCAGACACGTCACCTCGAAAAATGTCCACTGAGCTGGTGACGCGAGGAGCTATTCAGAACAAGCCCAAACAAGAATACGTAGTCCAAAATCCGCAGCCGAAAGAACCCGCTGTTAAAAGACAAAAAGAACCTGCAAGAGTCGTAAAACAGCCCTTAGAGACTAGCCCTAAAGCAGCAAAAAAGCTTAAAAAACCAGGACGTAGAAAGAAAGGCTCGGAAAGGCAGGAACATCCTGTTATAGTCAACGAGAACGCCGATAGCTATCTACCCGAGGATACAGATGTGGATTACTCGTGGAACGAACGGAACTATGGGATAGAAGAGTGGAATGAGACTGGCTATGAAAAGATTGTCGTTTTGAAAAGTGCATATGAGAATGGTCGTGTGGAAGAGCGGTCAGATCCTCGTTATTTCCGACATTATTTCGGACTTCCCATTTGTATATTTTTATCTAGATCTAATTAAGAAGTGTCGCATTTCCGTGTTCCTTTAAATCTAACTATAATTCTGTTGTCTTGCTTTGGTTAACCAACTAACTCTCCATATCCTGAAAAATTCGGTTTATCATCCTCGTGGCCTTAGCCTATGACGTCAGCTTTCCAATCTTTCCTGGAAATAAGAACCTCTTTTGCACTTTGTCTCTAATCATAAACCAAGTCTACGGTTATCCGGATGTATTTGAAAACGCAGATTTTTCGAAAAACTAGACTTTGGTAACCCAAAACGCTGTTTGCGTATAGACAGACGCCTTAGATAAAGAAAAAAATATAATTTCCAAAATCCGGAAATATGTGAACTGTGCCTTAATGAAAGAAACTCAAACGAATACTCGAAAGGCAGATTCCAGTAAATCCATTTCCGTCATGACACCAACTTCCAAACACGTGATAACCTATCGCTCGCTATGTCCATCACATTCAAAACCAATTTTAACCTTATTGAACATTTAACATTTTGAATCTTCCAAATAAATTACTACCTCGCTTGTCAATTGATTATTTTTGTCCGACTGGCTTGAAATTTAGAGACTGGTTTTAAAAAATCTTCATATTTTTCACTTTTTTAAATCGTACAGGACAAAAATGCAATGGAATTCGACGAAAAGGACTAATATAAAGACCAACATTGCTAGCTTTCTTCCTCTTTTTTCTTTTTTAGGGGAAGGGGGGGGGTGGGGTGTAAGTCTTAATTACGAAAGCTGCCCCTACTTAAAGGAAAAGCTGTTTCTAAAAGAAATAAAATGTTTGGTTACAGATATCGAATTTATCATCTTGCTTATACAATTATTTTTCGTTGCAGGTATCTTTATGAAAATGCAGTACGAGACTATCACAGTACTTTCATCAGCAAGGATGCGAAGCTACCCCAAGTCGCAGAAAGGTATGTTTTAGTCTTCACATTCAATGCTCAAAGAGACGGGGGTGGCTTTTACCCTGCTTCTTCGGCCTTTAGTTGATTAATGTATACTACGTCTTATAATATCCCTAAGTTTAGATCTCCTTTAAAACTTCCCCGGCTGTAAGGTCTTGTACAGAGGTATGGGTTACAGTTTTTTGTAAAGGCTACTTTCCTATGGCGTTTGATTTAAGAACTCTCAGAACCGAGTCACATATTTCCGCTGATCAGCTGTATACTCTCACATGTATCAAACCGTTAAGTTTATATAGAACTTTGTGATCAACAGGCATGGATTACCGTTTCCTTTAAAGATTACTCTCCTTGTTCATTTTAACTATGGCTCTCAGATCTAAGTTTAACGCAGTATATGAAAACAGTAGATAAAAATGGTATTTTACTGATTTCAATGCTCCATGAAAAGGCTTTGAAGTGTGTATGACGTTATGTATATGTCGGTGGTCGATTTGATTTTAAAGAATTAAAGGCATTATATCCTGACACTTTTCGCTGACCATTTATATTTCCAATTGGTTGTTGCGTATCCAATCGGTTATTTTGCATTGTTTTCTTGATCATAAACGTGCTGAATTGCCTTTGGTTGACTGACGGGACATACTGCCTTTAATTGACTGGCCTGGATAAACGGTAACATCTTTATAAGATAGAGAGGAAGAACAACCGGACCCACACAGGCCACTACTGTAACCGCTCAAACCAAATTATAATATTTGCATGTTTATTATACAGTACATTTCATGAAATAAAAATGTTGCACATTATTATCCTAACTGTTTGCTAAATTTTGTTGATCAGAGAATGAATAAATTAGAGCTAATTTTTTCTTTCATCATTTCCCTTGGGTCATTAGGTTAATAGATAATTTGGGTTTCCTTTTTAACGTTTCTTAATCGATGTTCTGGCTTCCGTCTGATGGATGACGTAGAAGAATTTCGCCTTCAATATTTAATAGAGATATTATTTTGTTATGTTATGGCTGCCAATATCGTAGTCTGCTTGGCGCATTAAGCAGATTATTTTCCGCTTAAAACTGTTATTAAAATACACAGAGACGTGTTAAACAGACTTGCTTGGCATGCTTGTATGAGTAAGTAATAATGATTGTTGAAGTATGATATTTGACGTTCAGATGATTTCTACGGTGTATAGGGCTTATATTGAAATGTATGTGAAAGAGATTAGTTGCGTAGTTACCTACATAAGTTCAAAGCCCTAAACATTTTTTAGGTGTTCCTGTCTGTAAAAGATTTGACGAGACTCTCCGAATTACATCTTTCCTTTGGTATATGTGGCTTATAGACAGACCTCATTGAATTTTATTGTATCAAAAAAGGTTTTTAAAGTTGAATGGAACTACGCTTCAAACTCTTTTCCTAAATGAACACATTATCTCACAGCCACAACATTAATCTGTTCATGCGTAGGAAAATTATATAGGGTACATCGACCGGTTTTATACTAAAACTCTTAAACCCGTGCGTTTGCTTCAAGAGTTATGGTTTCCTTTTGCCCAGGAGAAACTCCTGCTTCCTGCTGCTAGTGTGATTAAAACATACACTAATTGGGCCAGTGACGCCGCCCCCCCCCCCATTCAACATGATTTGGAAACTTTACGTCAAAGATAGGGTATTTTTGCATAAGAAATAGAAGTAAAAAAGGATGCCAAACAAGAAAATAGGCAAATTCGCTGCGACCTCCCTATGGCTCAAAAAGCTCAATATCCACAACAGTATTGGCCTAAAGGAACTCCAGCTGAAGAGGAACGCTGGAAATGCTATCAATGTCCCGAAAGACATTTAAAAAAAAAGGAATGGGCCTAAACTCCTTTTTAAACTTGAATCAAAAGGGAATAAGAAACATATGTCTATGAGGGTAGTCATCATCGTAGTTGCTGTCTTTATGGTGGATATCCCTTCAGATAGAAGTTTCTTATCCGGTTAACTATAACCATAACTCCGGAATGTATTGGTTGACCATTTCCCAGAGCAGCAAATATGATCCCGGTTCTAGTGTTACGGTGGAGGTCACTGTTACTTTGATTTGCATTGAAGCCTTAATGAATTGCTGTAAGATGTTTTATCTTTTTCAGGGTTGAATCGTACACACAACGTGGCATACAGGAATTCTTTGGAGCATTGCAGATAGTCGTTGACTTTGCTGTTATATTCATCGTTGAACTGCTACGGTTTATTTTCAGACAGTTTGGCAGGAAGCTCATAGGTGGTACTGTTACGGTATTCGGAGATTCCTTTCTAAAGCCTGTTTTAACTGCAGTTTTCAATAATGTCGTACAACCGTTGTTTGTTCTTGTGTGGAATATGATGTTCGGCTTTCGTAAACTCTTAGATCCAGTGTTGGCTATAACGAAAGAGATTCTAAGCCAGGTTGCAATGGTTCTACAATCATTCAGGCTAGTGGAAGTGAACAGGTCGCGCGATAACTCTATTCAAACTGTTTAGATGCCATTTTCCAAAGCAGATGGATGTTTGCGTCCAGAGGACAAATAGCCGAAGACGTCATCAGTCTCAACATCTGTAGGGTCACGGCACCATTAGAGATATGTGTATATATCTACTTGAAATGTATAGATATTTTTAAAGGGAAATATGTAGATCTTAGTAGCCTTTGGGGTGACAGTTTTGCATATAAAGCTCTGCCTAAGGTGAGAGAAGCAGGAGGGCAGATTGCTACAAGCCCTAAGTTTAGGTTGAGATCTTAGTTTTGATTTTAATTAAGTCTAAATTGTGCTTAACTTGGTGCGTTCTCTATCTGGCATTTACTTTTTTAAAGAAACTTAGCATATGTTTTTCCGTTTGTCGAATTTCTGTTTCGCCGTAGTAGCTGCTTGCAACCAATAAACTTGCAGTGACGGTAACTGGTCATGCGAAACTTCCATGAAACCCTGAGGGGTCCTGGCCCTAATCCAAGCATTGGTCCTGATTCTTTGATTCATGCCACCTACCCCTTTCCCCATATCGACGCTTCAGCCCCAGTGGCTTTTTAGATGCAAGCTAAGCTCAGTTATATCTTGTAGCTATTAACAATGTGTTCGGGTACCTTTAAGGTTGTATACTTTTGTTTGCAAATACTGAGGTTTTGAAGTAAGTTTTATGTTCTGGAAATCAGGTTTGGACCTCCGATACATTTTAAAAGCAACTTTAGGCTCTAGAGTATATAGAAACTTCAATCGTTTGTAAATTGTGCCTTAAAGATATTGTATTTAACTCGGGTATTAAAATTTTATTCGTCACGTTTGTAAAGTGTTAAAAATGTCACTGTTTTGTCTTTGAACACGCATTTCATATCAATTGGATTCTGTTCGTACGCCTTTAAAAGATATATTGCTTTTTTGAACTGACAGTAATCTAGAAGTTTCAATCAGACGGGTACTCTGGAAGTTTGAGGATTATTAAGAGACCCTTCAGTTGCAATACAAAGCTAGTCAAACTCTGAAATTGACTTTCTAATTTTTAATTCTTCAAAAACTGAAAAAGAATTATTTTGCCAAGATCCGGAATTTCTGTAATTCGGACACATCATTAAAATCATGCATCAGTATCTCCGAAATTATTTTATCGTCGGTTGCGAATTAATATTCATGTACGCAAAGACCTCTCTTGTATTTCTTGTGTCGGAGGTTTCTCCTGTCTTACTTTTTTGGGTCTAAAATCGACTCTTTAGTTACTGTGTGTGTAAACCGGAAAGCAGAGCCCAGCAGAGCTATCATTTTTAGCTGAAAAGTTGTTTTAGATTTACGGAAATATCGAAATCAAGGAAAGTTTTCCAAGAAGGAAGATGAATAACCAAGTAGCCTTGAAGAAACTAGCAGAATTGTCCATCCTCAGCCAAGGCCTAATGTTTTAATGATCTCAATTCTAATGCATGATATTCTTCAGTCGGTTTTATTGGGGTTGGGGACGGGGTGGGGCGGAAGGGGAAGCACTTTTTGTTAAAGTAAATCTCATGGCATTCAGGCATCGTTATTGACGCTATCATATCTAACGAAATTATTTGAGACATTAGCCTCCGTAACCCCACAAACGCTACGCCTTCTAAAACAAACTAACATGCTAAAAAGCTAAAACCAGGACTGACAAATCAGGACGAAAGTTGACCCTTGGCTAAAAGAGGTCCGACTGCTACTTTCAAACTTCAGAGTTTTATGAATTCTTTTTTACATATTGCTTCCTTGCTTCAAAATATTTTTGAGTGCCTTACTCGAAGATATTTGTAGATTTTGGTTTAATATTGATTTTCTACATATGCTTAGGCCTGGCTGCGCGGAAAGGGCTCCTGGCATCTCCAAGGGATTTGCCATTATTGATTTGATGTTTTAACAAAAGTTGGTTGTTGTACATATTTACCTAGAAAGATATCGTATCTCAAGTAATCTCTAATGCTTTTCTTGACAATTCGCTCTATCCATCTATCCATCTATCCCTTTCTGGTGATGCCTGTCTCATTCGCATATCTCGCGGGACCCGCGAGACCTTTGAAGCAGCTGCGGTCAAATTTATGCAACCGCCATTTCTTGCATATTGGATGAGAAGTGATTTTCGAGACCTGCCGCGCAAAAGGAGTTGAAATGGCACATTTCGTATCAAATTTACCCGAGGAGTAAGCCAGAATGGTGGCGAATGAAATGGAACGAAACTTTAACTCCCAGCCTGTTTGCTTTGCTCGTCAACTTGCATTTTATGATGATCTCGGAAGCGCAATTCTCGACACGATGCTGGGGTTTGAAACCCATAAAATGAATCTAGAACTGGTACCAAAGAAGCTGAGATTTGAAGACGTTTTCAACATCCTTGCCAATTTTAGGCGCCATGGAGAGGTCAACGAAGCATTGGAGTGTTTCTTTAAATTGCTAGGTGATTGGTGGACGCAGTTTAAGTCTCGCAAAACCCAGTCTGAATTGAGCTTTGCAAAGGAACATGTAAGGAAATACGCCATATTGTTCTGAGCTCAACCTGCTCCGATTATTAGCTCTATTGTGTTTGAACCAATCAGCGAAGATATGAACAATAGAATCATGTAGGGTCCACTGTGACAATAAACAAAAGTTTATTGTTATGAGTAGGCCAATGAAGTGAAATAAAGTTGTCTTGACTCCAGAGCAGGCCTAAGATTATCCAGTATCACCTGCCTCTGACAACATTAAACCGTTTGTACATTAACCGATTTATTTAGGCCATAAAGTTTAAGTAGTTTTTTTATATCATATTTAAAACATTTATTATTTTGTGCAACCAAAGATTTAGAAGAAACATTTGGGTTTGTCCCTAAAAATTTGCCAGTGAGGGAGCCTATTTTGTACTATATAAACAACATTAAACCAACAGATCAATAATTCAAGATCCCATCATAAAGTTTTCATGAAGGAAAAGAAGTCTGGCAGCTAAATATATTTTATGAAAAATCAAATCAGGGATTAAGAGTTTTTTGTAAAGCATCAAATGCCAGAATGGAATTTGTGTTTCTTCTATGCTAGCAGCTTCCATAGAAGACTCGATATCAACATTTTGTAAAGTTGCAAAAAAAGAATGCACTAAGCCAAATCTACCCTGGTAGAAATGATAGAATTCATTTTTCCAAAAGAATAACAATTTAATGACGTATACATATATTATTGGTAACATAAAATTTAGTAACTCGTTTCTTCTTTTTTTTACAAATTTAAAAGTTCCTTATTAAAGCCCAAAAATACTACAACAACCCAAAGCCCAAACAACAACTAGATATTTGTAGAACTTGCTTCAATTTTGTCAGTTTATTCAGCAGAAATGGCTATTGGGTGCAGGAACCTAAAATCTTCAATTGTGTAAAATGCTTGCATTCTGATAAAATAAAGGTTGATATATATATATATATAAAATTTTAAATCATTTGTCAAAACACAACAATGTTCAGCCTGCTACGTTTCCAAAGAATATGATTATCTTCCCAGTTGAAGCTAAAAAAATGTTATAGAGATGCAGAAAAGGAACATTTTTTCAGCAATCTGGAGATATTTTTCCTGCTGTAAAAAGCGTGATCCTTAAAATCCATTTATATATATGTACCATATTTGCCATGTACATGACTTACCCTTAATTCCATGTTAAAATTCTAAGAAAATAGTTTTATAAAACTGTTTCTTACTTTGCATAAGATGCACCCCCATTAAGATGGTTTTCCCATTAATTCCTAAATTCACAGTGTTGGATTTCTAACTACTTATTGTCTAATGAGGTCTAGCCCCCCCCCTCAGTTTGGGGATAAAGAGTTCTTGTCAGATTTTTTCTATTTGATTTGGGTGACTTTTTAAAAGTTTTGTCAAATTTCCTGTAAAAATGCTGCTGTTTGAGCTAAGAGTGTGCAGTTATCACAATATTTTGTCTATAATATATATATATATACTTTGTCATTAAAAGAAAACTATAGAAAAGTCAATGTTACCATGTTTAAGAAGCACCCTTAAAGAAATCCGATAGTAGTTGAAAAAATAAGTGTCTTAAACATGGCAAAATACAGTATATATAATATATATATTTATTAAAAATTGTCATCTTTAGAGCTATATATATGTAAATGTTTCATTAAATTGAATTATATGTATATATATATATATATATATAAATGTTTGATCAAATTTTGTAATTTTGTTTTGCAGATAATTCGATATTTCAACATTTTCTCTCCAAAAGCTGGATTTGTGATAGTTCCATGTTTTCGTTACTCAAGTGATAAAGGTGGTGCTAAAGTTATAGTCACAAGAGACTGGTAAGAATCAGTAATTTTATGTAAACAATTTGATTTGCCAGTGTTGTTGTTAAGTTATTTTCATTGGCTAATGTGTAAAAAAGTTTGTAAAACTTGTAAGTGTGTAACAAATAGTTGAAATTTTTGAAAAAAAAATTTAGATGAACATAGTCTAACCCATAACCTACCATCTTGTAGTAACTCTGCTTGGCCAGTTTGGATTCTTTTTTCTTCACATTTGTTCCTTCAAATTCTCACAATACTGCATGTATGCATCTTCAACATCAATCAAGCCTTTCCCGGAAAGGCGCTCGATTGAGCGCGCGCGCCTAGAGCGCACCCAAAAAAAGCCTTAGAGAGCGATTTATAGAGCCCCTCAAACCCTAAAAACAATATTAACACAGAGCAAAATAAATTTTTGGAATTTGTTGAATCAACTTGATCAAGCATAAACAATCTTCCCAACAGACCGCAATATTATGTTTTGCGTAAGATTACCCCTTGAGAAAAAATTCAGCAAATTCAACATTGGGTTTTCGATATCATTTTTAATCTAATAACCCTCTAATAACCATCAAGGACACAGGCCATCAAGCGTATTCTCTGGCAGATTTATTTGATTTTCGAGCAAGCATTAAGCTTCTATTGAAGTATATATTTTTTTCTGTTTTTCTTAATAACTTAAAATCCCCTGTGCAAATCAGCGATCACGTTTTCGTCCAAATTATTGCATTGCTTTTCATTTGCTTTTGCGAGTAGTAGATGTTCTAGCGTTTCTTATAGAATGGATAACATGAAAAAAGGAAACAAAGTTAAATGTTCGATTTAAAGCCATGCGTTTTGATGAAGCAATATGTGAAGCTGAACATAACAGTAGTGATACTGACACTGATAAAAGCTCATCGAATGATGGAAACTTACATATCTAGAAAAATCTGAACAATTTTGCGTCTTTGTTCTATTATATTTCTATATTTATATTAACATAGTGTTTGTTGCATGTTTTGTTATTTCATATTATGGTACTTTCTGGTATCACTGTTGAATTTCATATTTAACATTCTTCCGAAGCTTTTGATATGAAGCTCTCGATCTCCTAAAGCTCTCGAAGGATGCTCTCAAGGAAATTTACTTAGAGGTGCGAAATAGAGCGCTTAGAGTTTCTAAGGGGCTCTTTTTATGGAGCACCTTCATTTTACTTAGAGCAAGGCCTGCATCAATCAGATTATCAAAATATATGCCAGTTTCTATTGTATACCTTTGTTTTGTCACACTGTTCATTTCATTCACCCCTTAACTCACCTTTCAAATCTTGTTTTCTCTGTTCAGAAAGTTAAGTTCAGTTCTTAAATGCTGGTTTCATAGTCTCAAATGTTCAATAGGATGATGGATAAAGATTGAAGTAAATACCCAAAAAAAACATTCCCACTCTCCTAGAGGCCTAATGCATATTGCTGGTATATTGAAATGTAAATTTAAAATGTAGTTTGCCCAATTTTTATATCAAATCAAGCTATTCAAGAATTTCTGTCATATTTGTAAACAAAAAGCAATTTAGCAATCCCTTTATTCAGACCAAGCTATTTGCAAACTTATTTGTAATATTCCAGGGACAAGGGTGAAAAGATTGTTAATTTGGAAGGCTGTATTGCTGAAATGTCAGTAGTGGAGGAAGAAGAATTATTGCGACCTGGTATTAATGATTTCAGCATTATGTTCTCAACACGGAAAAATTGCTCTCAGTTGTGGTTAGGACCTGCAGCCTATATCAATCATGGTACGTATTTGTTACACTAGGTCCCCCAATCTTGAATGAAATTTCTACATCATTTTTTCAAGAGTTTGCCTCAAAAATTTGCCTCAAGTTTACTTAACCCTTAGCACTGAAATGACTGGCCTTTCCATTTTTGGGGCTGTTCAAAATGGTTGCTTTTTTCAAAGCCATTTTTAAGTTTTGTACCACCAAAAGATTGTTTGCAAGGAATATCAAAAATAAGAGTTGGAAGACTATTCCAAAATTTCATCTCTATTGGATTCATATCAACATGAACTGGAATGAACTTTTTGTTTGTAAAATCTTTGCTTGCCATAATGCATTTTAATATTATTCTTACTTATCTTGCCATAATACATGTCAATGCTATTATATTATCACTTTCTTGCAATAATATATGTTGCCAATATTAAAACTTTGCTTGCCATAAACATTCATGAAAATTACTGTTTTAGCAGTCTGTCAAATAGTTCTTGATGCTGCATAAGGATAGCTATTCTAATTGATGATCACATTAAGAATGAAACTCAGAATAGCAACCTAGACTTGTCCTGTTCTATGAAAGCGTATCATTATGTCCATATGCAAACCTTATTTGTTTTTTTTGCAGATTGCCGGCCAAATTCAAAGGTTAGTTTCATGCCAGCAAGATATGGTGAACTTCCTTGTAAAGTGTAGTTGCTTAAAAAGCTGTTAGACTGGTTGCTAAGTGTCTGTCTTTTGTGCTAAGGCTTTTGATTCAATGTCCTATTTCAGCCATTTTTGTTTTATCAAATTATTGGCTAAAGCAGACATTAGTTTATTTTGCCTGGAAATCATTTGTTGCATGTCTATTGAAGTAGGTCAGACATTAGTAGGAATGTTTATTGAGTTAAATTTAAATCAAAACTTTGTTGCAGAATGGTTTCCAAGTTCTCTATATGACATTTAAGGCCAAGTTACACAAAAAAATATTCAATAAGAATGATGATATTATTTTATTACTCTTGCTTGTATTCTGATGAAGAATTTTTCAAAAAATAATCTTATCACCTTGTTATCACATTTATCACATTGTTAGAAAATTTTTGTCAAGAAAGAATAAACTCTCTATGACCTATTTATATGGTGGACGCCCCGTTGTTTCCAGTCTGGGTGCTTGTTTAGGTCTACCTCTGAACAATATCCATTAGCTTTGGAAACCTTCCCAAGAATACAATAGAATGGCACTTTACTTCGTAATAGGGCCTTTATACCTATTTTAGTCACCAAGCAGATCAAAACTTTAGAATGGAAGGAAATGTTTAGCGCTAAAGTTCAAATTACCAAAAAAGTTTATCAAACAGGAAATAGTTTCTTTGCATTAAGAAAAATTTTAACTACCTTAAGTATAAAAATCGTAAACATTTTTATATAAATTTTATGAATTTTTTTTTATTATGTACTAAAGATATTGTTTAGTTGTACTTTTCTTTGTTTATGGTAAAAGGATGAATGATGAAAGCTAAACATTTTAAGCAATTGATGATCCATGATTAATTTTCTTTGTAGTTCATTTCAACGGAGAGAAACAGGGCTTGTGTGAAAGTGCTTCGTAGAATCAAAACTGGAGAAGAAATCACCTGTTTCTATGGGGAAAATTTCTTTGGTGATAGAAACTGTTTATGCGAATGTCACACTTGTGAACGGTAAGTTGAATGCGCCATCAAAGCTTGCCTCACAGCTTACATCATGGTTGATTCATATTTTATTATTACACACAAAGACAATGTCAATGCACATCAGCAAAGTAATATATTTTATTAATTACACTTAATATATTTTTAAATTAATATATGTATTTTTGAATATAGTCAAATACAATATAGTATATCACTTCTATACTGACACCCACCCATTGTCTTTGGGCGCTTTTCTCAAACAAGAAGCTCCTGATGACACCAGGCTGTCTGACAATGCACAGTGCAATCTGACTGTAGCTGGTATTACAATGTTTTTTCTTGGTTTTTTGGATGCAGCGCTTGATTTTTTCGGTATAGGATCAACAATCAGTACATCCTGGTTATTATCCTATTGCACCAAATTTGGAAAAATTTCTTCATTGGGAGGATTCTTATAAAGACATTCTTGTGTTTTACACGGAAACGAGATTTTAACATGAGATGGAGACCAAGCGTCGACCTGATAGTCATAAATCAGCATGATTAATACTCATAAATTAGTATGATCAATTATTTCAAGTAAAGGGTTAGGGTTGGGGTTTTGTTTGGGGCAAACTTATTACGTAAACAGGTCGAGCAGTATGGAAACTAGACAGCTTCCCCTAATACGCCCTTTTAATATTGATGTATTTAGATACTTCCCGGAAGGGTCGACACGTACAAAGCCACTGCGTCTATTTTGATTTAAAACGAGACTTTAGGATGAAATAGAGGCTGGAGACTCCCAACCTGCCCGTATTACATCGATTTTCAGAATCAGCGACCCAAAATACTCGAACCTTTATTGGTGGCATGTGGTACAATATTTGCATAACAAAGAGCCCTGCATACTTGTGCGGCATGAGCGACCTGCTTAAAAATCATCCTGTTAACGGTCTAGGATGGTCTTTGAATTTGTTCTATATCGAATTGTATCGTAGCGTTGGGGATGAGATCGAGCAATGTCGTTCCTGTGTTTATTGTGCAAAGAGAGTTTAGTTTATTAACTGTAAGGAGGTAAATAAAAGATTATGGTAAAAAAGATTGCCTAATTTTAATGACTGAAGACGAAAACTCAATTCTGAAAGTCTGACGGTCTTCTGTGCGACCTGTGCGACACCCTGTATCCGCCCTCACGTGATGCTTACCATAAAAAGGGCATTACCCGCGAGTTACAGTTATATGTAACCTACCTTTGCAATGTTTTCATCACTTGTAAGAGTTGGCACTGAAGCTTTTTGTCTGTTTTTCGCCTGTCTGTTTTTCAGCATAATTTGACCACAGGGAAGATTTTAAGACGTTTGTTCTTTGTTTGGAGTTCTCTTTATTGATGGGTTCGCCGTAGTCGTGAAGTTGTATAAAACTGTAACCACAGAAAAGTTTGTGGGACAGAGCTCATAATCAATTGTGTGAAAGTCTCTGTTATGTATCAGAATTTAATCTATTTTTACCAGAACTTTTGTGAATCCAAAAAGTCCTTGTGCTAAAAGTGTTCATTGCTTTTCGCAAGACTTTATCTTGTTCAAATTTGTGCATATCACAATATTATATAAATATAATGTTGTTTTCATTATGGTAAATACGAATAGCAAAGAACCTTTGAATTTTTACACAGAAGAGGCACTGGTGCATTTGAGACTAAAGGTAACAATGAAAATGATGATATTGGAAATGAAAATAAAGGTGATAAAGATAAGGAGGAGAAAAAATATAGACTAAGAGAAACAGACAAACGCTTGTCAAGAGTAGCAAAACTTTCTGATGGTGAGTTTTTCTTGATTTTGTCTTGTTTTATTTTAACATTTTCGCCCTTGGAATCCTTTCCTTTTATAATTAATTCTGCTCTTTGTGTGTCGCTGATGAATACAGCTAGAAATAAAAACTTTGTCGTTTTTTAGAAGAATTATTCAATTCCGTAGGTTTTAATTCAACAGAGTCGAGTTACATTATACTGTATTTAATTCAGCAGAGTCAAGTCTAATACCTGAGTCATTAAAGATAAAGCACTGTAGGGACTCCTTTTGTTGTGAAGTTACTTTGGGGCTCAAATGTCAATATTGCTCGGTTCCAAAGTACAGCTTTGTACCAGCTGTACCAGGTTCCAAAGTACAGCTTTGGTGCGAGGATTGCTCAGTTGTTAGAGGCGCCGACTACAGACCCAAGGGTCCGTGGTTCGAGTCCCTGGCATGACCAAACTTTCACCCAGAGTGGGGAGAGTCACCAGCTCTCTGTAATTCCAGGCGTAGGAATCACGAGGTTTAGTCACATCGAGAGGAAGGACCAGGACACTGCTCGATAAGCATAGCTTCTCAGTGTCCTAAAAACTACCTTCGGATGCTAGGTAGCAATAAATACAATACAAATACATCTTTGTGCCTATGTTTCATTCAGCAATAAGCTTCATTCGTAATATCGGGACTAAGACACACTGTCACCGAGAACAGCATATGTTCACGTTTTCAAGGCGTAAAACACACAATATCTTCATAGCGGTGTCACAAGGACGTCGGACACCCGGCGTTTATTAACAAAAGGCTGTTTTTTCGTCGGTTTTTCTCAGAATCAATACACGACCAGCGTGCTTCCTCGAGGAATGAGCGAAAAAAACAAAAAAGATTGAAAAAATGAATGATAACACGAATTGGTTCTATTTCTTTGTTATTTGAATACAGATAAAAATTTAAATCTTCTTTTTATGTTCAGACTAAGCCGATTGGTTTCATTTAACGATTGGTTGGTTTCAGTTTCGTATTGAGATGTTTTATGTGTACCATGTTTAACAAGAATCAATGAACAAGAAATTTTGTTAGTCTGCAAAAATAAAGCATTTTCAAGATATGCTAAAATGTTTCGTTAGATAGACAGTGGTCAGAAATTTTTTCCCAGCAGCCTGACTAAGATTTTTTATAAGAACCAGTAAATTAAAGTTATGGCTAGCTTTTCTTGATTTTTCCAAACTTTGAAACTTTTGTTCTGAATTTGTTCTTAAAATGTGAAGTTTTCAGCAGCGGAATCGCTGTCCAGGCCCCATTTGCCAACAAATGAGTCAGGCATCCTTTATTTGCCACAAAGTTTGAAAATTCACAGACAAAACACCCCTAGATGGGACAAAAACCCTTCGTTGTTGAGATGGGAAAAAACCCTTCGTTGTTGAGATGGGGTTTTTAAGTGGTCTCGGGACTTTGTTCAAAAGTGAAATTTTACAACTTTTGACCAATTTTGAGACTCGTGTCCTTATAACCAGACTGTATACCACGGTCTGATATATCATATATTGTGCTTATTCAAATTCTCGTGATAAGAATATAACCAAACTTCTGTAGCTGCCTTGGCAAAATTTTAATGGGTTTTGTGATCTTGTCTGTGGCTGTAAAACCACAGAAAAATCTTGTGATTCATAAATGCCTCACTTTTGAAATGTAGCAGGCTCCTCACACGATCTCGTATTTCACGGACATAGACATAATTCATCCATCGGGTAAACGATACAGTGGACTCCGGTTCTAGCCAGTTCGCCTAAAGTCACACTACAGTTTACAGGCACATAAAATTTAGCCCCTAAAATATTCATTTTAGTCACGTTTGCGGTCATACTGTCAAAGTATTTTAAGCCTACATTTGGTGTGCTTTTAACCAGAGTCTACTATAACTTCATTTACCAACCTTCGCCAAGTAGGTGTAAGACAGAGGGGGCGTTGTACTCTGGATATTGCCAGTGACATTCGTTGATAAGTTAAAAGGTATTATTTGAGTGCAATTAAAAGGATCTAGGCCTATCAAAAGTTTACAATACAGCAAGCCAGTTTTGACATCAAGGAGCGTATAGAGAAGAGCCTGGGTGCCATTGCTTTTGTCAAAAAGTGGGTATATAATTCTTCATGTTGGTCATATCTGCTTTGGAAAACTAATTATTGTTTAACAAATGGATGATCTCAGTTAGAGGTAGGTTAGCCCCCCCCCCTTTGTCTTCTCCCAAAGTATTATAATATTCACTGTTTCAATCAGTGACGGAAATTATGGACTTGGGACAGGGGTAACTGCCTCACCCCCAATTCAACATGACTCGGGAAATTTACATCCATAATTGGGTATTTTTGTGTGGGAAATAGAAGAGAAAAGGTAGCTCTAATAAGAAATATGGCAAGTTAATTGTGCTTGACCCAGTACTAAAAAAGCTTGATTGCTCACTTTTTTTATGAGAATATTATTTATAAGAATATTTAGGCCCAGAATCATTTTTAAGAATATAATAAGAATGTTGCTCAGCCGTCTCCTTTCTCAGCAGTTGCCTGTTTTGCGATGTTTATAACAGAAACTCTCAGGCCATATCACGTGTTTTAAAATACGTTTAGAATCGGGCGATGTTTCCCTAAAACCATACCATATTTGGAAAAGATAAGAATACTTTAAGAATATAGTCAGGCTCAAAACGAAAAATTTTTAAGAATATCGAAGCTGCAGCAAAATTAAAGTGTTGTAAAAGATGAGTGTAACGCGGGTCTTAAACCCCATTCTCAGTATAAACCACTTTATTTAGACGCATCAGGACCGTAGCTACTATTGTTCTAAGGGGGAGGGGGGTCATACCCCCAAAAATTATGAAAATCTGTTGTTACCATTTGTTTCAAATGAGCATTTCCTTTGTTCCTATTTTTCTTAGCAATAGCCCCCCTCCCCCAATAATTCTTTCCTTCCTAAGGCACTGCGCATAAATAGTCGCTAATTGGAATCAGTGGACACCTTCATGTCACTGCTTTCGAGCTTACTCAAGTGAAAGTGATAGCGTTTGACACTGATCAGCTGTGTACAAAGGTTGAGGGCTTGCCGGTGGGATGCTAAGCAACTCCAACATACTTGAAAGTTCTGTGGAATTAAAAAAAGATATATTGAAATTCCTTGTAAATCCCTGTCTGTTACACATGAAACAATTCACGTCTGACCTTACTGGAAGTTAAAGGAGGGTTGTTTCTTGAGATTTGAAGTTGGCTGACTGACCACATTAACTTGAGCATGCGCGTGAATCGTTACATGAAGTAACTCTATGTTTCACAGAAGCTTGGAAGTTGGCTATGGATATTGGAATTCAAAACACGTGGGAATGAAATGAGATTTGTTACATTCGATTACGTGGTTAGCTTATCTTTAATCGGCAGACAGATCGCAAGGATTTATTTAGGATAATTTTTCTTTCTAACGAAAACCCGTTCTACAAGTACCACATGAATTTCATAAAATGACTTAAACATGATCACAAATGACTTAAACAGTCGGGAAATAGGCTTTTTTACAAGCAAGTTCTTTAATTTATAGGTTATTGAATCTTTAGCTGACACAAGCCATGATCAGTTACGTGTTGTGAAAGTACACAAAATGTTTTGTACTCAAAAAGAGACTCATGTATGTACCAACTTAAAAAATCGAGGGCCCTCATTTAACAAAATTGTTTTAAGAATTATTTTCGTTGTTTATCGAAGCCTTTTCATTTCCTTTTAGATTTATCCCCCGAAAACACAGAAGAACAGATGCCATCTCTCTGCAAGCCTTTTGAACTAGAAGATAACATATTCGTCAGGTTAGAACGTGTTATCAATGCAAGTAAGTATCTTTGCCCTCTCAATAATGAACTCAACTTTCCTGTTGACGGACCATTTAATAGCGAGGCGACTGCGAACAACGATCATAGATATTTCAAGGAAATTGAAAGCGATCCTTGTGAAATACCAAGAAAGAGACGCAAAAAGGAGGCGCTTTTAGAAAAACTTCCCGGCCTAAAGACTCTCAGATACTTTGAGTTGTTGCTTATTGATCGTGTGAAGCCAGTCAAAGCTCCTACCGTGAAACCAGCGAAAAGTCGATCAAAAGTTAAGGTAGACCCGGTCGCGGGAAAACCTGTAACTGGACGCGTTAAATACGACCGGCGAATAAAGCGCACCGGTAAAACTGTATCCGATTCTACTGAAAAATTAGCTATGGACGTACTTAAAAATCATAAAGAGAAAGAAATGGTTTTGGGGGCCAGCCGCGATACCAAACGATCTGCTAGGATCCGCGTTCACGACGTGGAAATAGGCGACGGCCTAGGTATTTACAAAGTCACGTCACACGGGTCTGGACTAAAGATCAGAATGCAGCGTAAACGAACACTGTCTAACGATTCCAGTGTCAACAGCGAGCAATTCGACGACAGCTGCGACTCGGATGTCCCGTCGACGGAATCATCTGATAGCTTTTCTTCCAGTCAAGATTCGTCGGTAAAACACGTGGAGAAATATTCATCGCGAAGCCGCCGTATTCAACGAAGACGATGCCCGTGTTGCCGGTAGGACACGTTGAGACGGATCATTGTATTGGTAGTTTCACTGCATTGTTCTGGATGGGATCGTGTAGTGCTCTAGTCATCAACTGTATTATATATACTGCACAGCTCTGAATAATCGTGGAATTATGTTGTTTCTTTCTAAGAGAGTAAGCACAGTACACAGATATCCTGTGATCGAATTATTATTATTATTATTATTATTAGTCTGTAGGCATATCTCACAAGTGATTTTTGTAAGGTGTCAGCAAACCGCGCGGTGCAATGCCGCGTGATAACATGTTAAAGAAGCTTTAAGTCCTGGTTTAATTCGGACAGGATCTGCTGACTCAGTTATATCTTGTCTGAATCATAATTACAGTTCCGAATTTCGTTTTTTTCCTTTGCTCTCGATGTTTTATTTTTATTTATTAGTTTTGAAACAGTTGACAAAAATAACGATAGTTCAAGGATTAAACGTCACTTTTCAACAGAGGGATATTTTTCTGGTCTCCAAAGGACCTTCCAATTTCACCATCACCTTCCTCCTCTCATCTTTTTAGCTATTGAGAAGTTTATGTATTTTTCAAACCTTCCTGTTTACCTCACTCCTTCGTTCCTTAGGGCTTTTTGGAAAACATCTTGTCAACTTAAGATGCATACCGTAAATGACCAACAAAGCGCATAGGTCCGGGGTAAGTGCCCCCTTTGGCCACAAGTTTTCATAGGACCCAGCCACAAATACCGCAAATCCTCGACTAAACTCTCCCCCCCCCCACCCTCAAAAAAGCACCTACCTAAAAGTTCATTCTCGCAAGTAAGCCCCTTTTCTAATATGCCCCCATGGGCCCTTATTCCAGGGGAACTTCAGCAGCTTACTTGCTTCCACTCGAGTTATCAGGGGTTCGATGTATCGGAATTTTTGCTGTATAAATACCTATCATTTAGAATAATTTTCCTTATGAAGACCACAGAAGTCAATAAGCACCCAGGACTCGAATAAGCGCCTGCCCTAACTGCTTGCAAATTAATTATGGTCAATTACGGTAAGCAAACTTCACTATCTGATTCATTGTCTTAAATGATAAAGAAGGTATTCCCATGTAAATTCAAAGAAACATGTATTAAAATTCTCACATTATGTTGTGTTTTTATAAGTTTTATTTCTGACGATACTTGGTTTTTCCGGCATTTGATTGAGCATGACTGTCACCTGCTAATTAGAACAGAACACGAATTTTTTTGAGTGCACCAACATAAAAATAAAGATCGGAATTTAATCTGCGTCATAGACCTTCGCTCTGTCGTCGGAATGAAATTTTTTTTTTCGGAGGGCTGCTTATTCAGTTACCTCCCCCCCCTCCCCATTCTGTATTTTGTTTCTATAAACGAAATAGAACACAGCCTTGCAGCCATTGAAGGCAATGATTCAAGTGCTGCAGCCCCTCGCTTGTTTCTGAGTCAAGTTAACAGTTAACAAGTTACATAAAAGCAAAGAGTCAAGTTAACAAGGTATGTATGCAAAATTTTCTCATGACTGCGACCTGTTTACACGTCATGAGACCCTGTGTGTATAAGACTGCTCTCAAATGGACCTGCTCTTAGACAAGTAGGATTCCGTGTTTTGCTTCACTTTGCCTCTTAGAACCGATTTGGGGCAGCTCTATACTTTTGAGATCTTTCATACTTTATACAGGACACACTGCAAAGCCCCCATGCCCCTGAAGGGTCTGTTCTTATTTTGACTGATACTGATGTAAACAGGTTCTGTACCTGTTTCGCCCTTTCAGTGTGAAGGGGACGCCAGTGGGGTCTGAGATTAGGTACTTTTATCACCGAGGCGTTAATACAATTTCTGGCTGAGAGTCGTGTGTGAAATGTACTGTTCGGAAAAGAAATGTAAAGAAAGAATTCTTTCATGGTACGAAATTTGAAAATAACTTTTAAGAAACAGCAAAAGTCAATACTAAGCTTTTCATGTCACACTTCACAAAGTATTAAACGTCAAGGATAACAATCTAAGATGTTATTAGAAAAGTAAGTTTGTTAAAGAACATATTCGGTCATTTCCAGATATTATATACTCTCAAGACTGTCAGGCGAAAAGATTTGGTGTGTCTCATAATGTTTGCATTTTACAAATGTAATTGTAATATAATAAGCGAAACACTTCTCGACTTTATGTTTTTGTACTCTCTTGTGAAGAAATGAATCCTTGATGTTCTAACTAGCGCCTGCTATATTCTCAAAGTTAAATTACTGCCTTAAAGTTAAATTTTTTTATTTTGTAAGTTTGCTATATTCTGCAGCCGACTTTTCTTGTAATTTCAGAAAACAATTGACCAGCTAGATCCGAACTTCTTATCGTCTCTAATTCTCTTTCTGGACGTTTTTAGGATTTGCACATTTGCCGACGCTATTTCTAGAATCCCGCCACAGCAGTAAAAGTTATTCTAGCAATGTCAAAATGCTATTTTTCTTATTTATCGTCCTTATACTGCCGTGTGTCTTGCATGTACGATCGTTAACATTGCTTATAAAATGCTAATATCTGTGGTTTGATTGGTTCATACCTTATTGATTGGTTTAGACTAAGCTACGTCACTCATGAAGCATGTTACTTTTAAGAACCATAGAAATAGGATATATTGCCTAAACATTGATTGCTTCATTTATATCTGTATTCAGACCGCCTTTTTTTCTTTTCTTTATCTATAATTTTTATATTGATAAGCATTTTGTTTTTGGCCGCCAAGTTTCCTGAAGTACATGATAAACATGCGTTCTCTGTTTGCTGTTGAATGGTTGCCCACGTAAATAACGTTGCATATTCAAACTATGTTCAATAGAGGACAGGTTATTCTGCAGAAGCCCATATTGTTTTTTGATGGTTATCTGCTGTTATGAATCTGGTCTATAAATCTATTAATACCTGTCCGCTGTCGTCAATAAATAGGAAACTTTCAGTTATTTTTATTGTTGAGTACGGCTTATCGTTAATCTCATTTGTACCAGAGAAAAGGTAAAATTATTTCGGGCTGACGTAACGCGACCGTCGCGGACACCGCGGGAATATGGATGGGAGTATCTACGTTTGATTAGAACGTGGACATGAATTGCACGGACTTTCAAAAAAGAATACTTTAATTTCTGAGAAAACCACACTAATAACGCATTATTGCAATGCCATGAAAAGAAATTATTTATCTTCATTTTCTGTGGAATTACCAAATTAGAATGAAGATCCACCCAACCGCGTTTTAGTATTCGGTGTAAACAAACTCTTGAGAGGGCGCATAGAAATAGCGTGCATTACTCCCTTGCTTATTTCTCAGGCATTTTTTACAGTCCCAAAATGTCTTCGCTGCTTTTATTAAACGTTTTCCATGGTCATGTTGATTTGTTTTGTAAGCAGTTTAAATCGTCGCAGCACAGACTCAGTTGTTGTGCAAAGTAGATTCTACCCGCCCTACAATTTCTCCTTTGAGTTACAGCGGATTTGATAGATTCGTTTTTGTACTCATTATGATACTCACCGTGACCACTAAAGTCTATCGTGCAGGAAAGCAAGATCGGCTGGTTTAGAAGAGAGGGGCTTTGTTCACATAAAGAGGAGGACATTAGCCTGTTGTTTAAAGAAATGTAAGGTCACTATAGCCTGCGCGCAGACTCAACTGGTTTTCCCAGAGATGAATCTAGTTGATTGGAAATTAGTTGATTGGAAATTTAGTTGATTGGAAAATTCAGTGTTTTTCTCCCAGTTGAAAAAACCTTTTCTCCCCCGTCAGCTGTCTACTGGGACGAGGGGCGATTCACTCTTGCAAATAGTGTACGAGATTTTGCCTAAAACAAAAGGATTTTTAGGTAAAACAATATGATTTTCACAAAAGGTGTACGAGATTTTTATAGAGTGATTTGCCCCTCGTACTGGGAGACAAACCCTAAACTTTCCATTCAATTAGATTCATCTCTGGGAAACCAGTCGAGTCTGCGCGCAGGCTAAAGTCACTGGGGCTAGAGGGGCAATTGCCCCCTAGTTAGTATGTTAAAAACAGCCCCGTCATAATGTCAAGTTTCTATTTCAAGAGGGTTTTGTTTGACGGGGGGTTTATAGAAGCGGCCTAAATAGGAGGTAGAAATTTTAACGTAGATTTGATCTGTTTTTGGGAAAGGCTTTTAGTTCTGTGCTTTTAGTCTGCTAGCTAAACCTCTCTCTCTTATTAACTGATTAACTGATGAGTTCACTTATTATGCACACTAGCTGCTTGAAGCAAGACTGCAAAACGTTGGCCGGGTACCAGGGCCTCAAAGGGAAATTGCGAAGGCATGCTCTTCCCTGTCTTTCCCGCTCTCCTTCGTAATTTTCGCAGTGCATTCTTTTTTTATATGAAACAGTAAATCTAAGTTCATACTGATTAGTGAGTAAGACAACCACATTTGCCTACAAGTTTGGAAATTCACTGAAAAAAGCACCCACACATGGCTAAAAATTCTCGTTTTGTGACGAATTGTTCCTTAAAATCATACTTTACAGTAGCTCAGCCTCAACTTGTTCTTAATTTGTTCTTAACTTTTGACCAATTTTGAGGCTCGTGTCCTGATAAAATTGTTCTTATAAAAATAGTGTAAAGTTTATTCTGAAAATTGAACTCGTCAGCCACAAAACGCAGTAAAATACACAGATAGGACATTGCAATTGTGTCTGTAGTTGCATTATATAACAAAATGAATTTGCAATTTCGAAAACCAGTGCCACGAAACTAAGAGAAAAACGAAGCCAAGACAACAAGCCATCCTGTTTCGGTCTTTCTTCTCCTTCTTTATACGAAAAGTTTTTTCTGATACGATTGTTATTTACACACCTATTATGAGTATGGCAAAAAATTTTATAAGAGTATTGAGGCGCGAAAATTGGTGAAATCTAAGAGTTAATAAAGAATAATACTCCATCCACAGTCCTGTTCAACCTTTATTCATCTGAGTTTTTCGAGTCAACAAGGCAGAGACAGGCCTTACTTTCATGTTAAAAGTTTGCGGTACACACGTCAAGCCTATATTGTGCTAGTTAGTATGATTTCAATCCTAAAATCGTTTATAATGATGAAAGCAGTGCGCGCAGACTCGACTGGTTTTCCGACAGACGAGTTTAGTTGAAACTAAATGTACCTGAAACTAAATTGATTTGAATGGAAAGATTTAGGATTTGTCTCTAATGGGACAGCGGGGAGCTGCCACGTTGCCCTCGCAAAATTAAGCAATCTCTTTACACTCTTTTTTGAAAATAGTGGCGGATTGAAGGAGGGGGGGCAACTGGGGGGGGGCAGTTGCCCCTACCTTGACGAGTTGAAGCAAGTATGGCGCCCCTTTTTTGGAAATTGTGCGCCCCTTTTGAAGAATGAGAATCAGGTGAAAAAGTTTCTGAGACCGATAGGTTAATTTGCTTCAAGGATTACTTCAAAGTTATGTTGTTTATTACGAAAATGGATCTGAAATTGTTGTATACTGTCGTCAATTTTTGAAAATTTTTCAGCGCCCCCACTACAAACTGCCCCTCCTTCAAGTTTGCTCTGGACTCGCCCCTGTTTGAGAATATTGTTTATAAAAATATTCAGGCTCAGAAAATGTTTATAAAATATTTTGAGAATGTTGCTCAGTCTCAGCTCGCATATTTCTGTCTCATTGACAGCCGTTTCCTATTTTGCAATTTTGCAATGTTCATAAAAGAGCATCGCAGAACTGACACATCACGTTTTTATTCAAGAGCGTGGTTTTTATTCAAGAGCGAGCAAAGTTCTGCTAAAACCATATCATATTTTAAAACTAGAATACTTCAGGCTCAAAAAGAAAATTTTCTTAAGAATATCGTGGCTCTGAAAAATCTTTCAATTATTCCTATTAAAAAAAGAGTTTATTTTGCTATTGTTTTGCCGTTTTTCTTGGCGTTTTGCCGTTACAAATCTCCTTTACGAAGATCGCCATTTCCTCGGGTTTAAAGGTCTGGCAATCATTTCAAAATGTGCATTTTGGTTTGCAAGTTCCTGGTTCATGATTGACGTTTAAGCTAGACTTCCCGGCGATACCTTTGTCAATTCGTGAGAAGTGTCCTTCAATTCGGTCAATATTTAACAGAAAGGAACAAAATTTATTTGGATCCACTGCGAAACCAAATTAAGAAAGTTTGCAAAGCTGTAAACCAGATAAAGTTTATTATATTGACAGTGTCAATCCAAAAATTTAGTTTACAATCGAAGAAGTTATAGAGGTTTGAAGGTGAGAAAATTGTTTCGCGTTTGCGCAGATTGGGGCAAAACTCGAGCGCGGTCAACGATTAACGGCATCGCTGCGATAACGGATATTGACAAAAAAAATTTCGGTTGAACGAATGTTGGAGAAAATGGCGCACATAGGCGGATATCGGACCCCCTATAATGAAACCATGAGAAACTTTCTCGGAAAATTTATATGGAGTTTTAGATAAGATTCGCAAAAGTTACTTCATAAATATTTTACACTTTTTTTATAAGAACAATTTTATAAGAACACGAGCCTCAAATTGGTCAAAATTAAGAACAAGCTGAGGCTGAGCTAGTGTAAAATGCAATTTTGAACAACGTTTCATCTCAAAAACCAGGATTTTTAGCCATGTGAGGGTATTTTTTCGGTGAATATCCACAATTTGTCGGCAAATAAAGGTTGTCTCACTCACTTTATTGGAAAATGAGGCCTGAACACCTCCCTAGAGCGAAAAAGCTAGCAATCGCACTGCTTACACCCTATTAATTTAAGAACAAATTAAGAATAGTCCAGCCTTAGATTTTCAAAAAAACTAAGAACAGTCAGCCTGTATGTAATTTACTGGTTTTTATACAATAAAGAGTTTATCTAAAGAAGTAGAAAGAAAAAGGGGCGCTTCAGATTGAATTGTTCTGGATTTTAAGTTATTAGGGTGCTGGTTAAAGAAATCTAAACACGGGAAGAACTTTTATTGGAAAATAACATTAGATGTGTAAAATGCAAGAATTATTTTCAATAACATTAGCAAAAGTTATTTCTATAACATAAGAGAAATATCCTTGATTAAAAATGTTCTTACAGATGTTTTTTCTGGCCATTACAAAGCGTTTGTACACAACAGTGCACAAAATCATGTTTTACAGTACCTAACCCTCAACTTTTTTTAACTTGTTCTTATTTTTTGGAACTTTTTGAAACTCGTGTTGTCTTTATAAATCGATTGTAGATGAGAATATATAACTAGGAATTATCATTTTTTTGAGGGTACATCATATTGAAATCAAATTGTAAATAATTTATCATATTTTCGTTGTTTTTACGCATCATTGTAAAAAATTAATCATTTTTGTGCATCATTGTTTCCCAATGCCCACATAGCAGGTTCTGCATCCATTTTGTTTATGAGCATTTCATGTCAGATATTCCTGTCAAACTCCAGAATAGAAATGGTTAATTATTCATGTTTGAGTAAAGCACTGTAATGAAGTCAAAAAAAAGTTTATCGTATTGGGCTGAATTCAAAATATTCGATTTTTGTAACTTTTCTGATTGCGTCCCGATAATTTTATGTTGAAGATAGAAATTGCTTAAAGAAAATGTTTCTTTTTCTTGAACACAAAAAATTTTTCTTTCCAGCCAAATTTCATAAATATGACAGAGAATCTTTCTACCCAAAATTAATCCACTGTACTTTTTAGCACTGGAATTTTTTGTACTCAATGTATTCAATTCAACTCAACTTTTTTCGTATCACGCAACCTAAATTCCCCGAAGCAATCCAATAACAGTAGAGCCTAAAGGTCTGTTAGGCCGTTATGATAAGAATTATTTAACACAAAAAATGTATTGATTTGAAATATGTGCAATTTAAATAGCAATTCTAATTATACAGGACCATGAAAGAAGGTTTTGATTTAATTTTATGATGATGATCATGATGATGATTATGACAATAACGCAGCCTCGCAACATGTCTTCCTCTAGAGACCTGTAGGCAATTCGAAATTGCTTGACGTAATCGCTTTTTGAAGGTTTCTTTCTTAGCAGGTGGTTCCCGATTTTGAAGATGTTTGTGGGGAATTTCAGCTTGAATGGAATTAATTTTTCAAAGTTCAATCACGGAAAGCTGTTGTAATTTACCGGCGCGTAGCCCCGTGCGAAGAGTAACGAGGCTCCCCTTGCCAAACTGATCTTGTTTCATTTTCATTTTCTACACAAGATTTTTCGAGATTTTCCAAGTTCATTTTCCGTGTTTTGTCAAGTTCAGTGAGGGGGTAATTGCCCTCCAGCCCCCGTTATTTTTCCTCCAGTGGTGGTATGCTAAGGTCGTGCGTTATGCATTATGCAAAGAAAACCAGCCCCCTTCAATCAAAGTATGAATGCTAAGTCCTTGATGAAGAAATCTTATGAAGATCAAATTTCATTTTCGCGTAAGGAAAGTTCAAACAGTAAACAGAAATTCGATACATTAATCTGAATTTCAAGGATTGCTTATCTGTGTAGGGAGGGATGATTTAAACTTGACTGCAAATTATCCTCAACAAGTCTAGCTTTTGTCTCGGTGAACCAAACATGCCCTAACATGATTTTTAAAGAATGCAATTTTCTATCCTCTGATAATCCATCTGGATACTAAACTTTGTACAGACTATTGGGTCAAAGCTACCGTTCACTTTTGTCAGTGTATATTGCCAGTTTATTTGTTTTGGGTGCTATGCTTTCATTTAAAGCTATATTCTGCAAAGATTCACTAATCGTCAACCTGTATCAGGTGTGATAGCACATGCAGTTATGGCTGTCTCTTGCTGGAAAATTAAAATCTAAAGCTAAGGAGGGCATGGGCATAAGCATAGAAGACATAGGGGCAGGGAGGGCGGGTGAACCCCCTGCCCCCAATCAAGTGCAATTGATCGCATTCCTTTCAGACTCTCCATCCCTCGAGTGAGCTTCGAGTAAAAAATGCAAAAATCAGACTCTTTAATGTTCAAAAAGTATTTTGACAGTATCCCGTTTGTTGCTTCTTATAAATTATCAAGTAAATGGGGGGCACCTTTTCAAGGAAAGTAGATGGCCAGTTTTCGCTGTCTTAGAAAATGGGTGTGGTCAAGCTGCCATCGGGTTGCATTATTGTCTATAGATGGCATGGCTTACACGCATTATTTTGGTCCTAGATTTGTAAGTTGTTTTCAGGTCGGGATTTGATTTTACTGTTTTATCATATGACTGCGATAGATCAAACCAAAGTAGCTCTGCAGGGCATTGTGGTCATTTTCGACGCGTTGTGTTACCGTCTACAACGGTTGGTGTTGACTAGGCCAAATATCATCGAGTCGCTGATATTTTGATTGAATAAAAGGCAAACATAGCTTCTTTTTGTTGCATTTGTTGCTGGTAATATCGATAATTCAATTTCAGTGGAATGCTGTTTGGGATAAGCCAAGCATCAATATATGTGGTTTCTTTTGTCAATTTCTGAGAAATTGTTGGCTTAATTTCGGGCAATGACGTCAACTGGTTTGCGTGGGCGGAACTCACTTCATTTCTCGTTTTTATTGTCGGCTGCCGACGAAATCTTCAGAAACCCCTCGGCCTCTGCCGATTACTTTCCGTTAAACGAGATTGGCGGTCGCTTTGAAAACTTCGTTGAAAAGGACTTCCTTCCTTATCCTTGAATAGTGAAATTTGGAATACATTCCTTTTCTTTTATATGAATACTATTTATAAGAATATTTAGGCTCAGAATCATCTAATTACTTAGAATATTGTAAGAACATTGCTTAGTCTCAGGTCGCATATCTGTGTCACATTTTCAGCAGTTGCCTTGCCTGTTCTGCAATGTTCGTAAAAGGGAATCGCTGAAATGACATATCTCGCTTTTACAAAAAGTGTTGTTATTATTCAAGAGCGGACGATCTTCTCCCAAAACCATATACATAAGATTTGAAAAGATAGGTATGTTTTAAGAATTTATTCAAGCTCAAAACGAAAGTTTCTTAGGAATATCAAGGGGGCTATAGCCCCTCAATCATTTCCATTATGTGCTTAAAACCATGCTCTCAATTTTCAGCATGTTTAGCCCCCCAAAACGTTTTAGCCCCTCGATCCGTAATATGCCCCGCGGTCATTGTAATCGAGAGGAGGGGACTGTGCCTCCTAGCCGCTACCCTGTAGTAGCTGAGCCCCCTTAATCTTGCTTTTAGGACATCGTTAATGATTTTTCAGGAGAAGGAAGTTATTGATTTGTAGACACTGTCTACGTTTAAATGTATGCTTTACATTTTAAAATAATGTCATCGCGTTGTAAACGGAAATCCTGCTTGTCAAATATAAAACAGGCAATAAATGTCAAAATCTCAATTGACAAAAACCTGGTACATTACTCTTTTCCTAAAATACAAATTGAATAAAAAATTTTTAACAGTGCTGTAGGGAATTGGAACGAGTTCGAACGTAAATTTTCCCTCTTCGTATCTATATTTTGTTTATGCTAACATTTTAGTGTTCTCTTCCTTTCTGTCTAAACTTCCTTTTGGAATTTTTCTCCGAAAAAATTTAGTGCTGTGATTTATGGCCTTTACACAGAGCACAATTTACCCAAAGCGCTCAAAAGTTTCCTTTTACGTATATGGGATGGTAAATACGGTTTTATGTTTTATGAATTTTTGTTTATCAAAATATTTAAAAAATAAATATCATATCAATTTGTATTTTGAGTGCCATTAGATTTCATTGTAACTTTTGTAACTAGTTAATTAAAATATTAACTAGTTAAATCTTATGTCACTCGATTTCCGTTTCTTATTTAATTCTCGTTGTATGGTGTTGACCCTCGTAATTTTGCGTTTCTCGTAATTCAACTTTCTAGCAAAGGGCCTTTCGTTTTTTAGTGAATGATCGTACTTTAACAGGGGATTTTCCTTTCCAAAGAGATATACTTCGTTAACTGTTTTGTTGGAGAAACATTAAAGCGAAACAAGTAATTTCCGAATGAATGGTGTTCTCCGGAAATCCCCTGGCCGAAGCGGCGACAAATTCTTCGGCGAAGAGTGAGGTCATTGGCCGACGGAAAGAAATATTATGCAAATTAGGAAACGTTACTATTCTCGGTGCACCGAAAACTTCACTCACTTTAACTTGGCAAGTTGCAGAGAGAGGACGTCAACGAAAATTGTCGAAAGCAATCAGCAGAAAAGAGTTTAAAAGCGATTTGATCGTCTTGAAGAATCCAAAAAGTCGCAAAGTCAATTGCAGCAAGATATTTCTCAAGGTTTGTTCGTTATTATTTTAATGTACGCTTTTGTCGTTTTGTAGCGAAAGTTGTCTTCAACCTTGCAGTGCAGGCTTCTATTGTCTTTTTGCTTGCAGTTTATGATGAAGCTGTTAGGACTTCTTTGAAATAAATGCTGAAAATTCCATGTTTATCTCTTTTTGAAGATGTTTTAGTTTTTATCTTGAGCTTTCAAGATTGAGAAAACCGCCAGGCAAAATTCGAAACGTTTCTCACAAACCGCATGCTCGCACGCGCCTAGTTGTCGACGTAGCCCAACCCTGTTCCTACAAGATCGTTATAATTTTATTAAACCTGCCATGATTTCGTCAATGCTCAGGGATTTTTTATCTTGTTCGTAGACCAAATGTTCTTCCTGAGCGCACTTTTGGGAGGGGCGTTTTTCAGCAAAATAATTTCGCAGCAGCCGCCCGAACATTCAGTCCTTTACATGTCTAAACAATAAACATAGAAAATTTGTTTATAAATATCGTTAAGCAATATCATGCGATTCATTTCAGTGATTTAAATGCTACCGTGTTAGAAAGAATCGTGAAGTTTCAACTTAGACACCTCATTGCGTCGCGCACTTGCCGCGCTACCCGCCCGACAACATCTACCGATAATGGTTTCTCCGTTATACCTGTTTTAGATCAAAGTATAAAACACGATGAATATCTGTTGTTAGGGTTGTAAAAAGGCAATATCTTCGGACACTTTATTTTAGGTTTCTTGATTTTATTTGGCGTTAGGTTATCTAGTTAACATCTGCAAAAACTACGACAACTCGACTAGTAAGGTCGTGTCAAAATTGGAGACGCGAAATCTAACAAGTAAAAGCGTTTGAAGGCAGCGAGTGGAATTCGAGTTTATTATTCCCCCTCCTTTTAATTTTTAAGTTAGCTCGATCTTAAAAAGTTGAAAAATGTTCAGCATCGCGTGTTTATTTAGCTACGTGCTAACTGGCAGAACTCGCTGTACGTGCAATTTCCCTCTGCATTGTCAGGCTCGGATTCTTTGCGCGAAGGCTCTGAGGCACGTGAGGCATCACCCGCTGGGTTTCGAAACTCCCACATAAAAGAATAAAATTTGCATAATAAAAGAGGGAATCCATCTTGGTCAACAGAACTGCTGGTGCGTTAAATAAGTGGAATCGCCTATTTGTCTTGACAAAAGATTTAAGTAATTCAAGTAAAGAGCCCATTGTTATGTACTGACGTCAGTCACCCTGTTTTATGTTTGCTGTATTTGAGTCCTTTGTTTGCTAAGAATTAGTGCATTATGCAGTGGGTTTTTACATCAATTTCAAACTGTGGAAACAGTGGCAAAGCAGCATTGTTTCTCACAAAACATTTCCATTACCATCCATTATTTGCTGGAGTCATCTTTTCAAAACTGTTTGTTTTTAACTTTGTACACATCTGTTTGAACTATAAAGATTAAAAAATTAATACCAAAATAAAGGTTTTACATTAACAATTCTGTGAAGTGTTTCCACATCCTTAACATCTTTCTTCGTCACAATTCTCAGCATAACATTCTAACTATAATGTTTGGATATGTTTCATCATTTATTTTACTTTGCAGATGGAAATGTACAAGACTGTAAAATACACAGGCAGTGATTATCAAGTTGTTCCTGATGATGGTTACAATTCTCCAGATTACCCATACTACATGATGGACTCAGTGTCAAGCCCAGCTGGCAGCACCACATCAAGCTCAGTGGATTCTGCGTTTGATGAACTTGCAGAAGGTGAGATTAAGATAGAAGACGTCCTACAAAGTTCATGTATCATTTTGAAAAATTTTAATTATGAGTGAATAAAGCAAACAGATAACTTTCTTCAGAAACTGTCAATTATTTTTAATAATTTTAATCTATTTGCATTGGGAGATGTATCTTTGAAGACAGTAAAAATCATGAATAATTATATATTTATATATACTGTTACAGTTATCTTTCTTTGTAATTGTGCAGTATTTTGAACTGTTACAATTCATCCAAAGTTTTCCATTTTATCAGATTCAAAATTGTTTAATATACTTGTAAAAGAAATTTCCTATTTTTTGGCATCATCCATTTTAACTATTTTTGTTTCTATTTCCAGTTATTCCTGAACTGAATGACTCAGATAAGTTTTTTGCCAAGAGCCCAAAGGCATGTGAGGACATTTCTGTCCTGAGTAAGTATTTGTCACTTTTATTTGAATCTCACCCCATTTTAGTTTTTTTATGGGGAAAAAATCCTGAAGCTTCATTTGATATCTGGATTTTGCTACTTTCTTTCTGATTAGTAGTTTTGAAATCTGTGTGTATTTATTTTAGATTCATATAAATCTCCAGAACCCTTGAGTCCTGACAGATTTGGGTATCAGCTTTCAGGTATATATAGTTTTATCCTCTATTTCTGTAATCAGTTTTAGTTTATCTAATATTATTCTTGTTCATGACATTCATACATCTACCTGATGAAATTTCTCTTTGCATTTTATATATATATATATATATATAAACTAAATTTTGCTTTTGTTAATTATTTAAATTCATTTTCATATCTGAATTGTAACTTTGTCACAGCAATTTTTTAATGATATCCTGTTTCAATGTTTAAATTGACTTTTCCTGCCACATGTTTTGACATTATTCTTGTATTTTTAGAAAATGGACTTCGAAACAGCCCTAACATGTATGAAGCAGCATCCCCAGCAATGTCCAGTTCTGATTATGGTGAAGCCATGTCTCCATCAAATGATCTTATGAAGGCAGTAAAACAGGCATCAACAAAGAGACAGCTTTCGCCTTATGAAGGAAGCACTGTTGATCTGACCTATATCTCTTCCAAAGCAGATCAACCACCAAAAAAGAGAAAGATGACAGATTCTGAAGCCATTGCTAGATATACAGAGGTGCTTTTGTCTTTAGATGCCCAGAAGAAGGACAAAACAAGGCAGAAAATGTTCTTTTATTCAGATAATGAAGACAGTGGTATTGGAATGCCTTCGTTTGACACAAATGCATCCAGTGCTGACAAAGTCAATGATGTTACCCAGGAAGGAACTGAACATCAGCCCTTGCTGAACCTTGATGATGACATTTTGGCAAATAACTTTGCTGTTTTAGCAGAGTATTTGAATTGTGATATCAAGCCAATGAACAACAATAAGACTTCTGCATTAGAAGATAGCTATGTTGTTATTAAAAGAGAAAATGATGTCAAACCAGTGGTTATGCAACCACTCAAAGTTGTGCCGCAATCTAAGACACCAAAAGCTATTGGCCAAAAAGTATCAAGTGGTGTCAAAATTGAGTCACAGGTTGTTTCAATCACCCAGGCTCCAGTTGTGAATTCTTCTCAAGCTTCCACACTGAAGAGTAGCTCAAATGCAACAGCAATGTCTCCAGCTTCTGTGGTTACATGGTGCAAGGGTTCTGTTCCCAAGGCTGATGGAGTAATCTTTTTTCAAGTGCCAAACAACCCTCCTCAGGTTTCTACAAGTGCTAGCCAGGATTCAAAGATGCCCGAGCCAGTCACTGAGACTACCAAATCAAGCACTGTCAATGTTCAAGATTGGATGACAAAACCCCGGTCCCGAAGAAGTAGCCTAATGGCACGAAGCAACAAACCAAGGTTGTACCACTTCTTATTGGAGTTGCTACATGACCCTTGCTATAAATGCATTGAATGGGTCGATGAAATGAAAGGAATCTTCAAGTTCATTGACTCAGGTGAAGTGGCACGCTTTTGGGGTCAGCGCAAAAACAAGCCAAATATGAAGTATGAAAACTTTGCTCGATCACTTCGCACCTACATTGCAAAAGGCATTCTTACAAAGCCTCGGAACAAACTGGTGTACCAGTTTACACCTGACTACTTGTAAAAGCCCATTGCTGGGAACATTAGAATGCACTTGATTTGCATTCAATTTACTGTACACCCGTATTGTTATGGGTGTACAAAATGTTGTTTTCATCAACCCATCAAGTGTCTTAGACGTATGTCTGAGTAAAAAGTATTTACTATGTAAAGTTATTATTAATTGCATGAAGAGGTATTTGGAGCTGCCAATTATACTATTGATACCCAACATGTTACTTTTGTCATTAACTTGTTTCATTTAGTGAAATGGATACCTGGCATGTGAATTAAATTCATCAATTTCCCAAGAACACAAATATCTCTTCATTGCAATTAATCTCTTAAGTCGTTGTAGACTTTATATTTATTGTATTTTGAAGCAGTTTCACTATACTCTAAAAAATTTAAAACTTTTTGAAGGATTGCTATTTGATTGACAAAAATTTCCATTTTTAACCTGTTGCAAATGACTTGTCCTTTTCAAGATTTCATTGATAAAAGTTTGTGTAAACTGTTTTGAAATGCAATTTTTGTACATAATGTAAATAAGCTAGTTTTTGTGAGCATCGTTCAATGTCAGAATTAGTCATTGATATCAAGGAACAGACTAAATTAACCCAACCCAATTGTATGTGAGAGTCACTGAAAAAGAAAGAATATTAACTTGCTTATGCTTGAGCCTAGCTGATATGCATCAATTTTATTGGAAATCCTCAGGTTCAGATAAAACCTATCGTATTGGCTTGACTGCCCATCATAGATAACTTTGGTGTAAAGATATGGAAAGTTTTTGACCCATTTTTCACTAAGGTTTTTGCATCCCAATAATGTTGATTTTGGTGTAATGTTATGTAATTTTTTCCAAATTTATTGTCGGTAGGTGTCAGGAAACTTTGTATTGTTAGTCTGAGCAAGCCAGTGTATAAGGTGTATAAACGTTCATGTAAATTTGTGAAGAAAACTTACAGTATGCTGATTATTAGGCTGACAATTACTGGATCATTGAGATTTTTGTTCATGTCTGCCTAGTACTATATAAAGGTCATTATAGTAGATAAATGTATTATAAGACAAGCCCTGTATATTAAACTTGTAGTGATAAAAATAGGCTTGTTTGGAGTTGCAAGTAATTATATTATCATGACTTGCCTGATTAACATTGTTTGCAGTAGATTTTTGATTGAACGTAAATCTTTGATGTTTATTAGATATATTACCATTTATCATTTACTGTATATCGTAATTAAAAGTGCTTGCTGGTAATTTTAATATGCAAATAAACGTGTTGTCATTTTATCTAATTCCGTGCTGCAAAATATAATGCTTACTTGCTCTATACGTATTCAAGTGTTAACTTCAAATGTATTCGTAGATTGTAAAGGTTGTAATTATGAAAGACTTAAAGCTGTTAATTGATATTCATAGCCTAGTTAATTATGTTGCTTGTTGATTTAATTATTACTTGTTGAATTTGCAGATTTTCTGAATGGTTTTTCCTGCTGTGTCAATTTATGGGATTTTTACATAGGCACGATGAGATGATTTGTTGTGTGCTGGCTAGAAATCTTTGCATTTGTTAAATTTAATAATAATGATATTGGTATGAAATATTTTAAGTGGATGCTCTCTAATAATTTATCTAAAAAGAGAACATATTTCCAAGTATACTAAGGTGTGGGTTTATTCACATCTAGTAGAAAAGCGTCATATAAAGTAACGAAGGGGAGAGTTTAAAAGTATTACGTCACAACTATCGTTTTTTGAGAATTATTAATTCTATAGGCCCTGTGTTTGGCGTCAGAAAAATAGATATATTTGTAAAGCCTATACCTAAACGGTAAGTAGTCGCCTCATTAGTGGTAGCATTTTATTGGTAGGTGGTGGCAAAAGCCTCGACCTCGTTTGTTTACGTTACATCAACATGGCTGAGTTGCACAGTGAAATCTCTTTCTGTAATAAAGAGTTTCGTCAAACAAAAAAACAGAACCTTGTGCGGTCCGTGTTCTGTAGCTATCGTAGGTAATGCGTTAGGCCTAGGCACCAGAATATTGTTAGGTCGTTCAGCGAACCTTGATGAAAACAATATCATTAATCATGAACGTGTAAGGCATTTTGCGGTTCAAATAAAACTGTTGCAATATGGTGCAACTTTGCAGCAGATGGCCTATTTAGTGGCCAGGTTGGGAATTGATGTGTCAGCATATCATGTTGGTGAAGCAACCATAAATTCAAAGGTTGAAGATGGACAATTTGAATATTCTGATCACGTCTTGCGTTGTCAAAATGTTGCCGAGTTTAATGATATAGTTAAAGATGCTGCCGCTAAGAAATCATTCATAATACTGAATTACCAAATGGGTGCATTAGGGTATGTAGATTGTGGTGGACACTTCAGTCCTGTTGGAGCATATTCAGATCACAACAAAAGGTTATTGGTCTTAGACACCTGGCCAGAAACTCCACCTGCATGGGTCAAGTCATGTGATCTATTCAAGGCCATGTCAACCATTGATCCCATGTCTAAGAAGCTTAGAGGTTTTCTTATCTTGAAGGAGGAAATGGGTGGATAGTTGCAGTGATGACCGCAGTCCAACCTCATGCTATTATGGTCGAGTATTTATCAGGATCACTGTAAAGAAATTGGGGGGAATGGAGAAGCATGTCTTGTCATTACCACGAGCTATTTTCAAGCTAATCCGTCAGTGTATTAGCTATGGTTATAGTATAAGCAACCGAGACAAAGAGTGGTACCAAAGCCATAATTTTTAAAGAAGAAAAATTGTCAACCACTATTGTTAAACAGCTGTTTTAATTATATTATATAATCATGTCTGAACGTGTCAAATCTGTGGTTTCTTCTAAAGTGTGACAATTGGTGTCTTGTAAACAGTTACATTGTTTGTAGCGGCTAGGAACGGTAATACAGCGGCTAGGAACGTCAGATGGGCGGTACGACAGCATAAAAATGTTCCATTGAAAAAATAGATAGTCGGAAATTAAACACAGTCTAGAAATCACACAAGGTCTTTAGGGCAAGGGTGGGAGCGAAACTGGGAAATTCAGGCGAAGAATAATAAATGAATTTTGCAAAAAGGAAAAACATTAACGATTCGCTATTTTGCTAGTCGCTTATAAGCTTTTTCTTCATCCGATTTTCTAATGTTGTCTAATTTTCGTATATTCACAGTTATAATTGATTTCCAATTGGTAGAATAGAACTTCTTCTTGATTGTGAATGCGTTTCTAATTCAAGTAAAACCACGCTTAATACAAACAATTTGCAGCCCAATCAGGTTAAAATCAATAAAAAATAGTGAGTGGTTTATTAAACTTTGCATATCATTAACAATTTGTTTATCCAGCATAGGTCAAATTGAGGAGCGGTTTGAGCAATAGATATCATTTCTTAACCTTATGCCAAACTGAAAGAAAGACATGCATACAATGATTGTGATAAATGAGGATGTCAACAAACGGATGATCATAAATGGCTTGAAAAACGAATGAAAAAAACAAATATTCCCAACATACTTCTTAATAGGTAGATCGATTCGTTTACAAACGAAAAAGCTCAATTGATAGTCACAAGGAGTTAGTTTTCTGTCATAGACTCGTGGTAGTTTTTCTATAGGCACGCATCATTTATTGGACAACTATGTCAGTCATGTGCTTGCGTTTTTCTGATTGGCCTATTTCTAGCCTGCGTGCAGACTCAACTGTGGGAAAAGAATCGGCTTTACTAGTTCACATAGGAAATTTTCGAGTCTACACACAGGCTATCTATTTTGATCCACAACTGGGCATTTAGTGAGCAAAAGTAGTGGTACAGGCTGAAAAAGAAATATCACCGTAGCAAAAATTCTAAGCGAACCAGAATTCAAGTGGCCATAGCAAGTTTCATGAAAGTTATAAGATGACTTTTTAACTGGGATATGTTGGAATATTCTTGATTTTTGCCTATTTCTAAACAATATCGACCTTTGCAAAAGCACAAAAACTGAGCCATGATGATTGAAGTTCCGGTGAAACATGTGATATCAAAAAGCTTATCTTTGCAGCATTTACTGGAAAACCCAGATTGTGCAAGAAACTATAATGGCGACATGTTTCGGATTATTAACAAAGCCCGGTCGTCGTTCCATCTAGCAATTTTGGAATCTATCTACATAAGCACGAAAAAACTGCAACTTGGTAGACAAAAGGAGTTCGTTTTCACCTTAGGACTCCATTGGTAACATTCTCAATAGGCAAGCGGCACTGATTGGTCAACCCCAACAGTAATGTGCTCGCGCTTCGGTTGGCCTATTTCTATCCACAACTGGGTATATATCTACTTCCTAGCGTAGAGTTTTTTGATCTATGTTCTGACGTTTTAAAGTCTGAAGAGTGTCAGATGAAAAGCTTTAGTTTACTAAATGTTTGCTTTTTCAGAGCCATTTTCAAGTTTTGTACCACCAAAAGATTGTTTGAATAATACAATGATACGATTTCATTTGGATCAGTTTCAAACGAAATAAATACTCCCCAACTTAACAAATATTTGAACAAAGATCTCAGAATTCTCATCGTTCAACTGTACTTGTGATTTTTGCAAGGAATACGTACGCTAACATAAATTAGCGTTGGTAATTTAAATTAGTTGGCTTTATTTAGATTCAACATAGCTACAGATTATACCAAATTTAAATAAAGAAGGGGAAACAGTATGTTTAGAGGAGTTATATCCAAAAATCATTTCAAACCATGTAGATAGTCATCAGAACAAATTTTTGTATTTATGTAAGGTAGGATTGGGTCCAGCCTCCCTTGATAGCTGAAGTTGGGTGAACGAAACTTCGAGAATGAAGTTTGACTGTAGTCCTGATTCAAATGTATTTTTAATCACTGATGAGTGTTGCCCCCATTCCTGAGAGCTATAACGCTACAACGAAAAACTTCCCTGGGGGCTACGCTCCCAGATCACCAACCCTATCTCCCTTAACAGCGCCTTCACCTACAACCAGGCTTCGTCTTTGGCTAAAACGACGTTTCCCGATCTGTTTCAGCAGCAAGATTTAATACCCCCAATGTGCCCTTTCTGCAGTTCCTGCCCCCGCCGCATCACGATGCATCCGGCGTCTCTGAGTGCAATAACAAAAACCCGGGAGGAAAAAACCAAAAAGTGACCTTTTGCAAAAAAGGAGTTTGCACTAGCCTCTGCGGAACCAGCCTCTCTCTTGTATTTTCCAGCAGTAAACATTTGGCGGCAATGGCCTAAGAAGAAAGTTCCAGGGAACAGATCATTTCTATGGGACAGATCAACAGAATTTAACAAGAATACAAAGATGATCTTCATCGACCTTTGATAGTTATGTATGATGCATTTTTTAACTTTTCAAAGTCAATAAGTGGTCCAAGCTAATGTTTGTTTACAGGTCGGATCAAAACTTGAAACAAAAAGTTTGCTGGTAAATTAGTTAGTTTGTATTTCAAATGCACAGTAGGTTATTTTTATGTGCTGTGATATACAGGTCTTTTTTATAAGAAGCCTAGAACTAGAGCCCAAGCTAGGTTTCTTATAAAAAACGTGTTTGTCTAAAGTGGAAGAACAAATGTAACACAAGAAAGTCTAATGCAAGTCTAAAAGGGAGAGACAATAATAAGAAAGAACTCAAAAGAATTTTGTTAGAGTTCAGAAAACCTTTGTTTGAGAACACATGATAGTGTTAATTGTGTATTTGTTCTTTTAATTTACGAACCAAACTGAAAGCATGTTTTAAAAGTTTGTTTGTAATTCACATGAAATATTATTATACATACATACTGTGTGTCATCTTAAGCTCATTAAAAAATGTTATGTTTAATTTCAATTTCATAGATATTTAATCACAGCCATGTTACTATGAAGTGTTACAAAAAACTAGATGCCAAAAGTAGTGAACCAAATTTACTGCACAGTCTGGTTTTCATTTACAATGGCATAATTTATCCCCATCTCCATTTTCTGAGCATCTTCGTTATCTGCATAATGCTACAAGTGAAACAGTGTATATTTTTAGCTAAACTTAATTTAATTTTTCACTCTATTAACTGTTAAAGTGCAGAGGGTAAATTGTCTTTGAATCATAACCCAAAACAGAATCTTCTATGAAACACTAGTTCTAGTTAAAAATGTGCTAGTGGAGCAAAGATTCCCAGAAATTTTGTAATCAAAAGGACACATTTGATAGTGAGTGCTGGATAGAAAGAATTGACCCTCATTAAAGTTTGAAACATAAAGCTAACTGACTGGCAAAAATTCTGCTAAAATGCTTTCAATGCATAACTGACATTTTACAATACCAATACCTGCTAAAATTCACAATACCAAAGAATCTCTGTGCTTCTTGGAAATAAATTTGCCTTGGTTTAGTATTAAGCTATCGCATATGGTTTAAAAATACTGCTTTTTATTGAAAATTTTTATATCTTCTTATCTTAAGAATCAACAGAAAAAGTGCTTATTTTAGAGCTTTATATGGAAGTGATACCTATGTTTGAAAGCTGTTTGCTTCGTATAAAAAGCTTTCAGTAATCTAAGGCCTCTCTTTTGAGAAGGTGTTTATAAGGATGAAATGCACATTTGGTATTCTCGCTGCTTTGATACTCAAATAACTCAAACACGCAAGAACCCTTCGTAAAATTCGGTATTCTCTTTCTTTGCCTTCTAGATTTACAGATGATGCTGTTTTAGTCTCTTCCACCACTTCTGTTTTAGTCTTTTAGTCTCTTTTTATCTTGTTAGCCTTGCTTCTTCATGAAGGACCGTAATTTCGAGAAAAAAATCCGCTACACAAGGTTGAATATTATAAAGGTAATCTTCCCTATTAGTTTACGATCTGGCTATTGATGTTGATACTTTCTCTGGCTTTCTAAAAGAATTTTAGGCACAAAATTATTTTTTTCATCAAAATGATCGGGGAATGAAATGCTTCAGCCCTCTAGCCTCCACGGAAATTGCGGTTCTGTCATGTAATTTACTTTAAGTATTTTTCAAGATTTTATTAACACAAGTTCATGTATCCTTTTGTAGAAAAAGTAAAAGAAGTCCCATACCTGGAGTACTAGAGTGCCTGCAACTGATGCGAGAAATGAAAATTAAATGACAGCTATTCCAAATGCACAGGCTGTAATGAAAACAGGTGATAATGCATATTCTGAATTTTGTGTTGTCTTTAGCAAACATTTTCCATTTCATTCAATGCATGGCAAGATTTCAAAATTTTTTCATTTCGTATATATAAGCTCTTGAACCCGATAAAGTCTTTTCAATGGAATACAGGCGAAAAGCTTTACCATAAGTACAGTCAAATGCAGTTTATCCTCTGAATAATTAATACCTATTAACTTGGATACAAGCATCGTCTTGTTAGCACTCATGTCTGGGTATCGAGGCTTGACGATGTCTTCAACTGTTACTGCAGTTAGAGAATTTAGGCCGGATGATGCAGTGCTAAGAGAGAGGAGAGAGAATCCCAGGTATCACGGCTATTTCGGTATCAACAATCACTGCCACAAGTCTCGAGACACATATGTCAGTTTTCAATGGCAAATATATCCAACCATCTCTCCTTCTTTCAACAATATTGGTTTGTTCAACAGGGACCGTGAAAGCTTTAGCCCCCCCTTCCATAATTTCCAAAATGTACTTAAACCATACAAAAAATAGATTTGCTCTTGTTTTTAGCATGTTTAGTCCCTCAAACATTTTATCCCCCACAATCTGTAATATGCTTTGCAATCCTTGTTGCTTAAAAAAAAGGAAAAAGGGAGGAATAAAAAGTACGTTTTTAATGTGACTTACATGAATATTCTGTGGAAGGGGATGGGAGAAGTTTAGTATCGTGACAAAAGCAACATTTTATAAACACACCACGGGCGACTGGGTGCTCCGAAAATTTTGGCAGACATTTCAATTAAAACATTGCGAAGAGGAAAAGAAATGAGAGCTGTACCGAAAACTGTTTCAGGTAAATGTTTTGACACAAAGATTGGTGGGTCCTTTATTGCAAAGAGGCTACAAATTATGTAACTCGTCAGTTTATTATTCTTGAAAATAAAAAGGTCAATATCATTCTTGTTTTCAAGCTTCAAAATTTAATAGGTGTACATAAGAGGTTTGTATCCAAAAGACAAGGCCAAAGAGGTTGATACCAAGTAGCTTTGTGTGGTTTTTTTGAAACGTCACTTTGAAACATCAAAACAGATATTATCATTGTTTGCTTAGTGCCTACTGGCCGCACCTCCCAATGATTCCTTTTAGCCAATATAAGTCAAACAGAATAGAGAACTGTAAAACTAAGGTTTTTTTCAAAGTATCGGATAGTGTATACCGGCCTCAACCCAACTCTGTCAGAAAAACTTCTCATGTATGTAGAATGTTTTTGGTTGATAAATATTGGAGCTAGGTTGAACAAAAGCGACTTCTCGGCAGCAAGCAGCACTTTAAGAATCTCAAATATCGAAGTGAAACTGATATATAACAATCAAGATTTCAAACACAGGCCAATAATTCTGGACACTGATGATATAAATTTTAACGTCTGATTTCCTTTTCAACCACCTTTTGTCCACTACTGCTTGCCATAATCACATTGATTTCTGAACTAGAAGGTGAATTTTAAACCATTAAAAACGCGTCATAGCCCACCTTAGATTCAAAGATCTTTGTTACAAAGAGGGAATTAAACGGCGAAATATTTGGCTAGGAAAGCCATGGGTTATTCGATATACCTTCTCGATACATTGAAACCACTTTCTTGTTGTTCATTTGATGTTTCAAAAACTGGTCCCGTTCGAGTCCTAGACCTATGTTAGTTTGACCAACATCTCATTTTAACAAAGTCTTTCGCTATCTGAGTGTGAAACGCTGTGAATTTACGATATCATGGTAAATCTACCTCGATAGAAAGGATTACGGTACGGTAATCACGGCATGAACTCAAAGCATTAATGATCATAAATTTAGATGCACTTCATTTCAGTCAAATTATTTTACTCATGCTACTAAATTCCTTTTAAGGGGGTGGGTGGGGGTCTTAGATTTCAGCATGTTAGCTTGTATTGCGTGAGTATGATTTGTAGGGTATTTACTTTTTCACACTTTTCAAGGATGACGCTGATAAGAGTCGTTGGTCGACGACTTGTGATGTTGTCAAGTTTGGAATCAATGAGAACGTGCCTCCAACCACAAGTATCCAAAATGTGTTCCATACGATTGAAGCTGCCAAAAAAGATACGATTTCATAAATTCAACTAAGCTGATGCATGGAAGTGCTGTTTTAGAAAGGTATAGTAACAATTCTTCCTAATGTTATTCAAGTGTGTTTTCAGCTTGCCATGGGATTCACTTAAAATGCTTTCATGTCGTTCTTTATAAGGCGGATTCTCCATTTATGTTGGGATTGGTTAACGATGTAGTCCTGGAACCCACCACAGTAGATTTCACCTCATATTATTGTTTGTAGGTGTACTTAGGTGAAATATGTTAGTCAGCTCAACCATACCCGATGGTCTGGACACCACAGCCTCTCAAATGCTGGCCTAGAGAATATTTTTTCCACTCGCAAGCTACATACCTAAAAACATGCCACAATGCAACAAAAACACCAGTGTTGGAGCAGAAACAATCCAACAGAAATACAAATTCATAGCCCCCCCCCTCCCCCGCAAGAAAATTTTACACCTCAAAGGTTACATAAGAAATTTATTTTAGCAGGGACTGGCATGATAATAGAAAACAAAATTATCATAGCTAACCAAATATTATGGTGGATTGAGCAAATCAGTCGCAAACACTTGCTAACAATGTGGTATGGTCACTACCGAGGAATATTACAAACGTAGCTTTTTCATTCTCAGAATCACTGTTCTTGTCAGTTCTGCACATTTTCAATAAGTCTAGGAGCAGTCTTTGGAGCAGAATCGCTTTGATACCATTGAATGCGAGTAGTCCCACCACCATATGTTCACCCATATGTTCTAGCAATAATGGCAGTTCTTTTGACCTTTCCATCAGCACAGATCCACATGGTACCACTGCGCATGCATCCATTCTATATACTTCTCTAATGTCTGCGTATTGACTTGTACTTATCAATAAGCATATGTTGGCGTGCTTCACCGACATTTGTCAAGTTGGATTGTACATACATGACACAAACAAACCTTTGAATTGATTGGACAATATTATCTTATCCTGTCTGCAGAGCTCAACTTACAGAATGTTTCGTTGGCATCTTTCCTTTTCTGTGAAACCTCAATAGATCTTATTTTTCCTTTCCTGTGAAACACAGCTGTGTATTCCAACCCAGTAAATGCGTGATATATTTGGTATTTGAGGAATATTTGACTGCTGCCCCAGTTCTAACCAATTGTGCATTGGCAGATTCATCTCTGACCTAGTTCCGATTGCAATTACCAAGAAGTCTGGACTACTGTGCACACAGCAACATTTGCTGTTCCATGTTTCTTACCAGTACGTGTAAGCATTTCCTCGCCAGCTTCTTCTCTTTTTGTATGAAGGTTTTCCATCTCTGTTCGTTCAACCTTTTATTGCAGCATATTGAGTAGAAGTATCACCACAGTTTGCATGAAGAAATATTTCACTAAGTAACGCAGCAAACTTTTGATTCTCCCAAATAACATGTCAGCAATTAAATCATTGCCTCCTTGAAGCTAATATTTTTCAGTAGCTCTCTCTTCAACTACTTGGACGTTGCTATGAAGGACCCGTGAACTGAAAATGTGTTATGTTCTTTTTTCTTGTTTCTCTCTCTTTCTTTTCGATGGAAGACTGCACCAATTTGTCAAAATGGTTTGGCAAATCTGAATACATAAAGAAGTAAAACAAGACATCAATCACCTAAACGTCAACTTCTGCTAGAAGACATCACCTAAACGTCGGCATCTACATCACACAGTGACCATTGAACTGGTGTCAGAGGGTTGGTCAGCACAATACCCATGTCAATCTTTTTCTGAAGTAAATGATACAGAATACTCCCAAACAAATCTCGAACTTGAGTTACTGCCATTTTCTTCTCGCCAACTTTAACACATCGCTTTATACTTTCGGTTGTAAATGTAAGTAGCTCAAGCTGTGTTATCTCTGCTTAAATCTTTCTGGCTGTGCAAGGAATTAGTTAAAAAAATTTTGTGCATTGTTCTCTTCAACCAACAGAAAACTTGTGTGCATTGCTTTGCAGCATTTTCAGTGCAAAGGTTGTACAGATGCTGGGGTTAAGGTCTAGATGTAAAGGATTCATTGTGTCTTTGATCGTATCTTTCAATAACCCCAAATGCATGTTGTCTTTTTTGATTCAATGCTGTTTCAAGTCAAGAATGACGTCTTCCTTACCATCCATGCTAAGATAATCAAACATCTTTTATATCGACAATGTCCTCAAGAAATGAGACGTTGCCGTGCCGAAATCGAAATTTTGATTGATGCAACTCTTGTTTGCTGACATGCAAAGGTTTTAATTCTCCCGATTTTTGCTGACATGCTGCATCAGCATTGATCATTTGCCCCAAGGTTTTGTCAATGGGGTCGCTTAAAATGGAATTTCCAGTGAGTTTGATGACAAACATTCCTTGTATGAAGTCTTGATACACTACTGGATGGGTTTTCGAAAGACTAAATCTTAATCTTGATCGAAAATTTCGGTTTGAATAACAACAGTAAGAATCAGCAAATATAAAAGATAAGAACCGGCAAAGGATAAATACTAGCTTTAAGTGTTAAAGTAATTCAAAAATAAAGTAAGATAAAATGAAATAAAATAAAAAGAAATGGAAAAGGGTTTATAGTACGTTTTTAGATAGATAACTTGTGAGACAAGAAAGGGTTCTCTGGGGCAAAATTTTGGAGGCTGTGGTACCAGAACCCTCTGGATTAAATAACGATCTATGTAAGTCAATTGTACCAGGAAAATTTATTTAAAATAATTAACGACGTTTCGAGCATACCCTCTGGATTAGTTTGAGTTGACAAACAGATTTTCGCACATGCAACAATGATATGGGGTCAGACCTTCTGTAAAAAATGGGGTGAAATCTTCTGAGTTAGACTCCAGGACTAATGTTATAATGACAGAAATGTTTCAATAATTTATAGAAAAGTTTCAAGGAAATTCCTTCTTTGCGTACAAACTCTAGATTTAATGAAAACCCTAGATTTTACATTCAAATAAATTTATTCTTAAGTAGCTAAAGTCTTCTATGAAACCAGTTGAATCTGCGCACAGATTTTCTTTAGGTATCTTTAAAAGTGCTTCATCCCCATGCATAGGTTATATTATTGCATATTTGTCGAAGAAATTTCAGTTACCGTTTGGAGGTATTTTTCTAGGCAGGTTTTTGGCAATTATGTTGCCTGTTACATTGCACCCAAAGGGTAATTTAAGTCCCAAGATTTTTTTCTATTATCATAAGTTACCTTGTAGCAAGATAAAAAAGTTCTTTATTTTATGTTGCTTGTAGTAAATCAACATTTTTGTCCCAAGATTTTTGGCATTTATTGAACTTCCTTTTGCTGTCAAACAGAACTGATTGAAATCAAGCATATGTATGGTAGTCCAGAACTATTCGAGGAATAAAACAAAAATTTGAAGAAGCCCTGTCTGACATATGATGTAAATCAGGTACTTCAATCAATTCATTCTTCGTTATTATGATTTCGATTATCTACGTTTTCATAAAAGTCTATCATGGCTTTGAAAAACTCACTCAAACAGTGTCAGTCGTTTTTCATCATTTGCGCGACAAATAGCGTTTAAATACAGAGACAGTTCTTTGAGAGTTAAACATTCCAGTTTATTAAGACCATTCGACCTTTAAAAGTAATTCCATTTTCGTTCAAATGCGTAAATGGGTAGAGCATGTTTTAGTACGTTTTAACATTGATTTTAACCCATAGTTTTCAAGCAGCATGCTTAACAAATCTACCAAACACGAAACTTTTACGTTTAAAACTGTTAGCTGGGAATTTGCAAAATCTTCAGAACAAAGAGATTGGAACCTTTCATATTAGCCCTCCTCACCCGCCCATATTCTTAATTTTGTTGCCCTCTGCATCTTCTTTCTACTATCCCGCAGAACTTTACGGTTCCCGCAGAACTTTCCCATTTGCTCGTCTTTCCTCCCTACCTAATTTTTGCTGGCTCTGATTCTTAAGGGATGCTACCTAAATTCAATTTAGAAAAAGGGCTTGAAGGCAATGTATGTATGAAATGTATGAATGTATAGATCTATTTACATTGTATCACAAGTGATGCTGGAAGGAAAGCTTCAAATTGAGTTAATTAACTGACAAAGCAATAAAGAAAACCCTGTTCATCGATACCTCTCATTGTCCCATTTGACGTCAAAGCCACTATAATAGGCCCCATCCTCACAGAACACTGGCACTTCAAACCAGCCGATGCTTATCTCAAACAAATCTGGAACAATACCTGACCAGGTCTATCTCTCACCAGAAGGCCTAACCTTACGGGCGTGCTTTTTTTCTGTAAAACATCAATCGGTCATTCGATTATCTATGATTCTGCAACCAGTCATTTCATGGTTTGCATTCATGCACCCACCATTACTTATTCCACCATTTCACCTTTTAGTTATTTTAGACCAGAGGTGAGAGGGGGAGCATTATCACCTGAGCTGGCAATTAACCAGACTAACTTTTTCTGACTCGATTTTTTGTGTAGATTACGAATCCGGATGTTGCTTTGGCGTTTAGGGGGGCGTTTTCTAGATATAGGGGGTCAAAGCCCAAAAACACGCGACTTGACCTAATTTGACTGTTTTCTGCTATCACACTTTAAAAATTGGTAATTTTTGTTATTATCTGGTGATGTAGTAATCTTACGAAAACTAAAAGACAGTGATAATAGTTTCAAATTACGTATGTTCTTGAAATATAAGAAGTTTTGAAAACTTGTTGCTCAACATCGTTCAAAGAAAAGGGATCCGTTGATATAGACAAAGCTCTTACTAATCCTCTTGCCCTTGCAACAACTGAAGATACAGATGCCAAACAGCCAAGTGTATACTACTACATACTGCATTAAAATCAATCATAGTACGAAAAAACCCGCTGCCAAAAGTTAATCTGGAAAAAAAATCGGTGAAATTTCGGTGAGAGCTTGAACAATCTTCGGAGTAAAGAATTGGAAAACTTTCTGTAAGTTATTTTTACCTTCAACATAGAATTATCTGGAGCACAGTCATAAAAGTTACAAAAATCGAATACTTTGATGCATACCAAGTGACAGTTGAACTATCAATGTAAGGAACATTTTAAAATATCACTGGAACATAATTTCAAAAGATAAAGAGATAGCATTAAAAAAACATAAAAAACATTTGAGATCTAATAACCCACACACACATTGGGACACATGGATAACACCCCTCCCCCCAAGAGTTCTGAATATGTTCTCAGCAGATTCGACATTTTTTGTGCTTACTCAGCAAACTTGGTGGTGGCGTTAGTTAAAAAAATCAATAATAGTCGATGGTATATTTGATTGTTTTCATTTTCATTTCGATTTGTTCCTCTTCGCTCCTCGGCACGTTAATATTTCAACCGTTAATTTGCAAACTGAAACCACTGGGAGCTAAACTCCACATTACAATTTTTCAGCGTTGGTTGCGCGAATGATGAGAATGACTACCAGAAAATCGATTAAAACAGTCAAATAGCGTTCCACCCGCGGATATTTATTTTAGGAATGAGACTGTATTGTAAAGTAGTAAAAATGTCTTAAATGAGTGAAATTTCCAGCAAACTGGAAGCATCAAAGTTCGAAAATTTCCCCCACCTTTTGCGGCAACCATGGTGCCGTCTCAGGTACTAACTTTCGTGTCATGGTTCCTATTCTGTTTAATGATTAAATGACATCTTTTTTCATTACTCAGAAAAGTTTACAGCGTTGTGAATATAGAAAAATCGTGAAAAAAGACATACAAAGAACTTTCTTAACATATGTCTTTTGTCTTTTTAGGAATATTTTGTTATAAAGGCGATTTCCCCACAAAATAATATTAATCACGCTCTAAGTAGCTGTTCTTTCTTGTCTGTTATATTCATGTCCTGTCATAATCTTAATGATTGTGCGTCTTTTTGCAATTGGGATTACATGCTTTCTCTCCAATTGCATAGCCCCCTATCGAAAGGTCAAGCCCCTCCGTCAGAGAATTTCTAGCGTCACAATAAGTAGTCTCAACTCAACGATCGAGTAATATACTTTTCAAGAAAAAATTATTGTGTTAAGATTAAGAGCAAAAGGGGTAACTAAGGTGGGGAAGTTAAACACAAAGCATGAGAAAGCATATACCAAAATATGCTACCTACTTCACCATGTCCATCGGATGAATAATGGACAGGAGACAGTTTGCATTGTGCGCTCTGGAGATGTTGATATTCTTGTTATCCTTTTAGCCAACGAGGCTAAAAACTTGCATTCCTTTATGTAGTACGGAAGAGGAAAATACAGGAGACTACTGGGTCTTAATGCTTTTGCGCAATCTTTATTGCGGAAGCAAGCGCTCCTTGGCCTGCATGCTGCCCCCATGTAAAAGCAGCCTCGAAAAACACTTAAAGCGTGCAAACTTTGTAGCAAGGGGGTAGAGACTAGCTTCACAAAGCATAATCAACAAAGAAGAACCAGCCAATCACGTCTGGTTAGAAGATCTGTTAATTGATTGGTTCACGGAGCCCTTCTATACTATCCTGAGGACATTGCGGAGCTAATGTTTGCAAGCGAAGAAAAATAAAGCGAATCAGAAGGAGAAGGCGAATTTAAACTAAACGCTTTAAGAATACAGTAATAGTAAAATTCCCCTTCCCTGTAATTGCCTGCGCCCCCCCCCCATCAATGCCAGAAAAGGCTAAATTTGACAGAGCATTGATCAAGAAACCAATTTTTAATAAAATTAAACATTTCCTAAAGTGCAATAATTAAATACAGTCAAATTAGGTCACATCGCGTGTTTTTGGGCTTTGACCCCCTGTATCTAGAAAACGCCCCCCTAAACGCCAAAGCAACATCCGAATTCGTAATCTACGCAAAAAGTTGCGTCAGAAAAAGTTAGTCTGGTTAATTGCCAGCTCAGGTGATAATGCTCCCCCTCTCACCTCTGGTCTATTTGTCATTACACCATTTTGGAAAGCACAAAACAGTGATTCGACATTCTCTAATTAGACAAACGTCAAGCTGTTATTCATGATTCAGAAAATTTGCTGATTTTCATTCCAATATGCAAATGGGTTGAGGCAATCAATTCAGTTAGAGAATCTTTCCAAGAATTTAATACCCCCCGTCAGGGTACTTGGTACTTGCCACGAAAGAACGGCACTGCATTCTTACATAGAACGGGCTACGGTGGTGCCCGCCCTTCATACCTGCTAAATTGAAAAGGGAGGGGGATATTTCCAAGGAATAAAACTCACTATTTCCATGGAATAAAACTCACTAATTACAAGCCTAAATTACTGTTGCTCATTTTAACGTACCTTGCTGCAGCATCTCTGTTAGTTGGATTGCATTCTTTCCCGTTTGGACTTGCTTAGATTTTAGGGCTGTTTGCTACCAAACGATGTTTTGTGGTTTTCTTTGATTTTCGTCGTTTTTTACAACGAGAGAGATAAACAAGATGCTTAGAAATTATTTTCAGTCTGTTTTTCAAAGCAGAAGGTATAACATTCTTCTGGCTGATATGGTAGGCATCTATAAAATAGCAGGTATCATTTGTCGCTTGATGACGTCATGCCTCAGGCTTGACACTTCTGATCAACTATTTTCACATGTAGAGGAAGAGAAATGTTCCAAATTACTGGGGAGGCGTGAGAAAATCACAATAATTGACTTACGTATTGCAAAATAAACAGGACACATCCTACAACTGCCAAACTAGACGAAAGTCAAGTAATTGATTAACTTAACCATTAGGGGCTACTCTATGCCTTACTTAACCCTTTATATACCCATTGTAACATGATAACCACTTACGTCTCATATCTTATCAACATGGAAATTCCACAATAGTATCAATAAAAGAGGCCCAAAATGGCTGAAAATACCAATTTCCCATACTTGTGACTTGCGCATATGGTGACGTCATCAATACTTTGACATGTGATAGTTTTTAACTGGTTGATTTTTTGGCTATATGCTTCTAAGCATTTTTTGTTCAGTTTTTTACACTCTTTCGATTGATGCTGTTTATTTTTACATTTGACGATTTTAATTTTTTTCTGACCATAAAAATTCACGTCATCGATCACGTGATATCCAGGGAGAAATTTTTTTGGACACCATTCAAAATTTCAAGGTATTAGTCCAAGGAAGTGGAAACAAGTGAAAAACCTCCGTTTACCCTCTCCGCCAGTTTGTTAGGAAAAATTCCCGGTTAAGATATTTTACGATATTATTGGTTTGCTGTTTTGAGGAAAAAATGACGCAAAACTATGAAGAATTGCTTCAAAATAAGTCTGTAAAATATTAACAAAGTATTCATGGAAGATGACCATGAAGTGTGGCTTTTTCAAAGAAAAACAAACGAAAAATGTTGAATTTTAAAGCAAACAGCTAAAGCTTTTTCTTGATAAAGAAATTATAAGTGAGAATTTTTTTTGCAGTGCACCTTGATTTTAAAGCTTCAATGCAGATACAAGGTGAGTTGCTCTACATTTGACGTTAAAGACTTGTTTATTTTAAACTCTGATTTGCTCATTATCTAAGCGCATGAAAATAGAAAATCGAAACCGAAACGTTGAATTAACTTATTCTTCCGTATTTCGAGGCATTCTTTATGATTCCCTCGATAGTATTTTCAAGAACTTTTCTGAAGCACTGGTCCAATGTTTTCGTGATTTTTTCCAATAAAACCGTAAGATAATCTTTCGAATTTATTTCCATTCAAAGTTATCGGAATAACGCCGAAATTTTCGTACCGAAAACGTTGGTTACTAAAAGTCCTAAACACTGAACTTCTGTTTCAAAAACTTGTTTTAACAATTTTTGTATAACGAATATAGAATCAAAAAAGTTAAATGATTGTCAAGAATGAAATTGTTCTGGTAACTACAACAGGAAGGAGCCAACATTTCATGAAAGTTCACATCCGTTATAAACCAAAATGGTTATCAGGGCCTCTAGTTTGTTAAATAAAAGTGAATAAGGTCACATTCAGCAAAATAGAAGAAAGCTAGCTATAAAAAAAATCACCAAATTTTTAGTAGTAATCTTTGTAGAAAATTTTGTATCAAGCAAGAGGCCAAAAAAATTTGTGTAGAAGCCATGACCCTCTCTGCCTCACTCTCAAAGAAACGCCTCTGGAGTGAACCTTCAAACAAATGCTTGCTCCACGCCCTCACAAGAATGGTGAAGTGGAAGTCTAAGCTAATGACTCGTTTAAAGTTGGGTTCACACAATGGTTTAACAGAAAGTTTACCTGTAAGTTAGTTTATATTATTTCAATAGCCTACGATATCGTAAGATAGTGTAATATAAGTTGAAAGGGGAAAGGCAGTGGCTTGTCTTCATCTAAGCAAAATATTATAGGATCAATGGTACCTCCCTCAAACCTATCATCGTTAGAGGCTTTGCCATGCATGTCTGAACAAGATCCTGTAGAGAGAAAAGAAGCCATTTCCTTGCTTCGATGAAGAGTTTTGTCAAGCTCAACAGTTTCAGATAAAATACTAAAGACTTTTTACATGCCCTGTAGAATTAAAAATCTGAAGTGTTTCAATAGCAGTAGGAGACGAAAACATTATATTCTCCGGCAATCTACATGGGTTCTACACTAGTTAAATGCAAACATTAATATCATTATGCAGGCTAATAGCTATCTAAAGCAGGTGTCTCTAATTACTGTGCACTTTGGTTTTCAAATACCATGACATCATTTCTTTGCAACTCCATTTTCTGAGCATCAGCAACATCGGCATAATGCTGCAAGTGAAACAGTAACTAGATTTGCATATAAATTTCTTTAATCAATTATTTTATAAATTGTTAATGTACACAAGCCAGTCATCTTTGAGAGCTTTCATGAATGCCAAGTTCTTTTTCAAAAAATGGGCTAGGGGATTAAAAGTTTCCAGAAATTTTTTGAGTCAAAAGGATAGATTTAACAGTAAATGCAGCTAGAAAATGCATTAAGGAAATGCATATAGTAAACTTAAAAGAGGTATAATCCCAATTAAAGGGTGAACAGTGAAAAAGTGTTCATTTTCTGGCCAAGATTATGTGTAAATGTTCGTAATGTATAGCAAACATTATACAGTAAAACCAAAACAGCTTATTTCTTTTAAAAAATTGCCCGTGTTAAAGCTTTTCATTATTGCATACAAATACTGCTTTTTATAAAAATATTGATATCTTCTTATTGATTCATGATGAAATGTTTATAAGAAATGAAAAATAGAATAAGATATAACCATCAATACTTTAAGAGGAAGGAAAAAGAATAAAAGCCATACACCTTAACAACATTATCTGCTTTCTAATCAAAACCTAATTCTTTCTAAAATTATCAATAGACACAAAAAATGTCTCAACCTTCTTCAGAAAAACTGTGACTGTACAATATCTTGCTTAATTTGCAATATTAAGCATGTAACATAGTATTACCTTCAATTCATATGTTGATGCATCAGTTGCAATATCCTGTTTAAGCCTGAATTTTGTCCATCTTGCAGGAAGAATGCGTTGAATTTTAGATTTGTAGTCAAATAACAAACTTTCGTCAACTTTCTTATGCTGGTCGGAAGAATCTTCAAAATTGAAAGAAAACAAATTCAATCAAATGTTTAGACAACAAAATTCGATTGAATGTCAATAAGAATCACAGTTCCTGTCCAATAATTTTTTCTTAGAGCCCTGACTATCCTTTTTTAATGAAAAGTAATCATCTTTTTACATCTCTTGATCATTAATTTCAGAGCACTTTGCATTTGTTTGTTTAACTAGTGTAGATTCCATTGTTTGGCCGTTTTATAATATCTCATATTTACATGTAGAGCAAAATTTGAGTTCATGTTGGGGAAAATAGGAGTTCAACTCGCTACTGGTTGAGATTGTTGGTCATAAATTATTTTTATCCAGGGAAAAAGTTTTTTTCAGAGAAAGCCAGTGGAAACTTAATTTGGATTTGAGACACCAACCTCACTCATTATCATCTTTGATATTATTAAAATTATATTTTTAAACTTCTTACTAGTTGCTACTGAGACAAGCCACCCGATCACAATGGTACACAAAGCACCAACAGCACCATACCACAAATATGACAAGCTGTATAGTTTTGCCAATGGGACACTAAAAGAGAAAATCTGGGTTAAGGACTGGTATGTCGATACATCTAGATATAGAGGTAAACACGTACATTACAAAATTACTACTTGATTCAATTCTTATTGGTTATCTATGGTACCCTACAAGGCCAGGTTTCATAAAAAAAATTCAGTCTGTAACTATCGCATTGCAAACTCCTTGAAGAATTATCACCATATTAATTTCTTCGCTCTGTTCCTTAGAAGCAGGGTCACAGTGTAATTCAATTTTGGGGGGGGGGGGGGTTGGTCACCTAAAGAAAAACTGTTTTAAACATTCCGTCAGAATGACAAAATTTTTGAACTTCCTGGCGAATTTTGTCTTTACGAGGGCTGTACACTGCTCCCAAGCCACTGCACCGTCTGGTTGGAAATCTGACGTCAAAAAAGATAAATATATTTTTCGATAGAGACATTTAAACATGAATCCATTATACAGGGGCCTAGCTAGTAGGCAGAGGTAAGGTAGTGTGACATCACCCCTTCCCAATTCTGCAATAGTTGGTCAGTAGGTCATCAGTTGGTCTACAAAATTCTTAATTTATTGGTAAAATCATCTATTGAAACAGCACCAAACTTCTTCACCATCTACGTCTTTGCTGGTTAATTTTGCTATTGATAACCCTCTATCCCCTAGTCTGGAAGGTCAAGCTGTGCAATTGCCATTGTGTCTCCTTTTTTATGTTGATGTCATTTTCAATGTTTCACCACTACCACCACCATTATATTGTTTTCTTTTTTATTGAAAACAAAATTTTTAAATTCTAGTAATCAATTAGTGCATTCATACTCATGAGGTTTGTAGTTGTATATGACTGTTCCATTGATACCAACATTTTTAAGCAAAGATGTGTTGAAAAAACCAACAGCACTGCAGTCGTTTACTTTAAGTGGGGCTGGTGCCTTGTCCCCAGGGTACATAATGCCCCCAAGTGAAATCCATGTAGTCATGGCTATCCCTGTGAAAACACCAACCAGTGCACCCTGCAAAACAAGATGTCATAACAGTCAATAGTTTTACAAAACTGAAAAATGATATATGCACCCAATGACCTCGATTTTGTTTACTCAGCAAGCTACAAAGTATATTTTACTAGCCCAGAAATCTTAAAATCTCGCTTAAAATCTCTCCTTGTATACACCCTTTTCAAGTCTCTTTACCAAATTCACGGACTCTGTCCTACATCTTATCCTTCCTCCCAAGAACTAGTAAATTTTCGAACGCTCTTACCTATTCTTGCTTTCCTGAAGATCATAGCCTGTCTTTATTCAAAACTAAAATTAACCCTCTCTTCCCAACCACTCCCTCCTTTCCTTTTTAAGGGCTTCGCTTTAGGCCCTTGGACCTTTCCCTAACATCACCAACTTTAAAAATTGTAAAGAAAATTCTTCTCTTTTCTTTCAAAACACGAGGTTTCACAGCAGTTCAATCATTGTCAAAACGAGTTATTTTCTTTACAACTTCTTCACCCAATTTTTCCACCAAATCCGACCAATTTCAGAATAGAGAGGGCCATTTATTCCCCAGGCTCTTCAGCCACAGCGCTATAGACCTTGCATTTCTTACAATTCCTTACTGTATATTTCCCTGTATTGAACAATGAAAGAGGGCAAATTGTTTCTTCAACTGACCTTTGAATGAGCTCTGGTTGAGAACATGCCAAGTGTAAACATACCAAAATTCGGAGCTCCAATAATCCCAGTGATTGAATAGGCCAGCTAAAGAAAAGGTGAAACTATTGTTCATGAAATCTGCTGAAACTGTCTCATTGAAAAAGCCAGTTGTATAATGACGTAAGGACATTATTACAGAAATATGCAGAGATACGAAAGGTTGAAGAATTCAAGCAAAAATCGTTAGAGAGCTTCATAGCTGCTCTTTTAAAATTGTCAGGAAATGAGAGCTGATTTGGTAGCTTTTTCTGGAAAAGATACCTTCGTTTAGGAAGGGGTGGGGGGTTGACTTGATAAAATGCTTTTAGCTAACAAAGAACGTCTGTTTGTAAAGGGAAATTGAAAAAAAGGATGAAATGCACATTTGATATTTTCTTCCTTCACGAAAAGTATTCTTTTTAGCGTGCATTAGCGTTTTTACTTCATGTAACATGCTTAAAATATCTTCAGATGCGTCATTAGCAAAAATGAACTCTCCATTTATCATTTTTTAAGCAATCACATACCTGGAGTACTAGAGTGCCTGCAACTGATGCGAGAAACGAACATGCAATGACAGCTATTCCAAATGCACAGGCTACAATTAAAACAAGAGGTAATGCCAATTGTGAATTTCATGTTGTGAGTAGCAAACACTTACTCCAAGAATGCCAAAGTTTTTTTGCTATGTTAATTGCCCTTTTCTTATGCCTCATTATGCTCGAAACGTCGTTTGTTCATTTAATCAATTTTTCCTGGTACAATTTACTTACATTCATCGTTATTATCTCATATATACAAGCTCTGGGAACTGATAAAGATTAATACTTAAATCCGAGTAAAAGTAACGTTTCACTTTCTTATACTCCGTACGAAAAGCTGGCCTACATGCTGTTATTTTCAAGTCTTTTTCAACGATAAACAAAACGAAGATTTTTATAATTTTTTGTTTATTTTCAGTAGGAAACAACTGATTCTCATTTTGATATTGTCGAATGCAGTTTATTCTTCTCTGAATAGTTTTATAAAGCTATAATACCTATTAACTTGGATACGAGCATCATCTTGCTAGCACTCATGTCTGGGTATCGAGGCTTGACGATGTCTTCAACTGTTACTGCAGTTAGAGAATTAAGGCCAGAGGATGCAGTGCTAAGAGATAGGGAAAAGAAAGTTTCTTGATTAGAAGCCCTAGGTACCACGACTATATTGGTATCCGAAATCATTGCCGAAAGTCGTGGGACATTAAAGTCAGTTTTAGGGGCCAATACAGCAATCCTTTCTACCTCTTGAAAAAATATTGGTTTGCTCATGGGCATTTGAGCTAGGGTGAACAAGCCTATCTTCACACCATACTGTCCCAGCTCTTAGGCTTCTTCGTTTAAAGGCCACAGCTGCAACATATTATTTAGGTCATAGACAATGAGCCTCATAATGAATCAGCCTCATATTTCCTACAAAGGTATGCCAAAAAGGGTTTACATGATTTGAGCTACAAGGGTTTAACAAACCTCAATGCTCCACTGAATAGACAAGCTGTGTAAAGTCCAGGAACTCCCGTAAGATGGGAAAGTTTGTGGACGACGAAGTATGGGATGACCTGCAAGGTGTAGAGTAAGATTCTAGTGGCGTCCTTTTTCCACCATCAAGGCATAAATTTACGATAAGGATTTATCTGCTGTTTGCTTTAGTTGTATTAAAATATTTTATGAAATCTATATCTCCCAAAATGTTTGCCCACTGTATCAGCTCTGAAAATTTAAAAACATAAAAAGTGTGACAGTCACTGAATCAAATCTTTTCATCACATGAAATATGCAGGGCTGAAAAACGCACAGTACACTCATGGGACCAACGAAAAGGGCCAGGGGGGGGGGGCTTTGCTTTCATAACTTTATAAATTCAAATGATATCTGGTATCTTTCCTGAAGCCTCGTATGTAACTTCAGTTGCTAACAATAGTTTAATGATTTCACCTTGATTCACATCTCAGTTACTTTTCCCAAGTCCCAAGAAAGTTATTTTAACCTGAAAATTTTGAAAGACATACAAACCTGGTCATTGCTTTTAATCTCTTTGACCGTACGAAGATCGCAATCAGCGTAAACAGCATACATGACCAACCCAGCAAAGCAACAGGCAACCACGAAGATAAATAAAAAGATGACATTGATGTAAATGGCTCTAGAAATAAAGAAATATGTTTTAAATAGTTGTTTGGAAATAAAATATTAGATAAAATTATCTGACAGGCTGGCAATTTACATGATATTATGACTAGGCCAGATATCAGCTGAAATCAAAACAGATGTTAAGGCTGATTATACACGATCAGTTTAAACTGACAGTTTTGGTGCGGATGTTCGCGGTATGAACCTAATTTAGATCAAATAGGTCAAATCCACTTGATTGCAGTGTAAAAGTTTGTATTAAGTGCATATGAACTTTAAAATATTTACTTTTTCACACTTTTCAAGGATGACGCTGATAAGAATCGTTGGACGACGACTTGTGATGTTGTCCAGTTTGGAATCAACGAGAACGTGCCTCCAACTACAAGTGTCCAAAATGTGTTCCTTACTGTTGGATCTGGGTTGAAGCTGCCAAGAATACAATTTTATAAGACTGAGCTGATGCATGGAAGTGCTGTTTTAGAAAGGTAAAATATCATTTCTGCATATTGCTATTCAAGTGAGTAAGATTCACTTATAATACTCACATTTTATACTTAAAGGGGGAATTTCTGGATAACATAGGAAGATTGGTTGGTGTTCTATTAAAGATTGAAGTCTTTCAATAATTTCTAGAAAAGTTATGCAAAGCAAGATAATTCTTTGCTTAGGTGCAAACTCTAAATTTGAGGGCTAGAGATTTCCCTTGAGTATCATCAAAAATGTTTTATCCCCCCCTGCTCATGTTACATCATTGTATTGTTATAAAAAAATTTAATGGTGCTTTACTTTTGGAGGTATTTTTCTAAAAATGTTTGTGACGAGTTTGTTGACAGTCAAATTTATTGCATCCTAGAGCTGATTTTGTCTCAAGACTTTTCCCTATTTTCAGAAGAAAATCAATATTTTATTCCAAGACTTTTGGCATTTATTACACTTTTTTCAGTCAAACGCAATTGGTTGAAATCAAACATATGTTTGGTGACCCAGAGGTATTCGATGAATGGAAACAAAAGTTCGAAGAAGCCCTGTCTGACGTAAGTTATAAATCAGGTACTTTAATCAATTCGTTCTTCGCTATTATGATTTGGATTATCTACGTCTCCATTAATAGTCTATTATGGCTTTGAAAAACCTACTCAAACAGCGTCAGTCGTTCTCCTTTATCTGCAAGATCAATAACCTTGCCAATGCCTCCTACGTCATTCGTGCCGATTGCAATGATAACTACAAGGCCAAGTATCATAACAAAAGCTTGAAAAACATCAGTCCATACAACTGCTCGCATTCCACCCTGAAAATAAGAAAATAATTTCCTTATGCCGTCGATGTGTGCGTTATGAGCTGCATGAAGCGTAATTGTCAAGGATGTGGATGTTTTCGTTATTTCGGAAAATAAGAAGAGAAAACGATCATTTTGAAGACAGTTCACAGGGACAGTTCTCTGGCAGTTTGACCTTCCAGTATATTAAGACCATATTATCTATCGGGGTTTCATCTGAATGAAGAGATAAAAAACTTCATTGGCATTCTGCTAAAATTTTGTATTGTTCAAATGTCCAGATATAGGATGTACTAGGAGAAGTGCACAAGATACGATAATGTTGTCAAAGTCATGAGTTAAAACAGGTTTGAAGAAAACAAAAGGTTCCTTCAGAATTTGTCCTTATCTGGGCTCCCTTGTGGATGCTCCAACTGTACAACAACATTTGAAGAGAAATTATGCTGCCTGAGATTTTTTATGATCTTCGTTTGAGCTTTTCCTCGATTTCCATGCAGCGTGTACAGTTTGGGGTTAAACATGCATTTGAAAACATGTTCAGAAAGATTAATAGTTTCAAACTGTTCCATGCCCAGTAAATCAATTAGATTTTTAGTATCTGTTATATTCTCTTAAATCAAATACAAAATTTTATCACGATATGGATGTACGTTAGAGGGCAACCTAATTAAAATGATGAAAAGAAAACTTCAACTGACGATGCAGTGAAGATGATTCTGTTAATCCAAACTTTGTTTTACGCACAAATAAAACTTTAACCCACGAAAGTACAACTAGTTCACCAGATAAATAGTTTTCCTAGTATGTCAACAAAGAGACTAACCAGTGTTGTGTAAAAAGTACACACAGCTCCTGTTGAGATAATTGAAGCTGCCATTGGAACGCCAGCAACTGCAAAGGAAAAAAATGATATAGACATAAAAAAGTAATATTTATTTGGGTTAACAGATGAAGAAACTATATAATTTAGGACCAGAGAAAGGAGGTGACACTTTGCTCCCGCGTGCCCACTATTGTTCAGAAGTTCACCCAAGCTTATCCGGAAGACCTCTTAGAAAGGGATAGTTTATTCCCTCAAACCTCAAACATTGAAACTTAGTACAAGGGATACCTTTTCACAATTTTGCAAAAATCACTGAAATTGGATGTTTTTTAAACTTATCGAGGCCAAGATTCCTCTTTCCACACAATATGACTGCATCATAGAGGTCTGCATATAATTTGTCTGCATGTAGATTTTTACATTGAGATTTTTAGACACCACCTCAATATTATACAATATGATTTGCATTTAGAAAAGAAGACTTCTGTATGAAAGGTAATTTGCAACTTATAATAGAATTGTTTGCAGTTTTGCGTCACAATGTTTACAATAGAATTGTTTAGAGCAAAATAACGTGACAGAATCATAGTGTAGCAGAGCATGAACCACTGTTAATTTGTTTTTGCATAAGGTTTTCGTTATTTAGAATCTTACCCCAGTGAAAGTTCACGTTAAGTCAGAAGAAAAGCGGTCTTTTCAAGATCTTTCGGATGAGTTTGGATACAACTCTTAATAAAAGTGTACAGCCGGGCAATATGCTTCTTGATCGGGGAGCTTGTTTATGGAATAATCTGCCGAGAGACTTTACTAGTCTTGGTAGTTATAAAACTTTCATAACGACATTAAGAAAGACCATATCGACAGTTACAAGTAGATAGCTCCAATTCTTTTTTGCCTGATTCAGTTAGTATGCGTAATTTCCTTCGGTGTTAATTACGAATATTTTTAAACTCAGAATCATAACTTTAAGGAATATTTAAGCACAGAAATTCAAGGTATTATTATTAAAAAAGTGTAATTGAATTAAGGAGAATGACCCAATCTTACCTGCCTGCAAAGCAAGACTTGGAGCAAAGATAACCACTGCCAGGTATAAAATCTACGGACGATCATATGATTAATCAGATATCAGTCAATCAGTTGTAGCATAATGATTATCATCAGTGGCAATCTCTATAATTTATGTCGAGACGTAGGACACCTTAAAGGCGATCAATTTGAACTTAATCAATATGTCAATCAAAGGTTCCTGTAATGAATCTGGTCACCAAATCAATTGACGTAACCAGGAATCATACTCATTAATCCCTGCTGCCAATCCGTTTTTTAGACGAAGGCTTTGGGAAAAGGTTCTCTAGCTGCCAAATGAGGCGTATACAGAGTCATAACCATATATTTTGTCGTTAAGCTGTCATTTATTCTCGTTTGCTTTTGAGAAGAACACTCCTTCATCCCCTCCTCTTGGGGATTATAATTGATCCTCAAAGTTGATAATTACTATGGACCCACACTACATCAACGTGGAACCTCCTCCAAAATACCCCAAGTTATACCACTCATGGCCCCATTTGACGTCCAAACCACTGTTATAGGCCACCTATATTGTATTGTGGATATTCACTTAGTCAACATCGAACCCTCTCCAAAAAACCTTAAATTAGGTCCTATTTTATGTCAAAACTATTGCTATAGACTCCATCCTCACAAAACACTCGCACTTAAATTTAGCCGAATCCTATCTTGAATAAAGCTGATAAAATACCAGACCGGTTCTAACTCTCACCAAAATGCCCAACGTTAAGAGTAAATTGGTCCATCCGCTTCTCGGAGATTCTTTTTTGCTATATATGAACAGTAAACAGAAAATATTTCACCAGACACTGTTGTGTATATGTTATGATATTTATTGGTTCCTTTCTAATCTTGTCTCTCCTGGGTTTCTGGCTGTTTACACTATTTTTTTATAAGAACCAGTAAATTTAAGTTCAGGCTGACTGTTCTTAATTTTTTCGAAAATCTGAGGCTGGATTGTTCTTAATTTTTCGTAAATTAAGAGGGTGTAAGCAGTGCTATTGCTAGTGTTCAGGCCTCATTTGCCAACAAAGTGAGTGAGACAGCCTTAATTTGCTGACAAATTTGAATATTCACCGAAAAAGCACCCACACATCGCTAAAAATCCTCGATTTTGAGAAAAAACGTTATTCAAAATTGCATTTTGCAGAAGCTCAGCCTTAGCTTGTTCTTAATTTGTTCTTAACTTTTGATCAGTTTTGAGGCTTGTGTCCTTATAAAATTGTTCTTATAAAAATAGAGCAATTGCTTTCATAACACCCTTATATTATTTTCTGCCTTATCCAAGATTTTTGCACAAAAATATGCAAGGAGATCCACAACCACTTTCCATCAGAGTTTGGATGCAGATGGCAGTGACTACTCCTTCATCTCATCTTTTCTCATTTTTCCATTTTTGTTTTTAAAATTTCATTTTCACATCTTGGCCGCTCTAGTGCCATCTCTCTTAACCTTTTTGTTCACATATCTTTAACTGTTCTTATCATTCGCATATTTTTCCAATAAATCTTGTGATCAAATGATTTTTGTGTTTTTCTTTGATTTTTCATGGTTTTTCGACGAGAGGGACAAACAAGTTGCTTAGACATTATTTTTACAGGATGTTTTTCAAGTCAGAAGTTATATCATTGTTCTGGCTAATAATATCTTGCAGGTTTCATTTGTCACTTGATGAAGTCATGCTTCAAGCTTGACACTTCTGCTCAGCTATTTTCATACGTAAAGCAAGGGAATGGTGCAAAAAGACTGGACAGGTGTGAGAAAAATCACAAAAAATGACTTACGTATTGCAAAATAAACAGGGCACATCCTACAAGGCGGACACCACGACTGAATCTCTTTTCCAAATACTAGAGAAAAAATGGAGTTAGCGTTTATGTATATACCAAGAAATGGATAAATGTTTTTTATAATAACATTATGGTTACATTTTCAATACTCTTTCCACGAAGATGAGGAAAGGTTCATTCGCAGTTTTCTAATTAATAAAATGGCGATCACATAGTTGCCTTCTTTTACCATATGACTCTTTTACATAAAAGGACCCAATTTCTTATATTTTCTCTTCACTTTGAAAACGTTGACAGAAAATAAATAAATCGTGACCGTAAAAAGGTGGAGGAAAAATTCACTCTTGTTAATAAGATACACGTTTCACATGAAAACAAAAGGATTTCTAGAAATTTGCCGATAAAACAAATTGAATTCTAGAGATTTACCGATAAAACAAAAGGATTTCTACCAAAAGGTGTACGGGACTTTATATGGAGTGATTTGCTCCTCGAAAAAGGGAGTTTGTTGTGGAAAGAGCAAAGGGTGCTGTTGCAAAAAAAAATTCAAGTAACAATAGACCACTTTCTGTCATCACGTGTTTTATATGAGAACATGAATAACTTAGGGGCAAATAACTCTGTGAAATCTCGTACATTATTGGTCTAATTTCTTTTCCCTGATCAGAAAAACTATAGAATTCCTATTATTTTGGTTGGAATCTTGTGCACGTTTTCCAAGAGTAAATTGTCCGACGAGGAAATCGAGGTTCAAGATAGATGTAGTTAAATTTTTTTTCTAAACTTTTAATTAATTGTCAATTTGTTCTTGAATTATTAGGGTGTAATTCAAATAATGTATGTTTTTTACAAAGATTTGCAAAAGACATACCCAATCCTGAAAGATATCTTTTTTATTCCAATAATCTTGCAATGTTTTTACATCATTTATAAAATTTTACCTCTGCCTCAGCTCCTTTTTAATTTGTACTTACTTTTTTGCCAACATTTAAATTTGTGTTCTTATAAACTTGCTCTTAGAAAAAAGAGTTTGAAAATGGGGCTAAACTCCCTATCGCCTTCTGTGATTTACAACTTGTAATACGAGCAAGCTAGAAAAATGCTTGTGTTTACTTTACGTACCTCGTTAGCACTTGTAACTTTGGTCTGGTAAAATATCGGTGCATAGATCATTGCAGACAGCAACAACATGGCGACGAAGGAGAGATAGGTAATTAGGTACTGGATACCGTAAGTGTATATTTCAGATGGAATGCCCATCAATGCGATTGCAGATAAGAACGATGCTAGTAAAGATATAGAAATCGGCATCCAGTGCATACTTCCGCTTGCCGTGAGGTATTCCTTCGTGGTCGTTTGCTTGCCTTTATAGCCGTAGTAGATGCCGATTACACTTGAAAAGAGTAGCATCAGCGCAAAGACAACATAATCAACTGCTGAAAGTGTGTCCGCCATTTTGTTTTTGGGCCGTATCCAGATGCAGAGATCCTTGAGTTTTGTTCCCGATGTCTCGCCAACAGTCCTGTTTATTCTGCTTCTGAAAAGTTTGTTCAATTTGTGTCTGCAAATCACAAAAGACAGTTGTCAATCATTTAGTGAAATAGAATCAATCATTTCTGTCATCACTCAGTTCAAATTGCTACAGCATTTTTATCCAGGTGTTTTGTTTAACTCATGTCTTCTTGCTGTTCGTAAGTCAACCACATTAACATCGATTCAATAATAAACAATCAATTCAATAAATCCTCTTTAACCCTTCTCCTGGTGTATGGTGAAGTTTTTATTTTAATTTTCTTATTTTCAGCTTCATGCCATGCCCCAACTTCGAGCTCGCTCGAATAAATATTTGCTTCACGAGAAAATAAATGAATCAAGGAATGAAAAGATGAATAAATCAATGAATGAATGTATGAAAGAAGCTCTAGAGAAAGAGGAACTTTAGAGGAATGGTGACGAATTGGATGCCAAAATTCGAAAGCCAGAGAAGAGATAAAGGCCCTTCAAATTACATTGCGACTCATGAGTAGCAAGAATGCTTATTTCTCATTTAGTGCTCTTTTCTTCTATCTACAGCTTGTTTTTAATAAAAATTTGCATGTTTCAGGGCAATGAAAAATTCGATATTTTCCTAAGGCTATAGCCTTGCACTTTTTTCGAAAAATGACCACTACCAAAACAGTCTAAATATGCAATAAAAAGCAATAATTAATGCTTCTATTCTCATTCAGTGCTCTTTTCGTTTCTCTGCAGCTTGTTTTTAATAAAAATTTGCATGTTTTGGGGCCATGAAAAACTCGATATTTTTCTAAGGCTATAGCCTTGCACTTTTTTCGAAAAATGACCACTACCAAAACAGTCTAAATATGCAATTAAAAGCAATAATTAATGCTTCTATTCTCAATTATTGCTCTTTTCGTTTATCTACAGCTTGTTTTTAATAAAAATTTGCATGTTTTGGGGCCATGAAAAACTCGATATTTTTCTAAGGCTATAGCCTTGCACTTTTTTCG